AGGTTGCAAGAGGAAAACAGAAGTGCGAGTTTCAAGGAATCTCCATAGTTATGAAAAAATCATGAAAAATAACTTCCCTCCTTTTTCTGTCCAGAAGTGTTCACACTTTTCTTAAGAAATACACAGAGGGGCCAGCGATGTGGCCAAGAGAGTTAAAGTACTGGCCTGAAGTGCCAGCATCCCATATGGGCACTGGTTGTAGTCTCGCCTGCTCCTCTTCTAATCCAACATTCCTCTATGGCCTAAGATAGTAGTAGAAGATGGCCCAAGTCTTGGTTCCTGCACCCAGGTGGGAGAGCGGAAAGAAGCTGCTGGCTCCTTTCTTTGGATCAGCACTGTTCCGAAGATTGCAGCCATCTGGAGAGTGACCCAGAGCATGGAAGACCTCTCTCACTACTCTCTTCTCTCTCTCTCTCTCTCTCTCTCTCTCTCTCTCTCTCTCTCTGCCTCTCACTGTAAATCTGACTTTCAAATAAAATTAAAAAGAAAGAAATCCGGAGAGGAGTGATGGCTGGCATCATGGCACAGTGGATAAGGCTACCACTTGGAATGCCAGCAGCTTATACCAGAGACTGGTTTGAATCCCCACTGCTCCACTTCTGATCCCATTTCCTGCTAATGCACACCCTGGGAGGCAGCAGAAAATGCCCATGTTTCAGTCCTGGATGCTCCACTTCCGATCCAGCTCCCTGCTAATGCAACTGGAAACGCAATGGAAGATGGCCCAAGCCTTTGGGCCCCTGCACCCACGTGGACGACCCGGAAGAAGCTCCTGGCTTCCCACTGGCCCAGCTCCTGCCATTGAAGCCATTTGGGGAATGAACCAGAGGATTTAAGACTTCTCTCCCTCTGTAACTCTTTCAAATAAGTAAATCTTTTAAAAATTCGTTTTTATTTTTACTTCTGTCATCCTGCTGAAGGCTGGTGCTACACATAAGAGGTTGTCCGAAATCTGATCAGTGTCTCCACGGGAAATGAACCAACACGGAAACAACGCCCAAAGACGCTGCTCCGCTTCCGTGAGAGGCCGAACGTGAAGGACGCACGGGGACTTAATCGGAAAATAAGATGTCAGGTCCAGACCGCAGAATCTGGCGCGACGACCACGGGGAAGATAGCGCAGCTCCGAACCACCCACCGCCCCGCACGGAGGGACGGCTGCAAGAGCGCCTGAGAAATCGGCGAGGGCACCCACCGCCCACCGGCCGCCCGTGCGGCCCCTTTACCTCCCAGGGCGCTGCGGGGGAAACCTGGGCGCCGAGCACCGCCTTCCGGTCCACGACGGCGCTGTTTCCGGTTGTTTCGTGCCTGCCCCGCCCCACCCGCTGTGCCTGGCGGCCTCCCGTTGGTAGTTTGGAGTCGAACTACATTTCCCAGAAGGCCGTGCACGCTCCGGCGGAGCCTGGAGCGGTGCCAGCCCGACGTTGAGGACTGGAGCCAGCCTCCTGCCTTCTGTCTCTCAGGAGCAGCGGCAGAGCGCGCGGGGGCTGCCAACCTGACTGCCCCGGTCCCTGAGAGCCTCGCTGCCCAGCCCCGAGACTCGCTCTTTCCGGCGCGGACTGCCCGCTCCGAGAGGGGAGACCAAGCTTTTCCACCGGAAGCGGGCAGCGGGCGTGACGTCACAGTCGCGGAGGCTCCCCGCCTCCCAGAAGGCACCGCGTCGCCGCCGTCCTCCCAACTGAAGGGGGCGCGTCAGTAGTCCTCGGCGGCCTGTGAGGACACTCCCGAAGGGCGAGGCTGGGCTCGGGCTCTCGCTCCAGGTCTCCGGTCTCCTCCCGAGGCTGCGTCTCTGAGCCGTTCCCAGCGGGCGCCCGGGGGCAGCAGAGCCCGGAGAGGTGAGGGGTTCCGCGAGAGCGGGAACCCGCTGAGGCGCCCTGTGGGACCGGGTCGTGATCCGTCGCTAGGGGAGCCGGGCCGGATGGGGGACCCGGGTGCGCGCCCCAGGCAGTGCCGTCGCCTAGGCTTTGTGGTCAAGGTGCCCCTCGGCCGGAGGAGACCTCAGGGCGCGCCTGGGCGGGCCAGAGGGGGGTGCTCTCAGCGGGGCTCTGGTCAGCCGCGCACGTGTGCACAACTCTCGCAGCCTAGCGTTGGCTCGCCGCGAGGGTCGTCAGCGCCCCCACTCGCCCCGAAGCGCCCCCGAGAAAGCTGCGCGTGATAATGGCCCGACCCCACGACCCGACTGCGTCTAAGCAGACTGGCGGCGGCATTAGCGCCCTAGTTCTCGTCTTCTAACCCGTTGCTCTTTCTGAAGGCGTGAATGAAGCCGCTCTTCCCGCTGGTTCGGCACTTAGTGTTTCCCAGGAGGGTGGCCCGTCGCCCCCTTCCGGTTGGCTCAGGAGGGTGGCCCGTCGCCCCCTTCCGGTTGGCTCTGGAGCCTGGTTCTGTTCCGAGCGTCTCCTTTCGGGCGGTTCTGGGAGTGTCCTGCCGAGGGCCTTCCACCTCAGTTGACTTCCCTGCTCCAGCCGCCTCCGGATTTAGGTCTTCCGTGGCCTCGCTACCAGGCCACACGTTGGAGTGCAGTGGCGCTGTGCCGGTCTCGTGGGTAATGCGTGGTTTCTCTGTCTGCAGCCTGGCTCTCTGACAGATTTCCTTCGGTAAGAGTGTGCTCTGTGGTTGCAAGGCGTGATGGCTGCCAAAGTGGCTCCTATGCCCCCAAAGTCAAACCAGTCCTTTATCCTGAGAGTTCCTCCGGACTCCAAGCTGGGCCAAGACCTACTTCGCGATACCACTAGTGGGCCCAAGACCATCCACCAGCTGGTGCTGGAGCACTTCCTCACCTTCTTGCCCAAGCCAAGCGCGGCCCAGCCCAGTCAGAAAGCCAAGGAGACCTTGGTTATTTTGAAGGATCTGAGCGCAAGCCTTCAGAACAGAGGTGAGAAGCACATGCTTGTCTGACTGGGAGAAGGGGATTGTGCTAGGGGCTGAGATCGGCTTTTGTGGTCGTAGATAATTCAGGTTAGCTTGGTGGGTATTGAAAAAGGAGTTTATTCTGTCGCGCTGTTGGGAAGAGGAACTTCTTCCTGAGCGAGAGCTTGAGTGATCTGCTGGGTGTGCAAGGTCGCAGGAGAAGCACTGTGCATGCTTCTGTAGTGTCGGTGTTACCCAAGCATTCTGGGTGATAAGCCTTTTTAGAAAAAGGAAGCCAAATTACCAAGTTGCCTTCAGTTTATGTGGTGGTTTAGAAATTTTGCGTTTGCTCTAAATGTCTTCGCACTTAGCCTGTCCTCAAGCTCTGCTTTGGTAGCACTATGGGAAATTTTGCAAGTGACTTAAAATAATCCTTTTTTCCATAATGAAGAGAAACCTCATATAGGTCCAGGCCCTCAGGTTTGTGGTGTGGACTCTGTCAGGGCTCACAGGACGAGCAAAGGCCGTGAGCTCCTGCTGCAGAAGTGAGGACAGCCTGGTCTCTGGTGTAGGCAGAGTCCGCGTTACGTCACCGAGCTTTTCACTAACTACAGCTTCCTCTTTCCTAGTGCATCTTCACCCCTTAGTGAACCTTCTGCCCAGAGGAGTCCCACAGAAACAGGAGACAGTGTCTCTGTGTTTGAAAGCTGACCCGAAGGTGGGTTCAGTTTTCCCATTCTCCCTGAGTGCATCACCTTCTCTGCTCTGGCAGCCTTCCCTGCGCGGCCAGCCCGTGGGTACAAACACATCCTTAGGAGTCGCCTCCTTGGTTATTTTTTTTCTGCTTTTCCACTGGCTCTTCTCACCCTGCTGTCCCGTCTGTGCTCTACCTGGGTGGGACTCCGGGTCCCTTTCACTGTCCTTTTTTATCTTCGTGTCTCAGTCTTTCTTACCAGCAGATCTGTCAAATAACTTCACTTATTAAGAGGGAAGGGACCTTTTGTTCTTTCAGGAGCTGGTGGTCTTTGAAGATTTAAATATATTTCACTCCCAAGAAGAATGTGTGAGCCTGGATCCTAGTCAGGAGTCCACCTCGGAGAAGGAAGAGAGCAGTGATGTTGGAGAGATGGTGTTACTAGGTAAGAAATAAGTCCTGTGTGTTCTAGTTAGATGTTACTGGGAAAGCACATCCCTCATCTCTTGGGCTTTTGAGGGACTGTTCACAGCTGTTGAGCGCGTGTGCATGCTCGCGGTTCATCTTACCCTGCGTGGCAGAACCTAGGCGCAGAGTTGCAGCTGTAAGCGGCAGTTTTCCTTGTATCTTGGAGGCAGTAGAGGAGTAGAGGCAGAAGGAACTTTTAGTCAGGCAGGACCTGCAAACAAACAGAAATGTGAGCAGACTGTTTCTGTACCATGTTTTGGATCTTATTCTCACAGGTATATCTTGAAGTAGTATTTTCAGTGGTGACAGAACTAAGTGTACCCTCCCCGCTTCTCCCTGGCCATTTGTTTTGTGTTCAGTACTTGTGAATCCAGCTAGTACGGGGGTAGTGTTAAAAGAGTTCGTGGAAAAATGGAATTAACAGGTAACTTGACTTTGTTGCAGAATACTTTGAAATTGTATATACAGGTCTTCAAAAATCTCATGGCAAATACAACCATGCCTGGATTTTTTTTCCCCACCAAAATAAACTTTCTTTTTAATTCTATTTTCTGCAGACTTTTAGAAGTACTTTTCTATAGGTGTCAGTATTGCCTACCTTTCATGAAAATGGTATCTAACACTTATTGAACACTTACGTGCTGGGCAGTAGTCCAAGTACTTTGCATGCATTTGTTATCTCATGCATTTCTCTAAATAGTACTGTGAGGTGTAGAAAGTATTGCTACCATTGCAAAAATTAAAAGAAAAAAAGGAAGAGGGAGAAAGGGTGGGAAGTATCATTGTGTGCTTAAAATTATGTATATGAAATACATGAAATTTGTTCTCATATCAATTTTTAAGAAGATGAAAAAAAATTACTACTACTTTACAGGTGACGGACTGGGGCAGAGAGAGGTTAAGAACTCTGTTAAAGTTCACACAGCTCTAGCAGTAGAGCAGGGATTTAGACCTGGGGCATCTAACAAAAGAGCCTGCAGTCGTGGTCCAGAGCTGTTCTGCCTCCTGGTTGCATTTCTCATGATTTTGTCAGCGAATCCCATACGCGGTTGATGTTCAAGAACATGTTTATTTGGCTTCATTTCTCAGTAATGGTTGGCAAGCATATCCAGTGCTACATAGGAGCTGTCATGACAGCAGGCTCTGTATAACCTGCCTAGAGGTGATTCAACTTTTCTTTAGTAATACACCACTACAGTAGAGGCAGATGTGCTCACAAATGTCTTTCCTTAATGCCTACGACTTTTTACTTTGCCTACAGGGCTGTTTGTTTCTGAGGCTGAAGTTGAGCAGAGATTAGGTTTGGGGAGTTGGCCTGAGGCAACAGGAATCATATCAATATGACTATGGAACTCTTAGCTCAATTATACTGTATGGTCAAGGTTAGTGGAACATAATGAGCCTCGTTCATTTCCCCTAGGTTGCTCTATGTGGTATTTATTTTAGAGAAGAGTATAAAAGGATCAGATTTATTCCACTTGTTTTCCTGTATCTTGGATAAAGCTAGCATTTATTTTGGGTGTCTGGTTGGTGAGTATATTGCCAATTCCAGGAACACTTTGGCCCTGCACTTTGGGGCCAGGAGACAAGATCCTCACCCTTCTTCTGCCCACACTCTGAGGCCCATGATTTGGCATTCACCAACATTTCGTAAATGCTACTTGGTTCTTTTCCTTTAGTTAGGGTTGGATTCTAGAATTGATATTCAGGTTATAAAGACAGGGAATACTCTGTTCCTGCCTTCCATGACTTTAATCTGGCCTGTAAGATAAGTCATTCACATAAAAAAGATAAACAATGTAAAATTGGTATAGAGATAAAAGTGATCACCAGGTTGAGACAGGATTTGGTTTTACATGACATTAAATCTATGACAGAAAATGAGATTTTCCTCTGGGTCTTTGAAAGTGGAGATTGGAGCACAGGTGTAAAGATGTAGAGATCTGGGAGTCATCAGCATATAGTTAAAAGAGTAACAGTCGGTTTGCAAAGGGAAAAGTAGAAGGGACAAAACCTCATGGTGACAGGAGTCAAAAGTTAATCATTAACACAGGGGAGCAGAAAAAATGTGTCGCAGCCCAAGTGAGCCACATAAAAATATGGAAAAATATAGAGAACTTAGATTCTCAGTAAGGTGGTTCTTAGGGTTTTATTTGTTCTCTAATGATTGATACTACCATTTCAAGAATGAGGAAAAATGACTAACTACTTAAACTATGCAACAAATACTCAGTAGATTCTAAAATGAAAAAGTAATATATTAGGATCTATCACAATGCAATACATCTAAAAATTAATGCATTTGAAAATAAAAATCCTTCCAACTGGAATTTTTAAAACTGTTCACTTTGGATCAAAGAGAGAAAAATATAAATCAAAATGGCCTAATTTTCCTAGAAAATACTATAACCTAAATGGTATAACCTAAAAGTGATGCTCAAAAGAAAATTCATAGCTATAAACATGTATTAAGTTAGAAAGGTGAGAATAATTAAGCTAAAGTAACACCTTGACAGTAGGGACTCCATTTTAGAGCACCCGAGATTCCATCTTGAGAAAGCACCCCCACCATGAGACTATGGTCTGAAACTAACTATGGTCTAAAACTTAGACAATGACAGCACACTGCATTCCACTTGGCAGAGCATAGAAACTCCTTATTATGATTGCTGAAACTTAAAACAGGTAGGCTGCACCTGGATTAATGTCAATATTGTGATTGATTTTGGTTTTGCCTAGGCCTTAGGTCAGCTTGCCCCTAGAAACTGTGTATTTCCCCCAATCCTGAGCCTAGCAAGTGTGTATTCCCCCTTCCCTCCCTGTGATTTTTGCCTTTTTGAGTTCGGGGTTGAGAGAGTTCTTTAGGGGATGAGCCCACTCTCCACTGCTGGCAATAAAGGACTGTCAGATTTTATCAGTGTGTGGTACTCCTCTGCACTCGCTCATATACAGCATTTCGGAGGCCCCAGTGAGATCTGTTGACTGCCCTGGGAAGGTCTCACTCCGATCCTTCCAGGTTGGTGCTCTGGCTGTAGAGGAGGCACCCCTATGGGTGTTCTGATCCACCAACCTGGGAGGCTCGGCTTTACCTCTCCACTGACTCAGGTCCTCTTGTAAGTCAAAGTCAACTCCTATTTTCTGGTGGTGACTACTGAGTGTTTGGATTTCTGATGAGATACCAACACAAGTCCCCTTCCGATTGAGCACAATGGCGTTAGGAAGTAAGATTCTGGTCTGGTTAAAGAAAGGCCTTTCCTAGATCTAACTTGTTTTCTGTCATTGTGGCATGTCGTTACTGTTATTCTTGTCTCTGTCTCCTACTTGAAACATTATGACTCTAAAGTTAAGAAACAATAGAAGTAGCCGGCGCCGTGGCTCAATAGGTTAATCCTCCACCTTGCGGCGCCAGCACACCGGGTTCTAGTCCCGGTTGCCCCTCTTCCAGGCCAGCTCTCTGCTATGGCCAGGGAGTGCAGTGGAGGATGGCCCAGGTGCTTGGGCCCTGCACCCCATGGGAGACCAGGAAAAAGCACCTGGATCCTGGCTCCTGCCATTGGATTAGCGCGGTGCGCCGGCCGCGGCGGCCATTGGAGGGTGAACCAACGGCAAAGGAAGACCTTTCTCTCTCTGTCTCTCTCTCTCACTGTCCACTCTGCCTCTCAAAAAAAAAAAAAAAAAGAAACAATAGAAGTGAAAATGAAGAAAGGTTCTAATAAAGTTATAAATTAATAAGCTAAAGATAGAAAAAAACAGAAAACTAATAAGTAGAAAGGTTTAAATAAGGCAATTTCCATAGTCAATTGAAATTGTCAAAAAATTACATCTCAACCAAGACAAAGCACCAGCCTCAGACAATTTCTCAGAAAATTCTTCTAAACCTTTAAAAATCAGATAATTCAAATGCTATAGAAACTTCAAAAATGTAGAAACAGAAGGAAAGGGACTTTGGGGTACAGTGGATTAAGCCACTGCCTATGACACCAGTATCCCATACAAGCACCAGTCCGAGTCATGGCTGCTCCACTTCTGATCCAGCTCCCTGCTAATGGGCCTGAGAAAGCAGAAAATGGCCCAAATGCTTGGGTCCCTATCCTCACATGGGAGACCCAGGTGGGGTTCCAGGCTCTTGGCTTCCACCTGGCCCAGTCCTGGCCAGTATGGCCATTTGGAGAGTGAACCAGCAGATGGAAGGTACGTCTCCCCCTGATTCTGGAACTCTACCTTTCAAACAAATGAATCTTAGAAGGAAATCTTCCAGATTCTTTTTTTGAAATTAGTTATAAGAATACCAAAACTGGATAAAGTTTGCCATGACCAAATAAGATTTATTCTAGGAATACAAAAGTAACTTGTTATTAAACTATTAAGCATAGAAAAAAATCACAGAAAATCTATTAGTATATCTTAGAAAAGTTCTAAAATCATTTTCATAGCTGCCAATTCAACAAAATTCAAACCCCTTTTTCATAAGAACATTTAACAGAATACTAATTATTGGATGCTGCTTTAATCTGATGTTTATCCTTTCAGCCAATAATAAAGTGTTCCTTTAATAGAAACGGGGCGGCATTCTCACCAAAATTAGGAGTACTTCAAAGAAGCCCATCATAGTGAAAACCAGCATGTCAGTCACAGTGGACTGCATATATGACGGTGGTCTCATCTATCGCCTAGAGATGTCATAGCCATCTTATTTTGTATAGGTACCTTGAATATTGTCCATGTAACAAAATTCCCTAACAATGCATTTGTCAGTAGATGCCCTTTGTTAAGTGATACATGATTGGCCAGTATCTTTAAATAAGTAAATAGATATCTAAGAATTTGAGCAAAAGAGGCTGGCGCCATGGCTCACTAGGCTAATCCTCCGCCTGCGGTGCCGGCACACCACGTTCTAGTCCAGGTCGGGGTGCTGGTTCTGTCCTGGTTGCTCCTCTTCCAGTCCAGCTCTCTGCTGTGACCCGGAAGTACAGTGGAGGATGGCCCAAGTGCTTGGGCCCTGTACCCACATGGGAGACCAGGAGAAGCACCTGGCTCCTGGCTTTGGATCAGCGCAGTGCACCAGCCATAGCGGCCATTGTGGGGTGAACCAATGGACAAGGAAGACCTTTCTCTCTGTCTGTCTCTCTCTCTCACTGTCCACTCTGCCTGTCAAAAAATAAAAAAATAAAAAAGAATTTGAGGAAAAGATAAAACTACCTCTGTTTACGTGTGATATAATGGAAAATCCTAACAAATGTCGAGAAACTTATTACAAATAAAAAGCTTTCAGTGAGGTAAGGGGATGCAAAATTTTTAAAGAGAAACCATTAGCTTTCACATATGCAGAGAGCCATTTAAAAGATACAATGGAAAACTCCATTAAAATAGGAATATGAAAGATTAAATACCTAGGAATAAACTTAAAAATCTGCAAAATTTATAAGGAAACTTCAGAATAATAAAGGACACAATGTAGATTTGAATGAATAGAAAGAAATGCTATAGTTCACTTCTCCCAAAATTCATTTGTGAAGCTGTTGTAATCCCTTTAATAATACCAATGGGATTTTTCCCCCTGGAACTAGACAATCTGATTTCAGATTCAATTGGAAAATATATATATAATTAACCAGGAAAATTTCCAGGTATTAAAACATCCCATAATGTCTCTATAATTAAAGCAGTGTGATGCTGGCAAAGGAGTAGATCAACCAATGGAATGACATAAAATTGTGGAAACAGCCTCAAATACACAAATGTCAGGTAAAACTTTATAAACAGCCCCCAGAAGTAGTGAAGAGAAAGACTAACAGATTCACTCAGAAAGACAAATAACCCTTAAACATACAAAAAGATGTGTGGCCCTACTCATATTAGAAATACAAATCAAATCTCCTCTGAGTTAGCTTTTTCTTAAATATATATTTTTTTTTATTTGAAAGGCAGAGTTAGAGGCAGAGGCAGAGAACCATCTGCTGGTTCACTCCCCATTGGCTGTAACAGCCGGAGCTGTGCCAGTCTGAAAGCAGGAGCCAGGAGCTTCTTCCCAGTCTCCCACGTGGGTGCAGGGGCCCAAGGACTTGGGCCATCCTCTATTGCTTTCCCAGGCCATAGCAGAGAGCTGGATTGGAAAAGGAACAGCCAGGACTTGAACCAGAGGCCATATGGGATGCTGGCACTGCAGGTGGTGGCCTTATCTGGTATGCCCTATGCCACAGCACCAGCCCCTGCGTTAGTTTATTTTAAAAGATTGGTTTATTCATTTGAAAGGCAGAGTTAGAGTTCTTTGGTCATTTATCAGATGTACAAAAATCAAATTTAATGGGAATGTAAACTCATACAATCATTATGGAAGGCAGTGTAGAGACGCCTCAGAAATCTGAAAATAGATCTACCATGTGACCCAGCCATTCCACTCCTGGTAATTTACCCAAAGGAAATTAAATCAGCATATGAAGGAGTTCTCTGTACCCCCATGTTTATATACAGGATGGAATACAACTCAGCAATTAAAAGAATGAAATCCTCTCCTTTTTTAAAAGGCTTATTTATTTATTTAAAAGTCAGAGTTAAAGAGAGATCTTCCATCTGCTGGTCCACTCCCTAAATGGCCACAGCAAGTAGCAGGGGCCCAAGCACTCGGGCCATTCTCTACTGCTTTCCCAGGCACATTAGCCGTGAGCTGGATCAGAAGTGGAGCCGCGGCCGCCGCTGTGGCTTAGCAGGTAAAACCGCCATCTGCAGTGCTGGCATCCCATATGGACGCCAGTTTAAGTCCCGGCTGCTCCACTTCCAATCCAGCTCTCTGTGGTGGCCTGGGAAGGCAGTAGAAGATGGCCCAAGTCCTTGGGCCCCTGCACCCACGTGGAAGATGGGGAAGAAGCTCCTGGCTCCTGCCTTTGGATCAGCACAGCTCCGGCCATTGCAGCCAACTGGGGAGTGAACCAGCAGATGGAAGACCTCTCTCTCTGCCTCTCCTTCTCTCTCTGTGTAACTTTTATTATTATTATTATTATTATTATTATTATTATTATTATTATTATTTGACAGGCAAGAGTGGACAGTGAGAGAGAGAGCAAGGTCTTCCTTTTTCCGTTGGTTCACCCCCCAATGGCTGCTGCGGCTGGCGCGCTGCGGCCAGCACACTGCGTTGATCCGAAGCCAGGAGCCAGGTGCTTCTCCTGGTCTCCCATGCTCTCTGTGTAACTCTTTCAAATAAATAAATAAATAAATCTTAAAAAAAAAAAAAAAAAAAGTGGAGCAGTCAGGACTTGAACTAGCACCAATATGGGATGTTGGCACTGCAGACAGTGGCTTAACCCACTGTGCCACAGAAATCCTATCTTTCATAACCAAATGGAGACCATTATGCTTAGTGAAATAAGCCAGTGCTCAAAAAACAAATATCAGGGCCAGTACCGTGGCATAGTAAGCCAATCCTCTGCCTGTAGTGCCAGTATCGCACATGTGTGCAGGTTCGTGTCCCAGCTGTTCATTTCCCATCCTGCTCCCTGGTAATGTGCCTGGGAAAGCAGTGGATAGAGTACAGTCCAAGTCTTTCAGCCCTACTTTGAAACTAATAAATAATCTTTAATGGATGGATCCTTTTCTATGTTTAAACTACAAATCACATTTTGGTTCCCTCCCTTTCCAATATTTATTCATTTTAATCCCTTTTTCTGCTTTAGAAAAATTTAATTAATGATGTTAATATTGATAGCAAGTTTCTTTTCTTGAAGATTTATTTATTTATTTGAAAGGCAGAGTTAGAGGGAGAGACAGAGAGTGTCCATCTGCTGGTTCACTTCCCAAAAGGCCACAACAGCCAGGCCTGGCAGGCCAAAACCATGAGTCAGGAGCTTTTTCCAGGTCTTCCTTGTGGGTATCAATGGCCCAAACACTCAGGCCATCCTCTGCTGCCTTTTCCAGGCCATTAACAGGGAGCTGGATTGGAAGTGGAACAGCCAGCACGCAAACCAGTGCCCATATAGGATTCTGGTGTTGCAGGTGTCAGCTCTACCCTCCATGCCACAGTGCTGGCCCCAGATGTACTAATTTTCTTAATCAAAAAAATTTCAGTAGGGGGCTGGCGTGTGGTATAGCAGGTTAAGCTGCTGCTTGGGATGCTTGTATCCCATGTCAGAGTGCCTATTAGTCTTGGCTCTTCTACTTCTGATCCAACTTCCTGCCGATGCTCCTGGGAAATCAATGGAAGATGGCCCCAAGTACTTGGGCCCCTACCACCCACATGGGAAACTCTGGCCCAGCCTGGGCATTTCTGGCCATTTAGGGAGTGAATTAGTGAATGATTGTGTGTGTGTGTGTGTGTGAGAGAGAGAGAGAGAAACTCTTTGTCACTTTGCCTTTCAAAAAAATAGAACAAATGAAAGAAAAATTTTAAAAATTAAAGAAAAAATGAGGCTGGCGCCGCGGCTCACTAGGCTAATCCTCCGCCTTGTGGCGCCGGCACACCGGGTTCTAGTCCCGGTCGGGGCGCCGGATTCTGTCCCAGTTGCCCCTCTTCCAGGCCAGCTCTCTGCTGTGGCCAGGGAGTGCAGTGGAGGATGGCCCAAGTCCTTGGGCCCTGCACCCACATGGGAGACCAGGAGAAGTACCTGGCTCCTGCCATCGGATCAGCGCGGTGCGCCGGCCGCAGCGCGCCGGCAGTGGCGGCCATTGGAGGGTGAACCAACGGCAAAGGAAGACCTTTCTCTCTGTCTCTCTCTCTCACTGTCCACTCTGCCTGTCAAAAAAAAAAAAAATTAAAAAATATTAATAATACATTAAACATCTTTAAAATGCTAAATCCAACAGAGATTCACATTCCCACTAAGGCATATCTGAACCCATTATTTTCATTTTGCCAGTTGCAGTAAGTTTTTTTTTTTTTTTTTTAAGATTTATTCATGGGGCTGGTGCTGTGGCATAGCAGCCACCTGCAGTTTATTTATTTGAAAGAGCTATACAGAGAGAGAAGGAGAGGCAGAGAGAGAGGTCTTCCATCCGCTGATTTACTCCCTAATTGGCCGCAATGGCCAGAGCTGTGCCGATCTGAAGTCAGGAGCCAGGAGCTTCTTCCTGATCTCCCACGTGGGTGCAGGGGCCCAAGGACTTGAGCCATTTTCTACTGCCTTCCCAGGCCACCACAGAGAGCTGGATTGGAAGTAGAGCAGCTGGGACTCAAACTGGCGCCCATATGGGATGCCAGCACTGCAGGCAGCAGCTTTACCCGCTGTGCCACAGTGCTGGCCCCAATAAATCTTTTTTAAAAAATTTATTCATTTGAAAGACAGTTACAAAGAGAGGGGAAAGATGAGAAATCTTCCATCCACGGTTCACAATCCCAGTGGCTGCAACAGCTGGGGCTGGGTCAAGCTGGAGCCAGGAGCTCCTTCTAGGTCCGCATGGGTAGCAGGTGCCCAAGCACTTGAGCCGTCCTCTGCTGCCTTCTCAGGCACATTAGTAGGGAGCTGGATTGGAAGTAGAGCAGCTAAGACTTCAGCTGGCACTCCAATATAAATTGCTGGCCTTGCAGCAGTGGCTTACCCGCTGTGCCACAATGTTGTCCCCCAGGTAGTAATCTCTCTTTATGGCCAAATAATAAGAAAGGAAAATGGACAATGGTTGACATTATCTGCCAGTTGTCAGATTCCGGATTCTGAGGATCATTGTCATATGAGAAATCTGACTGGTTTTCTCTTGTCTCATGTTAACATCCTTCAAAAGTTAACTGAATTCTCTCTTCCTTTCCAAAGTCAGTGATGGTAACCCTGAGGGTGAAGATCTTCAGAAGGAACATGCAGGGAATGAAGATTGTAGAGAAAAGTCTTCAGACTCTGATGGAATGGATTGTTCTTTGGTCTCTAAACAACCTCCAGATTGCTGTGAAGAACAAAGACTAAATACATCCATTCCACAGAAAAGGAAAATGAGAAATCTTTTAGTTACCATTGAAAATGATACTCCACTAGAGGAACTCTCAAAATATGTGGATGTCAGTGTTATTGCTCTTACTCGAAGCCGGAGGACAAGGAGGTGGTACACCTGTCCACTGTGTGGGAAACAGTTCAATGAAAGCTCCTACCTTATTTCCCATCGGAGGACTCACACTGGAGAAAAGCCCTATGACTGTAGCCACTGTGGGAAAAGCTTCAACCATAAAACAAACCTCAATAAACATGAGCGAATCCACACAGGAGAGAAACCTTATTCCTGTTCTCAGTGTGGGAAAAACTTTCGCCAAAATTCTCATCGGAGTCGCCATGAAGGAATCCACGTGAGGGAAAAGATATTTAAGTGTCCAGAATGTGGGAAAACCTTCCCAAAGAATGAAGAGTTGTTGCTTCATCTACAGAGTCATGAGGCTGAGAAGCCGTATGGCTGCAAGAAATGTGGGAGAAGATTTGGTCGGCTGTCAAACTGTACCCGACATGAGAGAACCCACTCCACGTGTAAGGCCAGGAAGCAGAAAGGAGAGCGGGCGAGAGCTGACGGTTCTGCCTCAGCTTGAAAAGTACACAAGCATTTCTGAATTCCCAGGCCGCCTGACAGATAACAGATACCGGAAAACCTCATTGCAGCCAAAACTGGATAAATACCCATCTTGGCTAAACCTCAAATTGTTAGAAAATTCACAGGGAAGGAAATGTCCTCAAGGGCTATACCTCAGTTAGCATCTAGGCTTTTTGGACTAAGTTTTGTTTTATGAAGTTGTACACATGTATAGATCACAGAGCCCCCTCCCAAGAAAGACTTTAAATATGATTTTGGAGGCTGCTAGCCTGCATGGTGAACAGAGTGACTCGTGTCTGTTGAAGGTGTTTCCATTCTTTGCCCCATGTGGTCATTCATACTTGAGAAAAGAGAATGCAGAGGTCCTTATCTGAACTGTGTTCCTAGAAAACCAAACTACTGATTTGTTAAGCTAGCAGCTTCTAATAACAGTGCATATAACCTCAGAAGCCCTGTTAAGGCTGGAGTATCGAAAGGAATTGTTTACTTAGAATATAGGGAAACTACAGCAGTTGAATGTCAGAAGACTTAATCTCACTTGTATGTGATCTAAATAACATTTGCAATTTGTGATGAAACTTGATGATTTTACAGAAATCCTTTTCACAACATAATTTAAAGTATCTACTGTTTGTTCTTACTCTAGTTTGGTATTCTCTCACACAGCTGTCTCATGCCCTCCCTTGCCAGAAGAGGTTGGGTTTGTTAGGTCTGGTATCCAGCCCCACTACTGAAAAAGCCTTTCCAAATCTTGTTGTTCTGCTGAGCCAGTGTCTGGTCTGCTAAGAAGGAAACCCCAAGAGCCTGAAGAGGGGCCAACCTGGAGGCAGGAAATAGCTTGGATCCATGGCTGGTCAATAACCTGACCATGCTTAATTTATTTCCCTCTACACACAGTCATCAGACCCTTGACAATGGGTGGTCGCTACCTCACAAAGCAAAGTTTTTTTTTTGTTTTTGTTTTTTTGTTTTGTTTTGTTTTGACAGGCAGAGTGGACAGTGAGAGAGACAGAGAGAAAGGTCTTCCTTTTGCCGTTGGTTCACCCTCCAATGGCCGCCGCGGCTGGCGCGCTGCAGCCGGCGCACCGCGCTGATCCGATGGCAGGAGCCAGATACTTAACCTGGTCTCCCATGGGGTGCAGGGCCCAATTACTTGGGCCATCCTCCACTGCACTCCCGGGCCACAGCAGAGAGCTGGCCTGGAAGAGGGGCAACCGGGACAGAATCCAGTGCCCCGACCGGGACTAGAACCCGGTGTGCCGGCGCCACAAGGCGGAGGATTAGCCTAGTGAGCTGCGGCGCCAGCCACAAAGCAAAGTTTTTAAGACCTAAGTCTCTAGTGGTTAGCTCACATTCCCCCTCAGGGTTCAGAATTCTGAATGTCTCCATTTAATGGAGAGTCCCTATCTTTAGCCCTGTGACATCCAGACTTTCCTGTTCTCTGTAGAAGCAAGGCCACAAGTCCTTGGGCTCCTGTGCCTGCGTCGAGGGCCCAGGGGAGTCTCCTGGCTCCTGGCTTCAGATTGGCACAGCTCTGGCCATTGCAGCTGACTGGAGAGTGAACCAGTGGATGGAGGACCTTCCCTCCCCCATGTAGCTCTAACTTTCAAATAAATAATTAAACCCTTAAAAAAAAAAAAAAAGAAGCAAAGCCAGTGGTGTCTCCACCGGTCCAGTTCTGTGGAGTGATTAGGGATTGTTGCAACAGAATTTTATGTTGGTATTTTCATTGAAATAGGTTTGTCCTATAAACTATTTGGGAAAATTTGTGAAATTTTATAGATCTTGTTTTCCAACCAGAAACATGCCTTTCTACCTTATTTCTGAGTAAATTTTCTAATTCTCTGTTTTCTGCCCTTTTGTTACTGTAGATTTTTCATCATATTTTTCCTTCTGGGGTTTTTGTATATAAGAAAGTTACTTTTTAATTTGTGTAATGAGCCACCTCACTGAATGTTCTTAAGTTTTAGCAATTTCTCAATTTAGTTGTTTCTGGTAAAATTGAACCATCTGCAAATACTACATTTTTAGTTTTTTGTTTTCCCTTTCTGCCTATTGTTTTTATTTTTTGTTTGTTTTTATTTAGTTTTGTTTTTAAACACTGTAATTCTAAGATGTGCTGTCTGGATAGAGTATTCTGAAAGGAAATGTTATACAATTCAGTTGTGAATCAGAATTGGAGAACCATAACCAGAAACATGGTGGGCACGAGCCCGAGTGATTAAGTCGCCACGTGGGACACCTGCATCCCATACTGCAGCCCCACCTCTGCTTCCAGTCCAGCTTCCTACTAAGGTGCACCTTGGAAAGCAACAAGTGATGGCGCAAGTGCTTGGGTCTGCCACCCATGTGGGAGACTGGATAGAGTTCTGGCTTGGCCTGGCCCAGCTGTTGCCATTGTGGCCACTTGGGAAGTGACACAGCAGATGGAAGATCTGTCTCTGCTTTCAAAAGAAAAAGTAAATAAGTTAAAAAGAACCGCAAGTCCTAGAAAAACTGTTATGACATTCTGTTTCAGACCAACAACCTTTTAAAATTGGGTTACTTACTTACTCTTTGCAAGTCTAGCCAGCGAAGGCAGGGGTTGCCAGGGCCAGCACACCATGAGGACACAGAGGACCTGCCTAGCCCCTGGGAAACGGGATAGGTGGCTGCCAGGTAATGGTAGGGGGCGGTCAGGGCAGCCAGGGGGAAGGCCTCCAGCTGAGACTATCCTGTCCCCCACCCACGGTTCAGGTGTATGCCAGCCTCACGTGGTCTGGTGACCTTGCCCAAGTGCGTGGGTTTTGTTTTTGTTTTTTAAAGATTTATTTATTTGAAAGACTTACAGAGAAGGAGAGGCAGAGAGCTTTTCTATCTGCTGGTTCATGCCCAAATGTCCACAACAGCCAGAGTTCAGCTGATCTGAAGCCAGGAGCTTCTCTGGGTCTCCCACACGGGTGCAGGGGCCCAAGGAGTTGGGCCATCTACTGCTTCCCCAGGCCATAGTAGAGAGGTGGATTGGAAGTGGAGCAGCTGGGACTTGAATGGGCACCTATATGGGATGCTGGCACTGTAGGCAGTGGCTTTACCCACTATACCACAGTGCTGGCCCTAGCGCGTTTTAAGATGTGCAGTAATGCACAACCCACACACCCTCATGCTGAGGAGGTATGTCCATAAACCTAAAGTTCAGGTTCCTCACCACCATCTGCCGAAGGTGAGGCTGGGGTTGTGCTTCCGCCACCTGCCTCTGACGCAGTACATAGCACACCCAAGTCTCTGAGCAGCTGAACACGACAGGGATGAGCAGTGTGACCAGGGGCCTCACAAAACCCAGAGCCCTTGGGACATTACAGGCCGAGTAAGTGCCCAATTAGGAACCCAGTCACCAATTAAATGGGCAAAAATTAATAAACACACAACCACAAAGTTCTCGAGAAGAAGAAGCAAGAGTTGGGACATATGGAAGACAATGGTGCAATTCCAACAGCAGTGCTGATCAAAAATGTTCATCCCCTGGGCTGGGCTGTGGCATAGCGGGTAAAGCCCCCACCTGTATATGAGTCCTGCCTGCTCCATTTCCAATCCAGCTCCTTGCCAGTGCACCTGGGAAAGCAGTGGAAGATGGCCCACGTGCTTCTCTCTGCCACCCATGTGGGAGATTCGGAAAAAGCTGGCTCAGAGCTGCCCAGCTCCCACCCTTGCACTCATCTGGGGAGGGAATCAGCAGATGGAAGATCTCTCCCTCCCTCCATCTCTCTCTCTCTCTCTCCCTCTCTCCCTCTCTCTCCCTCCCTCCCTCCCTTTCAAATAAATGAATGAATTAAAAAAAAAAAAAATCCAGTGCTGTAGTGCAGCAGGTTAAAGCCCGGTCTGCAGAGCCGCCTACCCATATGGGTGCAGGTTCAAGTCCCAGCTTCACTTCTGATCCAGCTCTCTGCTATGGTATGGGAAAGCAGCAGAAAATGGCCCAAGTCCTTGGGCCCCTGCACCTGTGTGGGAGACCTGGAAGAGGCTCCTGGCTTCAGATTGGTCCAGCTCTGTCTGTTGCAGCCATCTGGGAAGTGAACTAGCAGATGTAAGACCTTTCTCTCTCTGCCTTTCTATAACTCTATCAAATAAATATATCTTTTAAAAAAAAAGAGGCAGCTGTAGGTCTACAGCCCATGGAGTGTCTTGGGGTGAGGACAGGGAGAAGAGAAATTCAGAAAATCTCATAAATACACACTACAGGCAGTGTGACAAGGGGTAGCCAGGACAATTCTAAAAGGTACAAGCAGATTTTGCTGAAAGGGCTCTGGGGAACTGGCGTTGAAACCACTCAGACCAGAAACATGGAGTGGCAGTGGGGCTCCAGTAACAAGACAGAAACAGAAACTTTGAGATGAAGAACTTTGAATGGCTAAAAGACACACAAAAGTATCCAGGTTTACTAGTAATCTTAAGAATTATAAATTCAACAAGATGTCATTCTCTTGGTGTGTTAAGTGTTCCAGCTTGGCAAAAGTGGGATGATGGTACCATCTACTCACACTGTGACAAAGGTGTTTCCAAAAAGATGTTATACCCCTTGACCCAGCCATTTGGCTCCTATGCACAAGGACACATGTAATTTTTTAAATTTTAAAATATTTTATATATTTAAAAAAGTTAGAGAGGGAAAGACAGATATTCCATCCATTGTTGGTTCACTCCCCAAATGGCTACAATGGGGTCAGTGCTGTGGTGTGGGTAAAGCTGCTGCCTGCTGCACCAGCATCCCATATGGATGCTGGTTCGAGTCCTGGCTGCTCCACTTCTGACCCAGCTCTCTGCTACAGCCTGGGAAAGCAATGGAAGATGGCCCAAGCCCTTGGACCCCTGCACCCGCATAGGAGACCTGGAGGAAGCTCCTGGCTTCTAGCTTCGGATAGGTGCAGCTCTGGCCATTGCGGCCAATTGGAGAGTGAACCAGTGGATGGAAGACCTCTCTCCCTCTCTGCCTTTCCTTCTCTCTGTGTAACTCTTTCAAATAAAATAAATCTTTCAAAAATGTAAAATAACATTTTAATACTGAAAACTTACAACTTAAGAGAGCTGAATAAATAACGGTATTTTCTCATCTCAGCTGGGCGGGTCTCTTTCCACTCCCTCCTGAGCCCGCACCAGTTTCACCTGCAACCCCAACACTTTTCTAAACTTTTATTCAAGGTCTGCAATGGCCTGCAATTTCACCAAGTCCAACATTCCAATGTCACTTTGGTTTCTGTGGCTTTTGATGTCCTTGGTCACTCCCTCCCAAACGCCTCACTTGGCTTGCAGGATACTGTCCTCTCCCAGCTTACTACTGCATGAGCTGCTCCTACTTGGTCTTCTGTGGTAGGCTGCCTTCCTTTTCCTGAATCTCTAAATCAGCAGTAATCAGCCATGGCTGCTCAATGCAATCAGCTGGAAAGCTGTAAAATAAATCCAGAGGCCCAGGCACAACCGAGAACAATTAAATCAGAATATGATGAGACCCAACCACCAGTATTTTTTAAAGACTGTTAAAGTAATATGCAAAGAAAAAAAAAAACAAAAAAAGAAAAAATAAAGTAATACGCAATGATAAAGCATGGTCTAATCACTGTGGTGTAGTAGGCTATGCCTCTGTGGCACCAGCATCCCATGTGAGCGCTCGTTCATGTCCCAGCTGCTCTGCTTCCAGTCCAGCTCTCTGCTTATGGTTTGGGAAAGCAGTGGAAGATGGCCCAGGTGCTTGGGTCCCTGCAGCCTTGTGGGGGACCCGGAGGAAGCTCATGGTTCCTGGCTTCAGATCAGCTCAATTCTGGCCACTGTGGACATTTGGGGAGTGAACCAGCAGAAGGAAGACCTTTCTCTCTCTCTCTCTCTTCTCTCTCTATATCTGTAACTCTGCCTCAAATAAATAAATAAATCTTAAAAAGAAAAGAGAGGTTCTTCCTCCCCTAACTTAGTAGAACTTCACTAAAACTGAATATTACAAACAAGTGCCCAGTCAGCCTAGAAGGTTCTGAAGCCTGACTGAAGTTTAACCAAGCAAAGAAACAGCTCCCAGGTGATCCCAACGGTGAACCAATACAAGCGCCAGTGTTGGAAATGCTTAAGTGTCCCAGGGCTCAGCGCTGAGCCCACTTCCTGCCTCTCCTGTGAGTGCGAGCTTTCCATATTAGAGGTCTGTATCCTGAGAAGCCCAGTAGAACTGCCAAGGGAGCTTCCAGAATCACCACTGCCTGTGGCCCGCCCCAGATAACAGGATTCCATTGGTCTGGGATGGGGTGTGGACAACCTGTTCTCGCTGATCTCACACCAACTTCATGGTACCATGTACTTCCTACAGACTTGACATTTAAGGAGTACTTTTCCCAGTAAGAGCAAAATGCACATTCGTCTGCAGCTTACATGGGCTATTCACCAAAAGTAGACCACATTATGGGACATAACGTGCACCACAGCAAATTTAGAACAGAAATCATACAAAGCATGCCCTCAGATCACAATGGAATTAAATTGGGTATCAATAAGGGAAAAGCTGATGGAAAATTCAAAAGTGTTTGGAGATTACATAATATACTTTAAAATGGATAAAAGAAGTGTCAAGCCAGCACCGTGGCACACTAGGTTAATCCTCTGTTTGCGGCGCCAGCATCCCATATGGGTGCCGGGTTAAAGTCCTGGTTGCTTCTCTCCCAGTCCAGCTCTCTGATGTGGCCTGGGAGGGCAGGGGAGGATGGCCCAAGTGCTTGGGCCCTTGCACCCACATGGGAGACCAGGAAGAGGCACCTGGCTCCTGGCTTCAGATTGGCGTAGCTTTGGCTGTAGCAGCCATTTGAGGAGTGAACTAATGGAAGGAAGACCTTTGTCTCTGTCTCTGTCTCTCTCTCTCACTGTCTGTAACTCTACCTGTCAAATAAATAAATAAAAAATCTTTTAAAAAAAGTGTTGAAAGAATTTTAAAATATTTTGAACTAAATGAAAATATGACATCAAAATATGCTAACAGTAGTGCTAACAAGGAAATTTGAATGCATATATTAGAAAAGAAAAAGGGGCTGGCGCCATGGCTCACTTGGTTAATCCTCCACCTGCAGCGCCAGCATCCCATATGGGCACCAGGTTCTAGTCCCGGTTGCTCCTCTTCCAGTCCAGCTCTCTGCTGTGGCCCGGGAAGGCAGTGGAGGATGGCCCAAGTGCTCGGGCCCCTGCACCCACATTGGAGACCAGGAGGAAGCACTTGGCTCCTGGCTTCGGATCCACACAGCACGCCAGTGGGGGGTGAACCATCAGAAGGAAGACCTTTCTCTCTGTCTCTCTCTCTCACTGTCTAACTCTGCCTGTCAAATAAAAAAAAAAAAAAAAGATCTTAAATCAACAATCTAATATGCTACAATAGGAAATTAGAAAAGCAAATTAAACCCAAAGTAAGCGGAAACCGAAATAATAAAAATTATAGAGGAAATCAGTGAATTGAAAACATGAAATCAGTAGAGAAAATCAATTAAAAAAATTTTAAAAACAATAAACTTTTATCCCATCTAATCAACAAAAAAGGGAAAGATACACATCATTATTATCAGAAATGAAATAGGGTCCATTACTACCAATCCCATGCACAATAATAAAAAATATTATTAATGACTCACAAATTTGCTAACCTAGATGAAATATACCAACTTCTTGAAAGATGCAATCTACCAAAACTCCTATCATCTGAAAAGGCCTGTATCTATCAAATAAACTGAATCAATAATTAATACAGAGGCCAGCGCCGAGGCTCAATAGGCTAATCCTCCGCCTTGCGGCGCCAGCACATTGGGTTCTAGTCCCGGTTGGGGTGCCGGATTCTGTCCCTGTTGCCCCTCGTCCAGGCCAGCTCTCTGCTGTGGCCCGGGTGTGCAGTGGAGGATGGCCCAAGTGCTTGGGCCCTGCACCCCATGGGAGACCAGGAGAAGCACCTGGCTCCTGCCATCGGATCACCTCGATGTGCCGGCTGCAGCACGCCTGCAGCAGTGGCCATTGGAGGGTGAACCAACAGCAAAGGAAGACTTTTCTCTCTGTCTCTCTCTCACTGTCCACTCTGCCTGTCAAAAAAAAAAAAATTAATACAGAAAGTTTCCAAAACAAAAAGTATCAGGCCCATATGGATTCACTGGTGAATTCTATAAAGCATTTAAGGCAGACATGATGCTTTGCTCTACAATCTCTTCCAGAAGGTGGAAGCAGAGGCAACAACTATTACCTGATTCTATGAGGTCAGCATTACCCAAATACCAAAGTCAGGTGAGTACAAGAAGACTGTCTCTCATGTACATTGATGCAAGAATCCTCAGTGAAATATTAGCATATCAAATCCAACAATGGATAATAAGAATTATATACCGGCCGGCACTGCGGCTCACTAGGCTAATCCTCCGCCTTGCGGCGCTGGCACACTGGGTTCTAGTCCCGGTCAGGGCACCGGATTCTGTCCCGGTTGCCCCTCTTCCAGGCCAGCTCTCTGCTGTGGCCAGGGAGTGCAGTGGAGGATGGCCCAAGTACTTGGGCCCTGCACCCCATGAGAGACCAGGATAAGTACCTGGCTTTTGCCATCGGATCAGTGCGGTGCGCCGGCTGTGGTGGCCATTGGAGGGTGAACCAACAGCAAAGGAAGACTTTTCTCTCTGTCTCTCTCTCACTGTCCACTCTGCCTGTCAAAAAATTAAAAAAAAAAAAGAATTATATACTAAGACCAAGTGGATTTATTCCAGATAGGCAAGGCTGATTCAACATTTAAAAATCAATTAATATAACCCATCACATAAGTAATTAACAATGACAGCCATTATATGATCCTATCAACAGATGTAAAAAAAGCATTTGACAAAAATTCAACATTCATTTATGATTTTTAAAAAAGCCCTCAAGAAACTATAAATTGAGGAGAAGTTCTTCAACTTGATAAGTAACATGGACAATAACATATAGCTAACAATACTTAATAGTCAGAAATTAGATGTTTCCTCCTTAAGACCCAGAGTAAGGAACAAGAATCAGGAACACAAATGTTGCTTCTCATCAATCCTATTCAACATCACACTGGACATCCTAGGTAAAGCACCTGGACAAGAAAAGGAAATAAACTTCTAATGAGTTTGGGGCAGGGCATTAAGCACCACTACATGCTAACACTAGAAGAAAAGAGACAACCAGACATCTTGTACTTTTTGATGTGGTAGTGTCAAAAAAATCAGAATTTCAGTCTGATCAAGATTCTGATCTAAATTCCACTGAAAGGAAATATAGGGAACAGAAGAACATTTTAAATGACACGATGGAGGTGTACTTATCAAAATCCAGACTGTGGAAGACTCTATAAGACAAATGGATTGATTTATGCAACAAATATACAGCAAGAATAAAATATATGTAAAGGGAACCTAAAGTTTAAATTTTAAAGTTGAAAGATGTAGAGGCTAGTGCTTAAAGCCCTGGCCTGCATCACTGACATCCCATATGGGCACCAGTTCGAGTCTCTGCTGCTCCACTTCTGATCAGTTCCCTGCTAATCTCCTGGGAAAGCAGTAGAAGATGGCCCGAGTCCTTGGGCCCCAGCACCCACGTGAGAGACATAGAAGAAGCTCTCTTGGCTCCTGGCTTCGGATTGGCTCAGCTCCGGCCATTGCAGCCATTTGGGGAGTGAACCAGCAGATGGAGGACCTCTTTCTCTCTGTCTCTACCTCTCTGTAACTCTATCAAATAAATAAAATAAATCTTTTTTAAAAAACAGATATAGCAGTCAATTGTTATATGCAAACTTTGAGTCTTTGTATTAAAATATGCAAAAAACTATTGCCATTAGACAATTGGGCATATTTAATAACATTAAGGAGTTAATTTTCTTTTCTTTTAAAAAAAAGATTTATTTATTTACTTGAAAGAGTTACACAGAAAGAGAAGGAGAGGCAGAGAAAGAGAGAGAAAGAGAGAGATCTTCCATCCACCAGCTCACTCCCCAGATGACTGCAACGGCCAGAGCCAGGACTGCAAAGCCAGGAACCAGGAGCTTCTTCCAGGTCTCCCACTTTTTTGGGTTCAGGAGCCCAAGGACTTGGGCCATCTTCCACTGCCTTCCCAGGCCACAGCAGAGAGCTGGACTGGAAGTGGAGCAGCAGGGATACGAACCAGTGCCCATATGGGATGCCGGCAAGGAGTTAATTTTCTAAGATGCAATAATGCTATGTGGTTATATCCTCGAAAAGATTCCATGTCTTTTTAAAAATATGTATTTTTAAAGGCAGTTACAGAGAGAGTCAAACGGTCGAAGTCGTCCCTACTGTATAACAGCTTCTAATCCAGAGCAAAGATGCAATTCCTAATTCCCGCTAACATCACTTCACACAGTCTCAGGTCTTATAAGACTTCCATAGCACGCTCTTGTGGAGATGCCTCGGGGCTCATGATGCTGTGTGGGCTCCCTTGCTATAACGAGTAATAACCCAATGTATTCACCCCACTTCATCCAGGTGTGCTTTTGGTGGGTGGGTGGTGCTGGAAGACACAGTAGTAACAGTCATTAGACTGAAGGGTCCCTCTTCCCACCTGTAACCTGAGGAATCGTATCCAGAGTTTCGTTCCCCCAACTCAGCAGTCTCTCTTACAACAGACAAATGTGCAGTTTCACACAGTACATAGATGGCTTTCAGACTAACTAGTTCCCTCTAGGATTTCCTTACCCTGGATCACTGAGGAGAAAGAAATCCCATGGCCATCACTTTCCCAAGGGCACATCTCATGTCTTTGTTCCTCAGGCTGTAGATGAAAGGGTTCAGCATGGGAGTGACCACTGCGAACATCACCACGGATGTGATATCGTTCTCAGCCGAGTGCGAGGACGAAGGGCTGAAATACACAGCGATGATGGTGCCATAGAAGAGGGAAACCACAGCCAGGTGCGAGCCGCAGGTGGAGAAGGCTTTCCACCTGCCCCGCGTGGATGGCACTTTCCATACAGCCCAGGCAATAAGGATATACGACACCAGGATACAAAGAAATGGGATGATCATTATTGGCCCAGCTTCAAAAAGAATCATCGCCTCATTGAGCCGTGTGTCCGAGCAGGAGAGCTTCAGGAGAGCAGTCACATCACAGAAGAAGTGGGGGATGGCGTTGTCCCCACAGAAGGACAGTCGTGCCATCAGCAGGGTGTGCAACAGCATGTCTGCATTGGCAACAATCCAGGACCCAGTGACCAGCAGGACACAGAGCTGGCGGGTCATCCTCGCCGTGTAATGTAAGGGGTGGCACACGGCGACAAAGCGGTCATAGGCCATCACGGCCAGGAGGAAATTGTCCATGTCCATGAATATGAAGAGAAAGTACATCTGTGTGAGACAGCCAGAGTAGGAGATGGCCTGACTCCCGAGGGCGTGATTGGCCAGCATCTTGGGGACGGTGGTGGAGGAGAAGCAGACGTCCACGAAGGACAGGTTGCTGAGGAAGAAGTACATGGGGGTGTGCAGGCGGGAGTCTGTGCCGATGGCCAGGACGATGAGCAGGTTCCCCAGGACTGTGGCCAGGTACATGCTCAGGAAGAGCACAAACAGCAGCCGCTGCTGCTGGGGCTGCCGCGAGAGTCCCAGGAGGAGGAACTCGGAGACGCTCGACTCGTTGGCCCCTCCCATGGGTCTGAAACCAGGTGCAGAGTGAGTTCAGAGAGGCAGACTATGAGGATGTGACTGCCACCAATCAAGCCCCAGTCACAGCCATGTGAACAGAACCTGTAGTGGAGTTGTTCCGTCAGGATCTTCTCCTAACCCATGGACCCCTAACTGTCAACACCTGATCCGAGATGCTGCTGGTCCCGCTGACTGGTTCTTGTAGTTTTCTACACCGTAACAACATGCAGGCACACCCAGAGCCCTGCTCTGCAAGTATGTGGGTCTCCCTCAACATTCTCAGGCTCTCACCCACACTCTAGTCCAGACAAGAGAAAAGCTGCTCATTACTGTCTTTATCCCAAGCTCAGGCTGATGGAGTCGGGATTCTTACTACTGCTTCCTATGAATGGGGAAGATTTGGGGCTTCCTCCAAGGACCTCAATCATTAGTACAGAGACTGACATTTCCACAGTCACATAGCACCTGGGAGACGTGGGGAGATGGTTGTCAAGTATTCTTCCCTCCAAAGAACTGGTCTCTTTTCCTCTTCCTTCCCGGGACAGCAGTCGGGAGAGCACGGCAGGCTCTGAGCAAGCACAGAGCAGCTGTTCCCTCTGCACAGGAAGACGTCTGGGGCGTCACAGTCAGGAGTTTATAGCAGCCTCCAGGGGGCGTCACACACAGGCGTTTACTGCAGCCTCCACGGCCACGGGGACCAGACTCCCTGAGAGTCTTGTTAGAGAGGAAGAGAAAGTAATTGTGCCAGGTCCTGGTCCCTGTGGGCCAACTTTCTTATCTAACCCTTAGGTCAGAACTAACGGATGAAGCAATCTGGAGGGAAACAGGCCCCAGACGAAACTCCCTGGGATCTCAAACTACATCTCTATCCTGACCTGGACTTTGTTCACAGGTCTCATCAGCTACCCAGAGATTTTTCTTCTTACCTTCATAGCTCAGAAACTGGGGTCCCTGCAAGATTCCTGGAATGAACATCTTTTTTTCTCATGCCTGGTCATGTCCTATAGATAGCAGGGATGTGTTTGCAGGCCCAGATGTCAGGGGGCATCACAGAGTGGCGCTTAATCCCTTAAAGCACTGGCTGTTCAGAAAAACCACTGTGTGATGGTGGAGGGAGAGCGACATTGAGGAGGGCGTGACACAACACAATATCATTGAGGAAACCCCTCACCCACAGCAGAACTGCTTGCATATGTCATCCCACGTCACAGGAGAGCACACTTTCCTGAGAACAGGTCCCTGACCCATTGACCATCTGGGATGTCCATCACCCACTTCCCAGGAACAAGTGACGACTGCGTGACGGATCTGGCGCTGGAACTGAATGCCAACAGGTCATTCTAAGTAGGCTACAAACCTAGATGCTTGCAACTGTCTACCGGCTATTTCACAGATGGAGAGGCTAAAGCCTCTAATAAGATTTAAAAATGAAAAGACAGAAGTAGAAGTGAGCTGGAAAAAACTGACAGCTGTCTAGTTCAGGGCCCAAGTCATTTTTTTTTTAACAGGCAGAGTGGACAGTGAGAGAGAGAGAGAGACAGAGAGAAAGGTCTTCCTTTGCCATTGGCTCACCCTCCAATGGCCACCGTGGCCAGTGTGCTGCAGCCAGCGCACCGCACTGATCCAAAGCCAGGAGCCAGGTGCTTCTCCTGGTCTCCCATGGGGTGCAGGGCCCAAGCACTTGGGCCATCCTCCACTGCACTCCCAGGCCACAGCAGAGAGCTGGCCTGGAAAAGGGGCAACCGGGACAGAATCTGGCGCCCCGACCGGGACTAGAACCTGGTGTGCCGGCACCGCTAGATGGAGGATTAGCCTATTGAGCCGCAGCGCCAGCCTCAAGTCATTTTCTGATGAATGACTACACTGTAGTGTCCCTCACTACTCTAAGTTGCAAATAACAAAACAAGTCTTACTGAGCTACACAGAAAACAATTTTGTGAAAATCTGTTTTCTGAAACAGATTTTGTGAAAGTCTGTTTTCTGCTGTTGTAACAGAATTCTGTAGACTGGGTAGTGGGCAAAGGATAGAGATTTGCTTTGTTCCTAGTTCTGGAGGCTGGTAACTAAGGTCAGGGCTGCCCATGCGAGGGTCTTTCTGCTGCATCATAACACGATAAACTGCATTACCAAAGAAGATGGGCGAGGCAAGACAGAGCAAACTATGGGCTGAACTAATTCTCTTTAGGAGAAACCCACTCCCGATTTAATGGCGTCAATACATTGCTGACAGCAGAGCCCTCAGAACCTGAACACCTGTAAGTGGCTCCACTCTCAACACTGTTGCTTTGGGCATTAGGCTTCCAAACATACAAATTTTGAGAGACATACTCAAACCACAGAAGACACCTTTGAAACACTGGACGGCTGGAGAACAAGGCTTGGAGGACCACACAGCAGCCCCAGCGGCCCACACTGAGCCACCACACTGTTCTGATCAGCACACAGACACTGCTGCTGCCTCCCAGCATAAAGGCTGCAGTCCGTGGCTTGGACACAGACTCACTGTCCAGAGGATGCTGCTAGAGGACAGCGCGCACTGTACAGAGGATGCCACTAGAAGCACCGCTGCCTCGGGAATCCATCCTTCTCCTATGGCCGCCACCTGGGTCCCCCCCTTCCCTCAGTAAAAGGCAGGGGCACACGCCCACATCTCAGGAGAAAGAGGGGCTGGGAAATCAGCTACTCAGGGTTTCGGTTCCATAGGGAGACACAGGCTCTCACCCCAAGAACTGTGAGGGGGGTGATTACTTAAGCTTTGGAAGGGGGTGCAGAAATCGAGAAGCGAAGAAGCCTGAGAAATGACCACAGTATTCACCCTGCCACACGCCCCTCTCTCCAGTTTGCTCTTCGGTAGAAAAGAGATTCTCTGGCCTACCATGATGCAGCCATCCTACACGCAATGGGGACACGACTCATAGTCCCACCAGTTACCGCATGCAGGTCCACAACCAGGTCTCTCCTGCTCTGGTCATGATCCCATGACGACAGACTGGAACTTCTGAGTCCAACCTGAAAGCTGACCAGTCAGGACACATCCTGCTTGTGCGTACAACATGAAGAAAATCAATCAAGAAAAAGAAGGATAGCTGAAATATGTAAGTAAAAGGGATGTCAAAAGTTGCTGGAAATGCATATTATGAAAAACAATGTATGGGATTCTAGATTCATTGTACCCAAATAATCTTATCCTTGAATTCCATTAGCCATAAACTTCTGAAGCCACCCTGAACTGTCCTTGGTAGGAACAGTACACTGTGTCCAATAACACAGCACCCCAAACGTACAACAGCCTCAGACTGCCCTTCTCGGGTCTTCACTATGTCAGTGAGGTCAGTTACCCCAGTGAATGCGTACACATAAATGCCAGTCAGTCTCACAGACACCGGACTTACCCTTGGATCCATTATCTACACTTACCCTCATAGTAGGCAACAAGTCACTCCAACACACAGCAGCAAAGAACAGCAAACGTTTGTCTCACAGAGATCCCACGGGCTGAGACTGTGGTTGTGGTTTAGCGGAATGGTTCTGGGTCACGCTTCTGCGTGAGACTGCAGGTACGTTGGCGGCAGGGGCTCAGTCCCGGAGGCTGACTCAGGCTGCAGAATCAACTCCAAGAGAGCTCCTCCTTCATTCACTGCCATTGGTAGCAACCTCACTTACTCACTGGACCTCCACACAGAGCTAATGTGAAGTGTCCTCACACAGAACTGCTGGTGTCCCCCGAGCAGGGCTTCAAGACACATGACAGAAGCCACAACATCCTTTAAGTCACAGCTCCAGAAGTCACACGCCACTGCTTCCTGCACACTACTGCCTGCACACTCATCCCAGATCAACGTGGGAGGGATTACAGGAGGCCGGGATCACTGAGGGTCATCGTGGCAACTGGCTGCCACATCATTTATGATCAAGTGGGTTCACTGGTTACAGACCAGGTCTATGGGATGCCAACTTGACAGATGAATCCACCCTCCTAACACGCATTCTGTCAGTCCTCCAACCTCAGGGTGACTGAGCTGCTGCGTCCACGGTGCCCTCTCTTGACTACTTTCACACATTCAGGAAGCCATGTTCACCACAGGTTTTTCTACGGATATCATCCCGTTCAGTGCTAGGTGCTGCCTGGGATGTCATAAAGATCCTGACAGTGGAATCCACCATCTCGCAACACAGTTACATGAGAACCGAGCTTCCAGCACATGAACCTGTCGGGGGCAAACCTGAGTGAGACCACAGCAGCAGGGCTTAGCCTTTGAAGAGGAGCCTTCACTCTGAGAGGGCCCGGACCCACCGACACTGACTGGTTAAACACGCCCATCTCCCCAGCCACCCTCCCCATGTTACAGGACCTCCAGATTGCACACGACACCTTTAGCTTTCAGTCTCCACCTGAAGATGTAGGATGGGAACCCTGAACACCTGTGACCCTCAGTAATGAGATGGGGGGCGGGCAGAGACTGAGTAGACAGGGATTCTGGGAAGTGTCAGTGGCCCATTTTTGGTGGCCATGAACCCTGGGGCACCAATTCCTGTCTCTCAGGGGCCAAAGAGCCTGAGGCACCTGCCACAGTAAGAATTTCAGCTCTATGTCCATGTTCCCAGTTTTTGGCTCCTGTAGCAACAGAAGGCATCATACAGCCTCACCAAGACAACTGTGAACTGAGGCCTCCACCCTCTCCTAACTGGATGGAAAGACACCAATCAGGAAAAAGATTAGCAAGGGTGGAGACAGGGAGGGCCCAGTGGTGCCATCTCTGATTGGTCCTGTTCCTGGGCATATGGGGCATGCTCACAGAGTCAGCCCCCCTCCCCAGCACATGCCATTGGTGCATCAGTGTGATGCCCCCTTCTCCAAGTCTCATAGCAGCAGTGCAGGGCTCTGAATAACACTGAGGCAAAGTGAAAAACCTAAGGCCTCAGTAACCCAGATAAATAGCATTTAATTCATATTTTAAAAACTAAATTCAATCAACAGTATTCACAAAATAACAACATTTTAAAGACAAATCCAGTAAGATTCAAGATAACTTAATATTACTTTAGACCTTCACCTGGTGAAGAGAAATCACTGTAGGTGGAAATTCTCTCAGACAGAATGCAGATAAGCAAGAATGAATTTGAAAATATTGACTTTTGGGCCGGTGCCACGGCTCACTAGGCTCCTCCGCCTTGCGGCGCCGGCACACCGGGTTCTAGTCCTGGTTGGGGCACCGGATTCTGTCCCGGTTGCCCCTCTTCCAGGCCAGCTCTCTGCTGTGGCCAGGGAGTGCAGTGGAGGATGGCCCAAGTGCTTGGGCCCTGCACCCCATGGGAGACCAGGAGAAGCACCTGGCTCCTGCCATCGGATCAGCGCGGTGTGCTGGCCACAGCATGCCGGCCGCAGCGGCCATTGGAGGGTGAACCAACGGCAAAGGAAGACCTTTCTCTCTGTCTCTCTCTCTCACTGTCCACTCTGCCTGTCAAAAAAATATTGACTTTTGCTCCCACTAAAGCTAGGAAAGTAATATTTTAAAATATTTTTTGGGTCAGTGCTGTGGCATAGTGGGTAAAGCTGCTACCTGCAGCGCCTGCATCCCATATGGGCGCTGTTCGAGACCTGGCTGCTCCACTTCTGATTCAGCTCTCTTCTATGGCCTGGGAAAGCAGTAGAAAATGGTCCAATTTCTTGGGCCCTTGCACCCACATGGGAGACCCAGAGGAGGCTCCTGGCTTCGATCGGCACAGATCCAGTTGTTGTGGCCATTTGGGGAGTGAACCAGCAGATGGAAGACCTCTCTCTCTCTCTCTCTCTCTCTCTCTCTCTGTAATTCTGCCTTCAAATACATAAATAAATCTCTTTAAAAATAAATAAAATATTCTCATTTAGGGAAAGGTGTTGTGATTCAGAATGTTAAATCACAACATAGGATGCTGGTGTCCCGTATTTGAGTGCTGGTCTCCTGCTTGGATGGCAGGAATCCAATTACTTGAGCCATAACCACTGCCTTCTAAGGTACACATTATCAGGAAGATAGTCAAATATTGGAGACAAGTATAAACCCAAGTACTGGGGCCAATGTTGTGGCATTCTGATTTATGTCCCTGCTAATGGCTGGGTAAAGCAGCACAACATGGCCCAGGTGTTTGGGCCTCTGCTACCCATGTGGGAGAATCAGAAGAAGTTCCTGGCTCCTGGCTTCAGCCAGCTCAGTGCTGGCCCTAGAGGCCATCCAGGGAGTGAATGAAGGATGGAGGATCTTTCTCTTTCTCCCTCTCTTTCTCTTTCTCTTTTTCTCTCTCTCTCTCTCACCATCTCTCACTTTCACACTAAATAAACAGATGCTTAAAAAGAAAGACCATCTAACACCGAAGACATGAATCCTTTTCTGAAGTCACACAACTCACTGGAGACAACGCCAGGTATACATCTGGCAAGGCCATGCTACAAGTAAGCCCAGGTGATGACTTTTATTGCTGACCCATTACAACTTAAGTCAAGAAGGGACTGAAAGGACATGCACCATCCTCGAGTGAACACAGGACCTTCTTAACCCTGGGGCATGCCTGACTCCGTGGGACGAATGAGCTTTGAGATCTTTTGTCAATAAGCAGGGGATGCAGGACTCGATATAGAAAAGGCCAGTGTCATTGGGCAGGGAGAGTGGACAAAGGAAGTCCCTGCTGTTGCAGCGGCTCACCCAGTAGCTTATGAGAATGTTTGTGGGGGAATGAGAAGGTGAGAACGTCATGCCAAGATGGCCATTGACAACAAAAATTGCCTGGCAACAGGCCGTGATTGGATGGCTTTGGAAACCACATGACAACAGAGCCTGACTGATAACAGGCTGTGATTGGATGGCTTTGGAAACTGCCTGGTAACAGGCTGTGATTGGTTAGAGCATAGACTGCCCCTTGATCAGATTGGCTGCCTTGGCTATATAAGCAGCTGCAGCAACTGAAATAAACGAGTCTGCAGGCTGCTTGCCTCAGGCCTGCTTTCACCCGACTCCCGGGGTCTGTGTGGTGACTCCACACCTCTTGCCCCCACCACGCTCCTTCTCTCAGGAAGAAATCCACCTCAACAAATGTTGATGCCAGTAGACAAAGTGGTATGAGCCTGCTGTCTGCTGCAGCACCATTTACACTCATAGGGAACTGAATCTGCTCAGGATGGAATTATCCAAGTTAGTCACATATAACACATCCATACCATGAAATGTCATACAACTGTAAATATCACATTGAATGTACTGGTTACATGGAAAATGGAAAGTCAAAATTCAGGATGCAAAATTATATAAATTCCTTGAGGTCAACTTGGTTAAAATAACTTTCATATATCTACTCTCAATTTTTAAATTAATTTATAATTTAAAAAGCAGAGATATATAGAAAGATAGTCAGAAATCTCCATCTCCTATGTCTCTCCCCAAATGCCTGAATCAGTCAGAGCCAGGTAAAGCCAGATCCAGGAGCTCAATTCAGGTCTCCCAAATGAGTGGTAGAAGTCATCTACTTGAGCCATCTCCCTCTGCCTCTTAGGGTGCTCAGTGTCAGGAACTGGCTTGAACTAGGCACTCTAATATGGGCTACAGGCATCACAAGTGGCGATTTAACCATTGTGCCAAATTCTCACTCCCAAGAGTCCTTACCTTTTAAAGACACACAAAGAACCATATAGGCATGAAATGATATCTGGCATTTAAAAGAAACCAGGAAGGGGAAAGAGACTAGGGGTACAGGTGGAACAGGATGATCAATGGATAATGAACAGATAATTACCGCATCTAGGTGATGCTCATGTGGGTTCGCTAATATTTGCTGTCTGTTCTTATGTGGGTCTGAAATTTCCCATTCCAATACTGGATGCATGCATCTCAAGTCACAGTCTTTCTTGCCGAATCACAACGCCTGCCTCCCAATGAGAATTTTTGAAAATATCACTTTTGGGGGCCGGTGCTATGGCATAGCAGGTAAAGCTGCTGCCTGCAGTGCCAGCATCCCATATGGGCACTGGTTCAAGTTCTGGCTGTTCTGCTATGGCCTGGGAAAGCAGTAGAAGATGGTTAAAGTCCTTGGGGCCCCTGCACCCATGTGGGAGATCCAGAAGAAACATCTGGCTCCTGGCTTCGGATCAGCACAACTCTAGCCATTGTGGCCATCTGGAGAGTGAACCAGTGGATGGAAGTCCTCCTGCTCTCTGCCTCTCTGTAACTCTGCCTTTCAAATAAATAATCTTTTTTTTTTTTAAGAAAAGAGTATTTTAAAAAATCACTTTTGTAATTTTAGTGGAAGCAACATTCTGTTTACTTAATAAGCTGGCACACTTCTCAGAAATTACAATAACCCCAGCTGGACCAGGCACTTAGCACAGAAATTAAGTTACCCTTGTTCCACATTAGAGGACCTGGGTTTGATTTCTGGCTCTAGATCCTGGCTCCATGTTCCTGTTAATATGCACCCTGAGAGGCAGCAGGTGACGGCTCAAGTGCTGGGGTCCCTGCCATCCACAAGACAGATCTAAGTTTGTTCACAGCTCACAGCTTTGACCTAGTCCACCCTGACTGAGTGGTCTGCAGGGTCTTAGTCCACCCGTACTAGGATGGACTGGGCCCGAGGAAAGGTAAGCACGCTGCTCGCTGGTTTCCCAGCCTCATGATCCCGGAGACAATCAGACACAGTGGGGAGCCAAGTCTAGCAAGAACTCATTTATTTCGCGCATAACAGAGCCTTTTAAAGCACAAAACTACAGAGTCATTGGGGCAAGGCATCAGGACCAACCAATCACTTAAAAGAACATTTTACGGGGAGATTTTTATAGGACTAGCCATATGTCTATACATTCATTATCGGTTGTCGTCACTTCCCCTGATGTTGTGTGGCCAATTAGCTTTGGTGGTAAACAACTTTGTGTTCCACCCACCTTACTTCCTTTGGGTGCCATCTTTGAATTGCCTTGTGTGTCTAATTTCCCCACAGTGGTCATTTGGTGAGTGAACGAGCTGATAGGAGCTCTGTGTGTCTCTCTGCCCCTTAAAGAAAGAGAATTTTTAAGTAATCAGGGCTGCCAGTGATGTGATAAGAAAGAGATCACATTCCTTGACCAAAAAAAATTATAAAAACTTTCTGGAAAGCAACTGAAAAATATTAATATGCTAGCGTCTGGGTCTGCATTGTGGGATAGTGGGTAAAGCTGACACCTGTGATGCAGATATCCCATATAGGCACTGGTTCAAGTGCCAGCTGCTCCACTTCCGATCCAGCTCCCTGCGAATGTTCCTTGGAAGGCAGTGGAAGATGGCCCAAGTCCTTGGGCCCCTGCACCCATGTTGGAGAACCAGAAGAAGCTCCTGGCTCCTGGCTTCAGGCTGGCCGAGCCCTATCTGTTGCAGCCCTTTGAGGAGTAAAGCAGCAGATGGAAGATCTCTTTCTCTCTGTGTGTCTCTAACTGTACCTTTCAAATAAAGAAAAATTTTAAAAATATAAGCTAGTGTCAACCCTCTGAGCCAGCACTGTTGCACAGTTGGTTGAGCCAAGTATGCAATGTCATCACTTTTGGATTTTTGGCTGCTCCTCTTCTGATCAGTTTCCAGTTGATGCCACTGAGAAAACAGTGAAAGAAGGCCCCTGCCACCAAGTGGGAGAGCAGAATGGAGCTCCTGGTCCCTGGAGCAGCTGAGGCCATGTGGGGAGTGGACCAGTGGATGGAAGACCTCTCTCTCTCCTTCTGTCACTCTAACTTTCAAATACCTAAATAAATCTTTTAAAAATAAATCAAAAATTATTAGTTCAAAAAAGTAGCCAAGTCAGGGCTTCCTGGAGTTCTGTGTACACCCCTTCCTTAGCCCCAACAACAATCTAATCTCACTTCAAAGACACTCAGGACAAGCTCTGCAAACTAAAAAACAGCGATGATCACAACACTCAGGAGCTGGCCAGGAACTCCCAAACCAACCAGATTCACACGGAGATGTTCACAGAACTTCACCATCAAATAAGGCCACTCCGTGCCCGTCATGGAGCAGGACAACACGGCCACTCTGCAATCCTGTCTGAGCACAAACACCTGAATACTGTCCTAGCCACAGGAATCATCCACTGCCCCCCTAAGGGGACTGAGATGAGCGACTGCTGCAGCTTCGTCAGTTACACCTTGGCCTTAGTCAACTCTTGCTTCATTCTGGATAAAATACAGTAAATGGTCCAGTCAGAATGCTCCCTCCTCTGTAACGGCTTTTGATCCTGAACAAAAAGCCCAGTGCCTCATTCCTCACCAACATCACCTCACACAATCCAGGTCTTACAAGTCTCTGCAGCACCCTCCTATTGAGACACCTCAGGTTTCCATGAGGATAAGTGTTATCTCTTGTTGTTATGAGCACTAACCCAATCTATTCATGTCCACTTCATGCAGCTGTGTTTTTAGTACATTTTGACCACAGGACACTAAAGAATATTGAAGTCAAAGAGGGACTGAAGAGTACTGAGGAATCTGTTTCCAGATTCTTGTTCTCCCAACACAGCAATCTACCTTACAACAGCCAATCACAGTAGTTACCACCAGGATTTCCTTATCCTATGTCGCTGAGGAGAAATGAATCCCATGGCCACCACTTTCCCAAGAGCAGCTTTTACGTCTTTGTTCCTCAGGCTGTAGATGAAAGGGTTCAGCATGGGAGTGACCACCGTGAACATCACTGCAGATGCTATGTCTTTCTCAGCCGAGTGTGAGGACGAAGGGTTGAAATACAAGGATATGATGGTGCCATAGAAGAGAAACACCACAGCCAAGTGGGAGCCACAGGTGGAGAAGGCTTTCCACCTGCCCCGAATGGAGGGCACTCTCAGCACAGCAGCAGCAATAAAGACATACGACACCAGGATGCAAACAAAGGGGGCGATCATGATCAGTCCAGCTTCAAAAACAATCATCATCTCATTGAGCCGTGTGTCTGAGCAGGATAGCTTCAGGAGAGGAGTCACATCACAGAAGAAGTGGGGGATGGCGTTGTCCCCACAGAATGACAGTCGCGCCATCAGCAGGGTGTGCAACAGAGAATTCAGGTTGGCAATGACCCAGGACCCAGTGACCATCAGGACACAGAGCTGACGAGTCATCTTTGTTGTGTAATGTAAGGGGTGGCACACGGCGACAAAGCGGTCATAGGCCATCACGGCCAGAAGGAAATTGTCCATGTCAGCAAAAACACAGACAAAGTACATCTGTGTGAGACAGCCAGAGTAGGAGATGGCCTGACTCCCGAGGGCGTGATTGGCCAGCATCTTGGGGACGGTGGTGGAGGAGAAGCAGACGTCCACGAAGGACAGGTTGCTGAGGAAGAAGTACATGGGGGTGTGCAGGCGGGCGTCTGTGCCGATGGCCAGGACGATGAGCAGGTTCCCCAGGACCGTGGCCAGGTACATGCTCAGGAAGAGCACAAACAGCAGCCGCTGCTGGGGCTGCCGCGAGAGTCCCAGGAGGAGGAACTCGGAGACGCTCGACTCGTTGGCCCCTCCCATGGGTCTGAGCCCAGATGCAGAGAAAATAAAGAGGACAGAAATGGGAAAGCTGAGGGACTGGATGCAGAAGTCAAGACCCATCTATGGACATGCTAATGAACCCTGTGTTAGAGATAGTAGTCAGAATCTACCCCTGGTCCCGACACCCACAACTTCCAACCCTCAGTCCCACATGATGCTGGTCCCACTGGATTCAACCTTTTAATTTTCTAAACATTAACATTAAACCAACAGGTAAGCAAAGACACAGCCCTTCTCTGTCTTTGTTTCAGGCTTTCTCTTCATGAACTTTCTCTATGACCTTAGCAGTTCATAGAAGAAACAGAAACAGCTGATTATCACTGTGTTTATAATAAGCTTCAGCTAAAAGATTCAGAACTAAGACTAATGTTTCCTGGATGGGAATGATTTAACAAAAGGGGTTCCTCAAATACCTTCAGTCATTAGTAATGACATCCCCACTGTTATGCTAGTACCTGACAGACATGAGCAATGCTGCTGTCAAGTGTTCTCCACCCTGCAGGAATTGGCCAATACCACTCTTACTCTAAGCAGTGAGAAGTCTTAGACATACAGGCAGGTTCTGAGCTAGGGAAGAGGAGATGGTCACAGCCTTCCCCCTCCGTGCAGAAAGGATGTGTGGGGAGTCACAGACAGGTGTTTACATGGCTTCCATGACCCCTGAGACCAGACTCCCTGAGAGTCTCATTACAGACAAGTTCAAGGTAATTGTCCCATCTATTTCCCAATCCCCGTGGACTCAGCAATGACGGCAAAGGATGTGATCTAACCCTTGGCTAGGAACTTGGAGACAAAGCAATATGGACAGTGGCAAGTCCCACAGAAAACTCCCTAAAACCTCATCCTGTTCATCTCATCCTACGTTTATAGGCTTTCAAAGTCAATCTTTACATTATTTTCACAGTAGTTGGCGCTATTTCATGCTTATCTTAGATCCAGTCAGTTACTGCACAGAATAAGGGAAGTATGTGCTGACAGGGATGCCAGGGTAGCATTAAGGCTACAGAGCACAGCATTTTAGTAATCAGGAGAGATGTACCAGGGAGTACAGAGCCTACATGATTGAGGAAACCCATGCTCCCAGAATTGAATTCTTTGGGTATGTCTTTCCAGCTCACTATGGGATCATCCTCTTCTTAGAATGGCCCCCTAATCCACAGACCCTTCAGAACCACAATTTTCTAAAAGATTTAATTTATTTTAAAGGCAGAGTTACAGAGAGGGTGAGAGACTGAGAGAGGCTTCCATCCAATGGTTCACTATCAATGACCACATCGGCTGGAACTGAGCCTATCCGAAACCAGGAGCTTTTCCAGGTTTCCCATGAGAGTGCAGAGGCCCAAGGACCATCTTCTGAGCATCCTTTTCTCAAGCCATACAAGTCACTGGCGACAATGCCAGGTATCTATCAGGGATACATACAACACGAGTAAGCCTAGACGCTGACTTTTATTACTGAACAATTTGAATTTAAGCCAAGAAGGGATTGAAAGGACAAACACAGGTAAACACAGGAATCGAGTGAACACAGGACCTTCTTAACTCTGGGGAGTGGCTGACTCTGTGGGAGAAGTGTTTTGGGATCTTCTGTCAACAAGCCAGTTACAGGACCCATGACTGAAAGGGCTAGGATTATCGGGCAGAACCAGTGGATGAAGATTCCTGTCCCTGCTGCTGCAGCGGCTCACCCGGTCGCCTGTGGAAATGTTGATGGCGGCGGACAAAGCGGTGGGAGCCTGCTGTCTGCTGCAGCACCATTTACACTCATAGGGAACTGAATCTGCTCAGGCTGGAGTTATCCAAGTCAGTCACATATAACACATCCATATCATGAAATATACAACTGTAAATATCACATCTGTATGTGTTGGGTGACTTGGGAAATGGTAACTAGAGAATTAGAAAACAAAATCATGTAGATGATTCAGGCCAACTTTGGTTAAATTTTCATATATGTATTTTTTAAATATTTATTTTATTTATTTGAAAGAGTTACAGAGAGAGGTAGAGACAGAGAGAGAGTTCTCCCATCCGCTAGTTCACTCCACAGATGGTCGCAAGGGCCGAGCTGCACCGATCCGAAGCCAGGAGCCAGGAGCTTCTTTGTGGTCTCCCACGTGGGTGCAGGGGCCCAAGGACCTGGGCCATCTTCTACCACTATCCCAGGCCATAACAGAGAGCTGGATCAGAAGAGGAGCAGCCGAGACTATTACCAGCGCCTATATGGGATGCCAGCGCCTCAGGCCAAGGCTTTAACCTGCTATACCACAGTGCCAGCCCCTATATATGTATTTTTTAAAGATTTATTTTTTTAAAGATTTATTTATTTATTTGAACGTCAGAGTTACACAGAGAGAGAAGGAGAGGCAGAGAAAAAAAGAGAGACAGAGAGAGAGAGGTCTTCCTTCCACTGACTCACTCCCCAGCTGGCTCCAACAGCCAGAGCTGTGTCAATCAGAAGTCAGGAGCCAAGAGCTTCTTCCAGGTCTCCCACGTGGATTCAGAAACCCAAGAACATTGACTATCTTCTACTGCTTTCCCAGGCTATAGCAGAGAACTGGACAAGAAGTGGAGCAGCCAAGAGTTGAAATGGCCCATACAGGATGCCGGCACTGAAGGCAGCGGCCTTACTGGCTATGCCACAGTGCCGGCCCTGATATATGTATTTTTTATTTTAGGATTTATTTATCTATGTGAGAGTCAGAGTTACACAGAGAGAGACAGAGAGGCAGAGAAAGGGAAAGAGAGAGAGGTCTTCCATTCAATGGTTCACTCCCCAGTTGGCGAAAACGACCAGAGCTGTGCCGATCCAAAGCCAGCAGCTTCTCCCGGGTCTCCCATGCGGGTGCATGGGGACAAGGATTTGGACCATCTTCTACTACTTTCCCAGGCCATAGCAAAGAGAGCTGGATCAGAAATGAAGCTGCCGGGACTTGAACTGGCACCCATATGGGATGCTGGCACTGCAGATGGCGGCTTTACCCGCTACACCACAGCGCCAGCCCCCCATATATGTATTTTTAACACGTTTATTTTATTATTAGACGAGAGATTGAGAAAAACAATAAGAGAGAGATCTCCACCTGGTAGTTCACTCCCCCAAATGCCTTTAACAGCGTGGTCTGAGCCACATTCAGGAGCCAGGAACGCAGTCTGGGTTTCCCACATGGATGGCAGGGACCCAACTACTTGAGCCATCACTGCTGCCTCAGGATGTGCAATGTCAGGAGGCGGGACTGCAAGAACAGCTGCTGGGACCTGAACCACGCACTCAGATATGCAATGCAGGCGTCCCAAGTGGCAGCTTAAATGCTGTGCCAAACAGCCACCCCAAGAGTCCTTATCTTTTATATAGAAAGCTTTTATTTAATGAATAAAAATTTCCTAAGTACAACTTTTTGGATTGTAGCAGTTCTTCCCCCATACCTGCCCTCCCACCCCCAAATCATCCCACCTCCTACTCCCTCTCCCATCCATTCTTCATTAGGATTCATTTTTAATTATCTTTATATACAGAAGATCAACTCTATATTAAGTAAAGATTTCAACAGTTTGTACCCACAAAAACACCCGAAGTATAAAGTACTGTCTGAAGACTAGTTTTGCTAGTTAATTCTCATAGTACAACACATTAAGGACAGAGGTCCTTCATGGGGAGCAAGTGCACAGTGACTCCTGTTGTTGATTTAACAATTTACAAAGAGTCCTTATCTTTTAAAGATACACAGAGAACTCTGTATGGAGGAAATGATTCCAGGTATTTAAAATAAACCAGCAGTGGGAAGAGCGACTAGGGGTACAGGTGGAACAATATTGGCAATTAATTGATAATTACTACAACTAGGTGATGGGCACATTTAGGGTTACTAATATAAACTGTCCTTGTGTATTCTGAAATTTCCCCAGTAAAAATATTTTAGTTACAAACTCACTATTGTTTTATTTAATAAATTCACAAGTTCAAAAGAATTCAAATAACCACAGCTGGGGCAGGCCCTCAGCCTGGAGGTAGACTTACCCTCAACCCACACTAGAGTAACTGGGTTCAATTTCTCACTCTGGCTCCCGACTCCTATTAATAGGCAGCCTGGGAGACACAGGTGATGGCTCAAGAACTTAGGTTACTGCCACCACATGGCAGTTCCAGGTTTTGTTCCCTGCTCACACATTTCACCTAGCCCATCCCCAACCGACGTGAACCAGCAGGTAAGAGCATTCCCTGTCTCTCTATGTGTACCTACCCTGTAAGTAAATAAATATTAAGTAACCAGGCTTGATAAGGATTTAGTGAGAAGGGAATCACATTTCTTGGAGAACATAATTTCATAAAAACTTTCAGTTAGGCAACTGAAAAATATTTAATATGCAAAGTGTCTAATATAATCCAGAATGTCTACTTTTTATTGTTTAAAGATTTATTTATTTATTTGAGAGGCAGAGGCAGAAAGGCCATAGCAAAGCTGGATAGGAAGTGGAGCAGCCAAGGCTCAAACCAGCGCCCACATGGTATGCTGGCACTGTAGACCTGGGCTTTAACACAGAGCAAAACAGGGACAGCTCCTAGAATGCCTATATTTAAGGAAATGATCAGGATACCTACAGCGGTGTATTTTAAAGGCTGCTTTTTTGATATGTTCTTGTAAGAATAAAAATCAGAGTAAAAGAGAGCCTTTTCCAGTGTGACATTATGAGGAGTTCTGCTAACCCACTCCCTGGTGACTTGCATTGTGGTGTAGTAGATAGAGCTACAGCCTGTGACCCTAGCATCCCATATGGGTGCTAGTCCAACTCCTGGCTGCTCCACTTCCGATCCAGCTCTCTGCTAATGCACCTGGGGAAGCAGCAGAAGACAGCTCCTGTACTTAGGGCCCTGCAACCCACATGGGAAAACCAGATGAAGTCCCAGGCTCCTGGATTTGGCCTGGCACAGGCTTGGCCATTGCAGCATTTAGGGAGGTTTAGGGAGGGAGCCAGCAGATAGAAGATCTGTCTGTCTGTCTGTCTGTCTCTCGCTCTCTGTAACTCTTTCAAATAAATAAAATAAATCTTTAAAAAAAACTACATGAGGCCGGCGCCGTGGCTCACTAGGCTAATCCTCCGCCTAGCGGCGCCAGCACACCGGGTTCTAGTCCCGGTTGGGGCGCTGGATTCTGTCCCGGTTGCCCCTCTTCCAGGCCAGCTCTCTGCTGTGGCCAGGGAGTGCAGTGGAGGATGGCCCAGGTGCTTGGGCCCTGCACCCCATGGGAGACCAGGAAAAGCACCTGGCTCCTGGCTCCTGCCATCGGATCAGCGCGGTGCGCCGGCCGCAGCGGCCATTGAAGGGTGAACCAACGGCAAAGGAAGACCTTTCTCTCTGTCTCTCTCTCTCTCACTGTCCACTCTGCCTGTCAAAAAAAAAAAAAAACTACATGAGTGAATAGATTTCAATTTTAATAAAAAATATTGTAAAGTATACATTGTAAAAATGTCCATAGGAATAAAGCACAGCATAAAGAAGTAAAGTGTCATGACAATGCTGCATCATAAAATAAAGAATTAAATACTGTGTGAGGGTAAACAGCCAAATGGAAATTCTGGAGTTGGAAAATACAGTATCTGAAATTTAAAAATTCATTACAGGGACTCAAAAGACTTGAACCTCTAGAGGAACAAATCAGTAAATGTGAGGTTAGTGGACAGAGATATGCAAACTGAAGAGAAAAAGAACAAGGAAAAAAGATCTAGTGTCAAAGAAATGTGGCCACCATCAGGTGTATCAAATGACACAAAATGGGAGTAGTGGCCAGAGAGGAGACAAGGGAGAGGGAAAAAATCTGAAGAAATAATGACTAAAGACTTCCCAAATTTTTTGAAACATAACCTACACACCCAGCATGCTCAATGAACTTCAAGTAGAACAAACACAAAGAGACCCAAAACCAGACACATCACAGTAAAATTGCTAACATCCAAACACAAGGAGAAAATTATAAGCTTCACATATTTGTCAATACATTTCCTGCAATCATTTTCAAATCAAAATAAATTTGAAATCAGACTGTTAAATAGTAAATTTACTCTGTTTTCATGCAGAAACAATTATGAGTGAGAACATTCAGCAAGACTTGATGGAAATAAATAAAGGGCTATATAATAAAAGTGCGGAAGCCAGGCAGTAATTTAGATAAGCAGTTATTTGAAAATTACTATCTGAACAGAAATAACTGAGTGTGCTGAGATACAAAGAACAGACAGTGGAAAAGATGTAGTTGAATGACATGCCCAGACAGAGGGATTCTAGTAGATATTTAAATATTTCCTTCAGCCACATCTGAGAACCGGTGCCAGGGCAAAACGACCCCACTGCCATCCAGGCTGGGCAGCCTAGTGCTACAGGGAACCCACAACACAATGTTTTACCAAGGGTTACTACAGAGTTGAGAGATGCTACAGGTGTAGGGCCAGATCAAACCTTCCATAAACAAACACCCTGTGAAGAGAGAAATGACATCCGTAATTCATCCCTAAACACTGAGCACTCAACAGAGGATGGCTGAGAAGCCCCTTGCTGGTCAGAGGCCTGGAAGTGGCAAGTGGGCCCAGAAGTCCACAGATCAGGGCGGGGCAAGGCAGGGACAACAGATGAAAGGCACTAGGACACAGTTCACTTACAAGGTCAACTACTGAGGGCGGCTGCCCATGCATGTGTCAGGCTGTTCTTTCTGGAATGAGGAGGGGTCGGCCTTTACACCATATCTGCACCCACTAGGCTCAGAGAGGGGCTACCTTGTGGAGGGGATGAGGGTGACAATGAGTCTGCAGGGGATAAGCACCTCAGTGAAGATGAGGATCATGTGAGGGATATTTCTTATTAACTTATGCATACTCCTCACGTAACACTCAGTGATACATAAAGCTCAAAGAAGATAAAAGTGCCATGGCTCAAGAGGCTAATCCTCTGTCTGCAGCACCGGCACACTGGGTTCTAGTCCCGGTCGGGGCGCAGATTCTGTCCCGGTTACCCCTCTTCCAGTCCAGCTCTGTGCTGTGGCCAGGGAGTGCAGTGGAGGATGGCCCAAGTGCTTGAGCCTTGCACCTGCATGGGAGACCAGGAAGAAGCACCTGGATCCTGGCTTCAGATCAGCGCAGTGCGCCGGCCACAGCAGCCATTGGAGAGTGAACCAATGGTAAAGGAAGACCTTTCTCTCTGTCTATCTGTCTCTCTCACTGTCCACTCTGCCTGTCCAAAAAAAAAAAAAAAAAGATAAAAGTGACTGGCTCAAAAAAGCGGCCAAGGCAGGGCTTCCTGGAGTTCTGCATCAACCCCTCTCATAGCCCAACAAGTCTGATCTCACTTCAAACACATTCAGGACAAGCTCTGCAAACTAAAAAACAGCGATGATCACAACACTCAGGAGCTGGCCAGGAACTCCCAAACCAACCAGATTCACACGGAGATGTTCACAGAACTTCACCATCAAATTAGGCCACTCTGTGCCTGTCATGGAGCAGGACAACACGGCCACTCTGCAATCCTGTCTGAGCACAAACACCTGAATACTGTCCTAGCCACAGGAATCATCCACTGCCCCCCTAAGGGGACTGAGATGAGCGACTGCTGCAGCTTTGTAAGTTACACCTTGGCCTTAGTCAACTCTTGCTTCATTCTGGATAAAATACGGTAAATGGTGCAGTCAGAATGCTCCCTCCTCTGTAACAGCTTCTGATCCTGAGCAAAAAGCCCAGTGCCTCATTCCTCACCAACATCACTTCACACAATCCCAGGCCCCTAATTTCTCCGTGGCAACTTCCTACTGAGATGCCTCACTATTCCATGAGGGTGCATGCTCAGTCTTGTCTAATTGAGTAAGAAACACAAATTATTTTTATTTTTTATTTATTTATTTTTTTGACAGAGTGGACAGTAAGAGAGAGAGACAGAAAGCTCTTCCTTTTGCCGTTGGTTCACCCTCCAATGGCAGCCACAGCCAGTGCGCTGTAGCCGGCGCACCGTGCTGATCCGATGGCAGGAGCCAGGTGCTTCTCCTGGTCTCCCATGCTTGTGCAGGGCCCAAGCACTTGGGCCACCCTCCACTGCACTCCCAGGCCATAGCAGAGAGCTGGCCTGGAAGATGGGCAACCGGGACAGAATCCGGCGCCCCGACTGGGACTAGAACCCGGTGTGCCAGCGCCGCAAGGCGGAAGATTAGCCTATTGACCCACGGCGCTGGCCTCTGAAACACAAATTATTCAACACCCACGTTACCCAGGTGTAGTGTGGGGTGGGTTTCACTGGAGGGCACTGACAATTGCAAGAGTCAAGTCATCCGATGAAACAGTCTCTTTCCATCTTTTTTCCCAAATAATCTGTATCAAGAGTTTTGTTCTCCCAAGATGTATACTACATGCTTCTCTTACAAAGCAAGTACCACATTTCCCACAGCAGAAAACACAAACAGAATTTTCTTGGAAATCAGTTACCTATACGATTTAATTAGCCTGGATCATTACCGAGTAGACAGAAATCTCATGGCCACCACTTTCCCAAGAGCAGCTTTTATGTCTTTGTTCCTCAGGCTGTAGATGAAAGGGTTCAGCATGGGAGTGACCACCGTGAACATCACTGCAGATGCTATGTCTTTCTCAGCCGAGTGTGAGGACGAAGGGTTGAAATACAAGGATATGATGGTGCCATAGAAGAGAAACACCACAGCCAAGTGGGAACCACAGGTGGAGAAGGCTTTCCACCTGCCCCGAATGGAGGGCACTCTCAGCACAGCAGCAGCAATAAAGACATACGACACCAGGATGCAAACAAAGGGGGCGATCGTGATCAGCCCTGCTTCAAAAAGAACCAACATCTCATTGAGCCGTGTGTCTGAGCAGGATAGCTTCAGGAGAGCAGCCACATCACAGAAGAAGTGGGGGATGGCGTTGTCCCCACAGAATGACAGTCGCGCCATCAGCAGGGTATGCAACAGGACACTCACGTTGGCAAAGACCCAGGACCCAGTGACCATCAGGACACAGAGCTGACGAGTCATCTTTGTTGTGTAATGTAAGGGGTGGCACACGGCGACAAAGCGGTCATAGGCCATCAAGGCCAGGAGGAAATTGTCCATATCTACAAACAGGAAAACAAAGTACATCTGCGTGAGACAGCCAGAGTAGGAGATGGCCTGACTCCCGAGGGCGTGATTGGCCAGCATCTTGGGGACGGTGGTGGAGGAGAAGCAGACGTCCACGAAGGACAGGTTGCTGAGGAAGAAGTACATGGGGGTGTGCAGGCGGGCGTCTGTGCCGATGGCCAGGACGATGAGCAGGTTCCCCAGGACCGTGGCCAGGTACATGCTCAGGAAGAGCACAAACAGCAGCCGCTGCTGGGGCTGCCGCGAGAGTCCCAGGAGGAGGAACTCGGAGACGCTCGACTCGTTGGCCCCTCCCATGGGTCTGAGCCCAGATGCAGAGAAAATAAAGAGGACAGAAATGGGAAAGCTGAGGGACTGGATGCAGAAGTCAAGACCCAGCTATGGACATGCTAATGAACCCTGTGTTAGAGATAGTAGTCAGAATCTACCCCTGGTCCCCACACCCACAACTTCCAACCCTCAGTCCCACATGATGCTGGTCCCACTGGATTCAACCTTTTGATTTTCTAAACATTAACATTAAACTCACAGGTAGGCTCATACACAGCCCTTCTCTTTGTTTCAGGCTTTCTCAGGCTTTCTCTCAATGAACTTTCTCTAAGACCTTAACAGTTCATAGAGGGAACAGAAACAGCTGATTATCACTATGTTTATAATAAGCTTCAGCTAAAAGATTCAGAACTAAGACTAATGTTTCCTGGATGGGAATGATTTAACAAAAGGGGTTCCTCAAATACCTTCAGTCATTAGTAATGACATCCCCACTGTTATGCTAGTACCTGACAGACATGAGCAATGCTGCTGTCAAGTGTTCTCCACCCTGCAGGAATTGGCCAATACCACTCTTACTCTAAGCAGTGAGAAGTCTTAGACATACAGGCAGGTTCTGAGCTAGGGAAGAGGAGATGGTCACAGCCTTCCCCCTCCGTGCAGAAAGGATGTGTGGGGAGTCACAGACAGGTGTTTACATGGCTTCCATGACCCCTGAGACCAGACTCCCTGAGAGTCTCATTACAGACAAGTTCAAGGTAATTGTCCCATCTATTTCCCAATCCCCGTGGACTCAGCAATGACGGCAAAGGATGTGATCTAACCCTTGGCTAGGAACTTGGAGACAAAGCAATATGGACAGTGGCAAGTCCCACAGAAAACTCCCTAAAACCTCATCCTGTTCATCTCATCCTACGTTTATAGGCTTTCAAAGTCAATCTTCACATTATTTTCACAGTAGTTGGCGCTATTTCATGCTTATCTTAGATCCAGTCAGTTACTGCACAGAATAAGGGAAGTATGTGCTGACAGGGATGCCAGGGTAGCATTAAGGCTACAGAGCACAGCATTTTAGTAATCAGGAGAGATGTACCAGGGAGTACAGAGCCTACATGATTGAGGAAACCCATGCTCCCAGAATTGAATTCTTTGGGTATGTCTTTCCAGCTCACTATGGGATCATCCTCTTCTTAGAATGGCCCCCTAATCCACAGACCCTTCAGAACCACAATTTAAATTCCATCATGCCTGCTCAAAGAGGCATCATGAATGGTTAGGGAACCTTGAACCTGGCCTGAGAAACTGTCATTCTTACACTGTCTTGTTTTTTGTTTGTTGTTTGTTTTTGACAGGCAGAGTGGACAGTGAGAGAGAGAGAGACAAAGATCTTCCTTTTCCATTGGTTCACCCTCCAATGGCTGCTGCAGCCGGCGCACCACACTGATCCGAAGCCAGGAGCCAGGTGCTTCTCCTGGTCTCCCATGCTTGTGCAGGGCCCAAGGACTTGGCCTTAGGCTATCCTGCACTGCACTCCCGGGCCAAAGCAGAGAGATGGCCTGGAAGAGGGGCAACCAGGACACAATCCGGCGCCCTGACCAGAACTAGAACCCGGTGTGCCGGCGCCGCAGGCGGAGGATTAGCCTATTGAGCCGTGGCGCCAGCCCCACTGTCTTGTTCTTCAACAGTCATGACTTAAACTGTAACATGTAAATCCAGTAGCTTACAGATTTCTCCTGGTTAACTCGGGGAGGAAAAAGCAAACACCTGCAGACAAAAACAAAAAACCATAAACAGAAACAAGTGGAGAACTAGGGTAAGGACTGACAGCTGTGCACCTCAGGGTCCTATCATTTTCTGATGAGCTGCTCCATTGTGGCTCACTCATGGCTCTGAGCTGAAAACACTAGCATCAAGTCTTCCTCAGGGAAGCAGAAAAGGGTTTCATGAAGGTCATAATAGACAGCGTCTCGTCCATTTTCTTCTGCTATGCCAGAATACTACAGACTAGCTTCATAGAGAAAAGAGGTTCACTGACTCACTCACTGTTCTGAAGACCCAAAGTCCCAAGATCAAGGGATGCGTCTGGTGAGGATGTGCGTGCTGCATCGCAGAATGGTGCAGGGAATCTCAGGGCAGGACAGAGAGCAGACCAGCAGGATCTCATCCTTGCTAACAGGAACTCGCTCCTGTGAGAACTAACCCAACCCCAAATGCTGGCCTCAATCCATTCTTTACAGCAGAGCCCTCAGAACCTAACAACCTGATCGGGCTCACCTATCAGCAGTGTTGCTTTGGGCGTTAGGTTTCCAACATACACATTTTGAGGGACATACTCAAACCACAGAGGACACCTCTGAAACACTGGACGGCTGGAGAACAAGGCTCGGAGGACCACACAGCAGCTCCAGTGGCCCACACTGAGCCACCACCCTGGTCTGATCAGCATTCACATGCTGCTGCTGCCTCTCAGTGTTGCAGTTCATGGCTTGCATGCTGCTCTCCCTGGACAAGAGATGCCACTAGAAGCACTACTTCCATGGGAATTCATCTGGTGACAACGGCTGTCACTGCTAGATAAAGTTCTACCTGATCTCCTGTTGTGTCCAAGACTGAGTTCAGGGGTATCTGAAGGGCAGTCACCCGCCCACATCTCAGCTGCAAGAGGGGCTGGGAAATCAGCTACTCAGGGTTTCTGGTTCTATAGGGACACTATTCCCCCAAGAATTATGAGGTAGGTGATTCTCTAAGCTTTGGAAGGGGGATACATAAGTCGGGAACCCTGAGAAATGACCACCGTATTCACCACCCCACTGCACAACAGCCACACACACCCCTCTACCCAAATTGCTCTTCGGTAGAAAAGAGATTCTCTGGCCTACCAAGATGCAGCCATCCTTCACGCAATGGGGACACAACTCATAGTCCCACCAGTTACCGCATGCAGGTCCACAACCAGGTCTCTGCTCTGGTCATGATCCTGTCACGACAGACTGGAACTTCTGAGTCCAACCAGAAAGCTAACCAGTAAGTACACATGCTGTATGTATGTACAACACAGGGAAAAGGAAAAAGATAACTGAAATATATAAACACAAATACTAGGGAATTTCAAAAGTTGACAGAAATGCGTATTATGAACAACAATCTATGGATTTCAAAATTCTTTGTTCACTATTTGGGTACAAAGTTTATTTAACTTACATTTGAATTCCATTCACCATAAATTTATCTTTTTAAAAAAAGATTTATTTATTTATTTGAAAGGCAGAGATACAGAAAGAGAAGGAAAGAGAGAGATCTTTCATCCACTGGTTCACTCCCCCAAAAGGCTGCACAACCTAGGCAGGGCCAGGCTGAAGCTGTGAGGCAGGAGCTTCTTCCGGGTCTCCCTTATAGGTGCAGGGGCCCAAGTACTTGGACTTTTCTCCGCTGGTTTCCCAGGCATGTCAGCAGAGAGCTGGATCAGAAGTACAACAGGGGCCAGAGCTGTGGGGTAGAGGCAGAATCAACTCGAAGAGAGCTCTCCTTCATTCACTGCCATTGGCAGCAACCTCACTTGCTCCCTGGACCTCCATACAGAGCTAATGTGATGTGTCCTCACACAGAACTGCTGGTGTCCCCCGAGCAGGGCTTCAAGACACATGACAGAAGCCACAACATCCTTTAAGTCACAGTTCCAGAAGTCACACGCCACTGCTTCCTGCACACTCATCCCAGATCAACGTGGGAGGGATTACAGGAGGCTGGGATCACTGGGGGTCATCTTGGTAACTGGCTGCCACATCGTTTATGATCAAGTGGGTTCCCTGCTTAAAAACCAGGTTTTTTGGATACCAACTTGATGGATGAATCCATCTTTCCCTACACACTTCCTGTCAGTCCCTCAACCCTGGGTTTTGAGGTTGAGCATCTCTGTGTCCATTGGTTTGCCTCTCCTGACTACTTCCACACATTTAGGAATCCTTGTTTACCGCAGGTTTTTCTATTGAGATCATCCTGTTCAGTGCGAAGTGAAGATCCTGACAGTGGCGTTCACTGGACCCTGCCCTACTCAGGTCCACCACTTCACAGCACACTTACAGAGAACCAGGCTTCGAGCACAGGAAGCTGTGGGGGAGAAACTGACTGAAATCATAGCACAAGGGCTTAGCCTTTGAGGAAGAGGAGCCTTTGCTCTGAGAGTAAACCAGAATCTTAAGAGATGTGCCAAATGCCCGCCTAGACTTCATTTTTACAAGTTTAAAAAGGCGAAAAGTTGTGAAGGTCTCTTGATTGTGCGCCTACACATGGTTTGCAATTTTCAGTAAGTTTTGTTCCCCCTTTTAGTTTTCCACACTGACCACGTTACTGTTCAGATCTTTAAGTGCACCATTGTAGTATTTTAAAAGACAGATTTTGCTCTCACTCTCACCCGCCTGCCCAACCACTGCCTTGCTTGCTCTCGCTTTTGCTCGCATTCTCCTCATGGATCGTAGGGACTCTGACCACAGCCTGTGGCTGGGAAGGGTGACAGAGACGGCGGCTCAGGGAAAATGCGGCTGCAGTGGTGGTGGTGGGAAGATGCCAGGTGAGGACGAGGAGCAAACTATCGCAGAGGACCTGGTTGTGACCAAGTATAAGATGGGGGGCGACATCGCCAACCGGGTACTTCGGTCTTTGGTGGAGGCATCCAGCTCAGGTGTGTCCGTGCTGAGCCCGTGTGAGAAGGGTGATGCCATGATTATAGAAGAAACAGGGAAAATCTTCAAGAAGGAAAATAGATGAAAAAAGGTACTGCATTTCCTGCCACTATTTTAGTAAATAACTGTCTGTCACTGCTCCCCTTGGAAGAGTGATCAGGACTACATTCTCAAGGAAGGTGACTTGGTAACAATTGACCTTGGGGTCCCTGTGGATGGCCTTATTGCTAATGTGGCTCACACTTTTGTGGTTGGTATAGCTCAGGGGACCCAACTAACAGGGCGGAAAGCAGGTGTCATTAAGGCAGCTCACCTTTGTGCTGAAGCTGCCCTGCGCCTGGTCAAACCTGGAAATCAGAACACACAGGTGACAGAAGCCTGGAACAAGGTTGCCCACTCATTTAACTGCATGCCAATGGAAGGCATGCTGTCACTCCAACTGAAGCAACATGTCAACGATGAAGAGAAAACCATTATCCAGAATCCCACAGACCAGCAGAAGGACCAGGAAAAGCTGAATTCGAGGTGCATGAAGTGTATGCCGTGGATGTCCTCGTCAGCTCAGGAGAGGACAAGGCCAAGAATGCAGGACAGGGAACCACCATTGAGAAACGAGACCCATCTAAACAATATGGCCTGAAAATGAAAACCTCGCGTGCCTTCCTCAGGGAGGTGGAAAGGCGTTTTGATGCCCTTTACCTTAAGAGCATGTGAAGATGAGAAGGCTCGGATGGGTGTGGTGGAATGTGCCAAACACGAACTGCTACAGCCGTTTAATGTTCTCTGTGAGGAGCAGGATGAATTTGCTGCCCAGTTTAAATTTACAGTTCTGCTCTTGCCCAGCGGCCCCATGAGGATAACCAGTGGTCCCTTTGAGCCCGACCTCTGTAAGCCAGAGCTGGAGGTCACGGAGCTAACCGCCCCCCTTCAGAGTTGTGCAAGTCATAAAACCCAGAAGAAGAAAAAGAAGGCCTCCAAGATTGCAGAGAATGCCCCCAGGGGGAACCTTTAGAAGAAAGTGAAGCTGGGGGCTGAGGTGGGTCCTGTACCCCCCCTTGCTGCTCCTGCCTCATCCCCTTCCCACTGCACCCCGGGCTCCGAAGCACGGCTCGTCTTCTCCACCCAGGACCGCCAGCAGAGCAGGGTCTCCCTGCCCCACTGCAGCCCCACCCCAGCCCCTTCCCATAACCACCGACTCACACCGATTCTGGTCTTGGAAGGCTAGGCTTCCCAGCCACCGAAGTCTACTTTAAGTAGGAAAAAGCAATTGGACAATAACATCAGGAGTCAAAATCCACCATCTTCAAGCCCCTCTTTCTATCTTTGTCTACAATTCTCTGCTTGGTCAAGGTCTGTGGCCCTACAACAGAACAGAGAGGAGGCTAAATCACCCACCACCATTATAAATTCAGCTGGGATTTTTTTATACCACTCCAATGGCAGCATTTCCCCATCTGTTCAGGACTTTTTTCTCTTTTCCCACTCTCCTACCATTTTGTCTGGCCTCAACATTAACAGGAGCTGTTCTTCAGATTTTTATTTACATGGTGGCAGATTGCTCATCAGATCCTGGCTGTCTCCTAAGGCCCCCCATTTGTAGGGGCAGAGCTTCCATTTATGAAGAGATTCTTATCTATCAAATGGATCCTCATTTGTAAATTTTTTTAATCATTTATGTTCTGCAGCATCTCAGGATCTTTTTTTTCCCCCTTTTTTTCCTCATTTTCACAAGGCTGTAAAGAAGTAATCCATCTCCACTGTGTCCTTTTCTGTGGAGTCAGTGGGGTCTTTCCCCATTCCATCTTACACACACCTAAGCTGGAAGCTCAACTGTGGTTTTGTTCCCTGTATGAAATATGTTGACCTCCTTCCCTTGGAAGAAAAATCAGGAACCAGCAGAGTAGACTGAAGAGACAACTCCCGGCTTTCTGAAGCTTTGGACTTGGATTGGATGAAATGCTGGGGAACTGTAGAGAAAGGTGACAAACTTCTGTACTTCCAGCATGCTGTCCCAAGGAACTAGGGCTCCCACTAATTTAAGAGGTTTTAGAACACTTTGAAAATGACATGGAGTTAAAATAAATTTGGATTTGCTCATTAGAAAAAAAAGATTTTGGGGGCCAGTGCTGTGGTTCAGTTGGATTAAAGCCCTGGCCTGAAGCGCTGGCATCACATATGGGTTCTGGTTCGAGACCCAGCTGCTCCACTTCCGATCCAGCTCTCTGCTATAGCCTGGGAAAGCAGAAGATGGCCCAAGTCCTTGGGCCCCTGCACCCATGTGGGAGACCCTGAAGAAGCTCCTGGCTCCTGGCTTTGGGCTAGCACAGCTCTGGCCATTGCAGCCAACTGGGGAGTGAACCAGCAGATGAAGACTTCTCTCTCTGTCTATACCTCTCTCTGTAACTCTTTCAAATAAATAAAATAAATCTTTTTTTTTCAGCCTGTAGCAAATCTTTTATTACAAATAATTAAATCTCTCAATAATGTCTCAAACAGTATCAAACACCACTTCATATCGCTAACACGGAGCAGAGTAGACATTCAGGACTAGAACTGAGGGAGAAGTGTTCAGTTTCAGAGTCTGAGCACATCACACGGTGACCAGACAAAGCTTAGATGTCATTTCCCACATTATCCAACTGTGTGCCTCCAACGTGTCTCTCAGTGGAGACAGAAGTTTCTATTTCGTATTTTAAGTGCAGGAAGTCGAGAGAGCTAAAGTCCAGTGAGAACACGTCAATCTCAGTTCAACTCAGCTTAAAAAAAAAAAAACCCACAAAATTAAATTAGTTGTTTTCAGGGGAGAGAGGGAAAGGCAGGCATGGGATAAGAGTCAAAACTGTGACAAGGGTCGGTGCTGTACATGGCATGTGGTAGCTCAGGAGACTGTCATCTGATACTTGAAAATAAAGTGGCTTTTGTGGATTTTCTTTTTTGGTATTGTAAACATATGTTGTTTAATGTTACCCAAATTTAAACTTTCTGCAAACAAAACAAATTTTAAAGCCTTTAAGGCAAACATCCCCTAACGAAAAAGTCATTTGTTATAAAATCGTGAGGACACCCAAGCAAGACCCCACTTGAGGTTTGTCAGCATGAACTTGAGAGCTTTTGTCCACTGTTCCTCAGAATTGAACTGGGTTTTGATGGAATAGGAGCCGCCACTGCCTCCTGTGTCTTCAATCTTGCCTTTCTCCACATCCATCCTGTATGGAAGACAAAAACGTGTCTCGCCCTTTTCAACCTCTTCTTTAAACTGCTGCACACAGTCCAGGAAAGCCACCATTGCATGGTCAAACTTGTCCCAGAAAAACCGCAACCCCCCAGAACAGTATAATGGCACCTCCTTAGATTTGTCTGTCAGAGACTCCAGATACGAGTGATTTCCATAGGGCACCAGTCGATACCTCTGAAATTTCAGACCCATCTTATTGGCCAGGGCATGAAGCAGCAACACTGTCTGGCCCCAAGCAGCATTAATCTCATTCCATTCCACAGGAACACTGGGCAGGCGGCCCAGCCTGAAGTTGTTGATTGTGCCAAACTGCCCACTGTGCCAGATATGGAAGGTCGCATTGAAGACGTTGGTCTTCTTCAGCTTGTCCAGCTGCATCTGGGCATAATGCATCTGATTTTCCACACTTTTCAGCTCATCATCCAGCTCCAGCTGTTGTCGTTTAAATTCACTGTATTCTCTGATACTGAGCTTCCTCCTGATCCAGCCACTCAGCCTCAGCCTGGACCTTCTCCAGGTTTTCTGCCACCGTTCTGCGGTTCTTTTCCACATCTTCCAGTTCCTGGACCAGCCGTTCCTCCTCCAGGGCCAGCTCCCTCAGCTCCTTCTGCAGTTGCTCACTGTCAACCTCGTTCATCTGCTCCAAGATCTCCAAACAGCGCTTGTAGTTCTGACACTCATTTTCGGTGACATGGAGCTGAGTGTCCAGCTGGTCTAAGAGAGTATCCGTGCATTCCTCACACAGTGGGTGATCCACGTCTGTCTGGCCCGACATGATGTCAAAAAGGTCCCCAGTGACCTTCAGTCTTCGGCTGAGGTTCTCCATGGTGCTGCTGTCGGACGCCTCCCTGATCAGAGTGAAGCTGTTGGCACTTTCTGTAGACATCACCCTGGCTGGGGGCATGAATCTGCGAGAGAAACCATCCTGGCGAGTTTCAATAAATGCTTCCTCTCCTGAGTTAGCCTCTTCCTCCTGGGGGTCTCCTGGTTTGACCTGGGCTGTGGCAAGTAATGGAGCTGTGAGCTCCTGGATGGTGACCCGGTCCAGGATCTTGAAGCTCGTGTCCAGCTTGAGGGGCTGGCTGCAGCGCTGGCACACAAAGCTCACCTGCATGGTGCTGCTGGGCGTCTTGGACCCCTCCAACCCTCGGGGCCCTAGAGCTGGCCACTCAGGTTCGGTCTATCGCGGGGGGACCGTAGCCTCCAGTCGGCCCCGGAACAAGGCCTCCAGAATCGCCATCGCCCAAACTTTAGCTACTTCCCGGTCCAATAAAATAAATCTTTTAAAAGTTTTTAAGGGTTTTTAATAACAGAAGTCTTACATAATGGATGGTAAGCCCCCCAAAGCATACTGCAGCATTTGATATAGAATGTAGTCATAATTCACTAGTCCATAGATGTAAGTACATTGACTATTTTGCAAAGGCAAAGGACTGGATAGAAATACACAAGCTATTTATTGAGGGTTCATTCAATGATGAAATTATTGCATGTTTAAGCTTCTTTCTTCATAACTTCCTGCATTTTCTAAAACATTCTATAACAAGGATATATAAAATTGTATAATCACAAAAATAGTTTATGAGGAGCAGGTGCTGTGGCATAGTGTGTTGGGCCTCTGCCTACGGTGCCATCATCCCATATAGGGGCCAGTTCGTGTCCCAGCTGCCACTCTTCTGATCAAGCTCCCTGCTGATAGCCTGGGAAAGCAGTGAAAAATGGCCCCAGTGCTTGGATCCCTGCACTGTGTGGGAGACCTGGAAGAAGCTCCTGGCTCCTGGTTTCAGATCAGCTCAAAAGTTCAAAAGAATTCAAATAACCACAGCTGGGGCAGGCCCTCAGCCTGCAGGTAGACTTACCCCGTACCCCAAAAGGAGTAGCTGTGTTCGATTTCTCGCTCTGGCTCCTGACTCCTGTTAATGTGCAGCCTGGGAGGCAACAGGTGATGGCTCAAGCACTTATGTTCCTGCCACATGGGAGTTCCAGATTTCATTCCCAACTCACCCATTTCACCTAGCCCATCCCCAACTGACGTGAACCGGCAGGTAAGAGCATTCCCTGTCTCTATATGTATCTACCTGCAAGTAAGTAAGTAAAATATTTAAGTAACCAGGCTTGACAAAGATGTAGTAAGAAGGTAATCACATTTCCTAGGGAAAATAATTTCATAAAAACTTTCTGGAAGGCAACTGGGAAATATTTAATATGCAAAGTGTCTAATACCATCCAGAATGTCTACTTTTTATTGTTTTAAAGATTTATTTAGGCCGGCACCACGGCTCACTAGGCTAATCCTCTGCCTGCAGCACCGGCACCCCGGGTTCTAGTCCTGGTTGGGGCGCCAGATTCTGTCCCAGTTGCTCCTCTTCCAGTCCAGCTCTTTGCTGTGGCCCAGGAAGGCAGTGGAGGATGGCCCAAGTGCTTGGGCTTCTGCACCCGCATTGGAGACCAGGAAGAAGTGCCTGGCTCCTGGCTTCAGATCAGTGCAGTGCGCCGGCCGCAGCGGCCATTGGAGGGTGAACCAACAGAAGGAAGACCTTTCTCTCTGTCTCTCTGTCTAACTCTCCCTGTCAAAAAAAAAAAATATTTATTTCTTTATTTGAGAGGCAGAGTTACAGAGAGGCAGAGGCAGAAAGAGGGAGAGAGAGAGCAAGGTCTTCCATCTGCTGGTTCACTCCCCAGATGGCCGCAACGGCCAGAACTGTGCCAATCTGAAGCCAGGAGCCAGGAGCATCTTCCAGGTCTTCCACGTGGGTGCAGGGGCCCAAGGATTTGGGCCATCTTCTACTGATTTTCCAGGCCATGGCAGAGAACAGGTTGGGAAGTGGAGCAGTCAGGACTTGGACCGGTACCCATAGAGGATGCTGGCTCTGTAGACTGGGGCTTTAACCCACAGCACCACAGTACCAGCTCCCAGAATGTCTGTTTTTAAAGAAATGATCAGGATACCTATAGAGGTGCTTGTTGATGTGTTTTTGTAAAGAGTAAAAAATCAGAGTAAAAGAGAGCCTGAGCCAGTGTGACAGTAAGAGGAGTTCTGCTAACCCACTGCTTCCCAGCTCATCATGACAGGAGCTTTGTTGTAGACTAGCGCAGCCAAGAACACAGGGCTCCCTGTTCCCTCAGCTCCAAGCCAGAGGGTCTCATTCTCAGAATGCGCTGCACTTCTGCGTTCCTCATCATATGCTCAGCGGCCTGTGCGAAGGCTCAGCCCCAGATGAGTGCAGTTCAGAAGTCAGGTCTCCCTTCTCCAGCCCAACTCCGACTGGGGCATGGCCTACTGAGAATCCTGAGGTCTTGAAAGCCCTGCCTCCGACTGGGGAAGCTGTTGTTCCATGCAAGTAGAGGCAAGAGTAGAGGACCTCAGGCTGCTCACCTCTCCCACACACACTTACCGTCTGCACTGAGAGTGTCACTCAGAGAGAATCTCTGTCATTGTCTCCACCCCTGCTCCAGAGCCCGGACTCAGAGATTCTGCTCAGAGGAGAAGCAGGTCCTAGAAAGATCACTCCTAACCTCTTCCCAAAGAAACTGGCATCACGTGCAACAAAGCATGAGGTTGAAAGCTAAGGGTATTCTCGAGAACGGTTGAGGTTTCTTTCATCAAATGAAGATAAAGCCTAGACTGCAGACTGGCCGGACTGCAGGAGAAAAACACAAAGGATAAGACATCTGGGAAGAGCCTACCTTGGGGTCAAAACAAACACCAAACAGTGACCTCAGAAATCATTCCTTCCTGGGACTGCCATTGTGGTGCAGTGGGTTAAACCACCACCTGCGGCACCAGCATCCCACACGAGTGCTGGTTCAAGACCCAGCTACCCCACTTCCAATCCAGCTCCCTGCTAACGTGCCTCAGAGAGCAGAAGATGGCCGCTGTGCTTAGGCCCCTGCAAACCCTGTGGGAGACCCTCCTCATTCCTGCTGACCCAGCCACAGCCATTATGCCCATTTGGGGAGTGAACCAACAGATGTAAAATCCTCAACCCTCCCTCCCTCCTTCTCTCTCTCTCACTCACTCTCACTCTCTTTTTGTAGCTCTACCTTTCAAATTAAAAAAATAAACCTTTAAATAAGATTCCTTCAAAGGATTCATAATTTGACTTGATTATTTTGTAGAGGAAGGTATGCTCTTCTGAATCAGTAGAGCAATAATCTGGCAATTACTGGAGTTTAACAGCTGCCATGATCAGACAAAGAGTAGAAAAGAGCCCTCCCAAATCAACAGCCATCACTGGGTGACTCTCAGTGAACCCAAAGTGGCCGGGGGACTTCACTAAAATAACCCAGCCAAACTAGATAAGTAAACAGGCACACCACAATAACAAAGTCCAGGGAAGAAACCACTACCTCAAGGTGTTAAAAAATATGATCCAAAATGTCCAGTTTACAACAAAAATTAGAAAGCATAAAAGAAACAGGAAATTATGACACATACACCAAAAAAGCAAGAAATACAACATGCTATGGAGACCTGCATTGTGGTATAGTGGACAGAGCTACAGCCTGTGACCCTGGCATCCCATATGAGTGCTAGTCCAACTCCTGGCTGCTCCACTTCCGATCCAGCTCTCTGCTAATGCACCTGGGGAAGCAGCAGAAGACAGCTCCTGTACTTAGGCCCCAGCAACCCACATGGGAAAACCAGATGAAGTCCCAGGCTCTTGGATTTGGCCTGGCACAGGCTTGGCCATTGCAGTATTTAGGGAGGTTTAGGGAGGGAGCCAGCAGATAGATCTTTCTCTCTGTCTGTCCCTCTGTCTGTCTCTCATCTCTCTCTGTAACTCTTTCAAATAAAAAAAATAAAGCTTTTTTTTTTTTTTTTTTGACAGAGTAGACAGTGAGAAAGAGAGACAGAGAGAAAGATCTTCCTTTGCCGTTGGTTCACCCTCCAACGGCCGCCGCGGCCAGCACACCGCGCTAATCCGAAGCCGGGAGCCAGGTGCTTCTCCTGGTCTCCCTTGCAGGTGCAGGGCCCAAGCACTTGGGCCATCCTTCACTGCACTCCCGGGCCACAGCAGAGAGCAGCTGGCCTGGAAGAAAAACAACCGGGTGACTGGGACTAGAACCCGGTGTGCTGGCGCCACAGGCAGAGGATTAGCCTATTGAGCCAAGGCGCCGGCCTAATAAAATAAATCTTAAAAAAGAAACTACACATGAGAGTGAACAGATTTCAATGTAATAAAAAAAAAAAATGTAGGCCGGCACCGCGGCTCACTTGGCTAATCCTCTGCCAGTGGCGAGGGCACCCCAGGTTCTAGTCCCAGTTGGGATGCCAGATTCTGTTTCGGTTGCTCCTCTTCCAGTCCAGCTCTCTGCAGTGGCCTGGGAAGGCAGTGGAGGAGGCCCAACTCCTTGGGCCCTACACCCGCATGGGAGACCAGGAAGAAGCACCTGGTTCCTGGCTTCGGATCAGCTCAGCACACCGGCTGCAGGGCACCAGCTGTAGCAGCCATTTGGGGGGTGAACCAACAGAAAGGAAGACCTTTCTGTCTGTCTGTCTTTCTCACTGTCTAACTCTGCCTGTCAAAAAAATAATAAAAGATATTATAAAGTATACACTGTAAAAATGACCATAGGACTAAAGCACAGCATAAAGAAGTAAATTGAAGTGTCATGACAATGCTGCATCATAAAATAAAGAATTAAATACTGTGTGAGGGTAAACAGCCAAATGGAAATTCTGGAGTTGGAAAATACAGTATCTGAAATTTAAAAATTCATTACAGGGACTCAAAAGACTTGAACCTCTAGAGGAACAAATCAGTAAATGTGAGGTTAGTGGACAGAGATATGCAAACTGAAGAGAAAAAGAACAAGGAAAAAAGATCTAGTGTCAAAGAAATGTGGCCACCATCAGGTGTATCAAATGACACAAAATGGGAGTAGTGGCCAGAGAGGAGACAAGGGAGAGGGAAAAAATCTGAAGAAATAATGACTAAAGACTTCCCAAATTTTTTGAAACATAACCTACACACCCAGCATGCTCAATGAACTTCAAGTAGAACAAACACAAAGAGACCCAAAGCCAGACACAGCACAGTAAAATTGCTAAAGTCCAAACACAAGGAGAAAATTATAAGCTTCACATATTTGTCAATACATTTCCTGCAATCATTTTCCAAACAATGTGAAATCAGACTGTTAAATAGTAAATTTACTCTGTTTTCATGCAGAAACAATTATGAGTGAGAACATTCAGCAAGACTTGATGGAAATAAATAAAGGGCTATATAATAAAAGTGCGGAAGCCAGGCAGTAATTTAGATAAGCAGTTATTTGAAAATTACTATCTGAACAGAAATAACTGAGTGTGCTGAGATACAAAGAACAGACGGTGGAAAAAATGTAGTTGAATGACATGCCCAGACAGAGGGATTCTAGTGGATATTTAAATATTTCCTTCAGCCACATCTGAGAACCAGTGCCAGGGCAAAACGACCCCACTGCCATCCAGGCTGGGCAGCCTAGTGCTACAGGGAACCCACAACACAATGTTTTACCAAGGGTTACTACAGAGTTGAGAGATGCTACAGGTGTAGGGCCAGATCAAACCTTCCATAAACAAACACCCTGTGAAGAGAGAAATGACATCCGTAATTCATCCCTAAACACTGAGCACTCAACGGAGGATGGCTGAGAAGCCCCTTGCTGGTCAGAGGCCTGGAAGCGGCGAGTGGGCCCAGAAGTCCACAGATCAGGGCGGGGCAAGGCAGGGACAACAGATGAAAAGCACTAGGACACAGTTCACTTACAAGGTCAACTACTGAGGGCGGCTGCCCATGCATGTGTCAGGCTGTTCTTTCTGGAATGAGGAGGGGTCGGCCTTTACACCGTATCTGCACCCACTAGGCTCAGAGAGGGGCTACCTTGTGGAGGGGATGAGGGTGACAATGAGTCTGCAGGGGATAAGCACCTCAGTGAAGATGAGGATCATGTGAGGGATATTTCTTATTAACTTATGCATACTCCTCACGTAACACTCAGTGATACATAAAGCTCAGATAAGAAGATAAAAATCACTGGCTCAAAAAAATTGCCAAGTCAGGGCTTTCTGGAGTTCTGCATAAACCTCTCACTCAGCCTCAACAAGTCTGATCTCACTTCAAACACACTCAGGACAAGCTCTGCAAACTGAAAAATAGCGATGATCACGACACTCAGGAGCTGGCCAGGAACTCCCAAACCAACCAGATTCACACGGAGATGTTCACAGAACTTCACCATCAAATAAGGCCACTCCGTGCCCGTCATGGAGCAGGACAACACGGCCACTCTGCAATCCTGTCTGAGCACAAACACCTGAATACTGTCCTAGCCACAGGAATCATCCACTGCCCCCCTAAGGGGACTGAAATGAGCAACTGCTGTAGCTTTGTCAGTTACACCTTGGCCTTAGTCAACTCTTGCTTCATTCTGGATAAAATACAGTAAATGGTCCAGTCAGAATGGTCCCTCCTGTTTTTTTTTTTCTTTCTTTGACAGGCAGAGTGGACAGTGAGACAGAGAGAAAGGTCTTCCTTTGCCGTTGGTTCACCCTCCAATGGCCGCCGCGGCCGGCAGCTGCGGCCGGCGCACCACGCCTATCTGAAGGCAGGAGCCCGGTACTTATCCTGGTCTCCCATGGGGTGCAGGGCCCAAGTACTTGGGCCATCCTCCACTGCACTCCGGGCCATAGCAGAGAGCTGGCCTGGAAGTGGGGCAACCGGAACAGAATCCGGCGCCCCGGCTGGGACTAGAACCTGGTGTGCTGGCGCCGCTAGGTGGAGGATTAGCCTAGCCTAGTGAGATGCAGCGCCGGCTTTTTTTTTTTTTTTTTTTGACAGGCAGAGTGGACAGTGAGAGAGACAGAAAGAAAGGTCAAGAATGGTCCCTCCTCTGTAACAGCTTCTGATCCTGAGCAAAAAGCCCAGTGCCTCATTCCTCACCAACATCACTTCACACAATCCCAGGCCCCTAATTTCTCCGTGGCAACTTCCTACTGAGATGCCTCACTATTCCACGAGGGTGCATGCTCAGTCTTGTCTAATTGAGTAAGAAACACAAATTATTCAACACCCACGTTACCCAGGTGTAGTGTGGGGTGGGTTTCACTGGAGGGCACTGAAAATTGCAAGAGTCAAGTCATCTGATGAAACAGTCTCTTTCCATCTTTTTTCCCAAATAATCTGTATCAAGAGTTTTGTTCTCCCAAGATGTATACTACATGCTTCTCTTACAAAGCAAGTACCACATTTCCCACAGCAGAAAACACAAACAGAATTTTCTTGGAAATCAGTTACCTATACGATTTAGTTAGCCTGGATCATTACCGAGTAGACAGAAATCTCATGGCCACCACTTTCCCAAGAGCAGCTTTTATGTCTTTGTTCCTCAGGCTGTAGATGAAAGGGTTCAGCATGGGAGTGACCACCGTGAACATCACTGCAGATGCTATGTCTTTCTCAGCCGAGTGTGAGGACGAAGGGTTGAAATACAAGGATATGATGGTGCCATAGAAGAGAAACACCACAGCCAAGTGGGAACCACAGGTGGAGAAGGCTTTCCACCTGCCCCGAATGGAGGGCACTCTCAGCACAGCAGCAGCAATAAAGACATACGACACCAGGATGCAAACAAAGGGGGCGATCATGATCAGTCCTGCTTCAAAAAGAACCAACATCTCATTGAGCCGTGTGTCTGAGCAGGATAGCTTCAGGAGAGCAGCCACATCACAGAAGAAGTGGGGGATGGCGTTGTCCCCACAGAATGACAGTCGTGCCATCAGCAGGGTATGCAACAGGACATTCAGATTGGCAATGATCCAGGACCCAGCGACCATCAGGACACAGAGCTGACGAGTCATCTTTGTTGTGTAATGTAAGGGGTGGCACACGGCGACAAAGCGGTCATAGGCCATCACGGCCAGGAGGAAATTGTCCATATCTACAAACAGGAAAACAAAGTACATCTGCGTGAGACAGCCAGAGTAGGAGATGGCCTGACTCCCGAGGGCGTGATTGGCCAGCATCTTGGGGACGGTGGTGGAGGAGAAGCAGACGTCCACGAAGGACAGGTTGCTGAGGAAGAAGTACATGGGGGTGTGCAGGCGGGAGTCTGTGCCGATGGCCAGGACGATGAGCAGGTTCCCCAGGACCGTGGCCAGGTACATGCTCAGGAAGAGCACAAACAGCAGCCGCTGCTGCTGGGGCTGCCGCGAGAGTCCCAGGAGGAGGAACTCGGAGACACTCGACTCGTTGGCCCCTCCCATGGGTCTGAGCCCAGATGCAGAGAAAATAAAGAGGACAGAAATGGGAAAGCTGAGGGACTGGATGCAGAAGTCAAGACCCATCTATGGACATGCTAATGAACCCTGTGTTAGAGATAGTAGTCAGAATCTACCCCTGGTCCCCACACCCACAACTTCCAACCCTCAGTCCCACATGATGCTGGTCCCACTGGATTCAACCTTTTGATTTTCTAAACATTAACATTAAACCAACAGGTAAGCAAAGACACAGCCCTTCTCTGTCTTTGTATCAGGCTTTCTCTCAATGAACTTTCTCTATGACCTTTTTTTTTTTTTTTTTTTTTTTTTTGACAGGCAGTGTTAGACAGTGAGAGAGAGGCAGAGAGAAAGGTCTTCCTTTCGGTTGGTTTACCCCACAAATGGCCGCTACGGCCAGCGCGCTGCGCTGATCCGAAGCCAGGAACCAGGTGCTTCCCCCTGGTCTCCTATGCTTGTGCAGGGCCCAAGGACCTGGGCCATCCTCCACTGCCTTCCCGGGCCACTGCAGAGAGCTGGACTGGAAGAGGAGCAACCAGGACAGAACCGGAGCCCCAACCAGGACTCGAACCAGGGGTGCTGGCGCCACAGGCGGAGGATTAGCCTAGTGAGCCGCAGCCCGGTCTCTCTATGAGCTTAACAGTTAATAATGGGATCAGACATAGCGATTATCACTATGTCTGTATCATCCTTCAGTTAATGAATACAAGAATCTTACTACTGCTACCTGGATGGGGAAGATTTAGCACCAAGGTTCCTTAAAACCTTCAATCAGGGGCCTGGACTGTGATATAACAGTTAAGCCACCACCTCAATGCCAGCATCCCATATGGGCGTCAGTTCAAGTTTCAGCTGCTCCACTTTCCATCCAGAATCCCCACTGTTAAGCTAGTACCTGACAGACATGAGCAATGCTGCTGTCAAGTGTTCTCCACCCTGCAGGAATTGGCCAATACCACTCTTACTCTAAGCAGTGAGAAGTCTTAGACATACAGGCAGGTTCTGAGCTAGGGAAGAGGAGATGGTCACAGCCTTCCCCCTCCGTGCAGAAAGGATGTGTGGGGAGTCACAGGCAGGTGTTTACATGGCTTCCATGACCCCTGAGACCAGACTCCCTGAGAGTCTCATTACAGACAAGTTCAAGGTAATTGTCCCATCTATTTCCCAATCCCCGTGGACTCAGCAATGACGGCAAAGGATGTGATCTAACTCCTGGGTCATTCACATCTTGGGGACATGGATAGAGACAAGTCCCAGAGAAAATTCTCCAAGACCTCATCCTATTCATCTAGGCTATATTTATAGGTTTTCAAAACCAATCATTATTTTTGTTGTTCTATCCAAGTCTTCCACATGGGTAGCAGAAGCCCAAATACTTGAGCCATCTTCTGCTTCCTTCCCAGGTTCATTAACAAGCAGTTGGACAGCAGAGTAGCTGAGACTCAAACCAGCACTTTGATATGGAATGCTGCCATCCCAAGCAGTGGATTAACCCACTGATCCACAACACTGGCCCTCTTCCTACTTTCTAATGTCAGAAACTGGGGTTATTTCACAATTACCTGAGTGAACCTTTCATTTTCTCTTGTATCTTATACACAGAGTTAGGGATATGTTTGCAGAAAAGGATGGCAGGGTAGCACTACAGATTTGTGCTTGATCCTTTAAGGCACCATATCAAGTATGCTCCTTCTGTAATCAAAGAGACAGAGATCCCAGGGAGCTCACAGCACGCCAGGATTGCGGAAGCCCATTGTCCAGAGTAGACTCCTTTGGAGATGTCTTCCCAGCTCACAATGAATCATCCTTATCTGAGACTGGCACCCTAATCCACAGACCCATCGGAGACCCAAAACTTCCAAAACTTAGCAACATAAAACAGCAAGCATTTGTCTCACTTGTCATAGATCATTTGTCATAGATCTTCTGAGATGGGACTCTGGTCCTGTTCCGGGTCAGGCTTCTGTGTGAGACTGCAGGTACGTTGCCGGCAGGGGCTCAGTCCCGGAGGCTGACTCAGGCTGCAGAATCAACTCCAAGAGAGCTCCTCCTTCATTCACTGCCATTGGCAGCAACCTCACTTACTCCCTGGACCTCCACACAGAGCTAATGTGAAGTGTCCTCACACAGAACTGCTGGTGTCCCCCGAGCAGGGCTTCGAGACGCACTACAGAAGCCACAACAGCCTTTATGATACAGCTCCAGAAGTCACACGCCACTGCTTCTTTGTTTTTAAATTTATTACCTTATTTATCTGAGAGACAGAGAGAGAGGTCTTCCATCCACTGGTTCACTCCCCAAATGGCTGTAAGGCTGGAACTGGGCTGATCTGAAGCCAGGAGCAAGGAGCTTCTTCCAGTCTCCTTCATGGGTGCAAGAGCCCGAACATTTGGGCCATCCTCCACTGCTTTCCCAGGCACAATAGCATGGAATTGGATTGGAAGTGGACACGAATGGGCAAGACACACATGGCCACCTTTATGGGATGCCAGTGCCACAGGCGGAGGCTTAGCCTGGTACACCACGGCAATGGTCCCCAATGCTTCTTACATACTATTCTTTGCACTCTCATCCCAGATAAACCTGGGAAGGATTCCACAAGGCCAGGATCACCGAGGGTCATCTTGCCACATCTCTTACTGGCACATCTGGCTGCCACATCTCTTACTATCAAGTGGAAACCTTGGTTAGAGATCATGTTTGCGGGATGCCAAAACTTGATGAATAAACCCATGTATCCCCAACACACATTCTGTCAGCTCCTCAACCTCTGATTGAGCCCCTCTGTGTCCACTGGCTTGCCTTTCCTGACTACTTGCACACATTCAGGCATTCATGTTCACCATAGGTTTTTCTACCAATCACCCCATTTAAGTGGAAAATGCTGCTTGGGATGCCACAAAGTTCTTGACACTGGAGTCTGATTCACAAAGCTCAAACCTCAGTATCTGCATAGGCCACCATCTGCAGAGCCTAATCCAGGTGGTCCCACACTGCCTCCTAGATTGCCAATTTGGAGAAGTTTACCATGGTAATTTACAATTCCAGCATGCACAGAAATCACCTGAGGAGGCTGTTGTTAAAAATGAAGACTGTGTAGGGGCTGGCGCTGTGGCCCAGTGGGTTAACACCCTGGCCTGAAGTGCCGGCATCCCATATGGGCGCCAATTTGAGACCCTCTCCACTTCCCATCCAGCTCTCTGCTGTGGCCTGGGAAAGCAGAAGATGGCCAAGTCCTTGGGCCCCCACACCCACACTGGAAACCCGGAAGAAGCTCCTGGCTTCGGATCGGCACAGCTCCAGCCATTGCAGTCATTTGGGGAGTGAACCATCAGATGGAAGACCTCTCTCTCTCTCTCTCTCTCTGCCTCTCCTTCTCTCTGTGTAACTCTTTCAAATAAATAAATACATATTTTTTTAAATGAAGACTGTGTATTGGGGCAGTGCTGTGGCATAGCAGGTAAGGCCACCACCTGCAGTGTTGGCATCCCATAAGGGCACTGGATCCAGTCCCAGCTGTTTCACTTCTGATCCAGCTCTCTGCAGTAGCCTAGAAAAGCAGTAGAAGATGGCCCAAGTCCTTGGGCCCCTGCACCTGTGTGGGAGACCCCGAAGAAGGTCCTGGCCCCTGGCTTTGGCACAGCTCTGACCATTGTGGCCAACTGGGAAATGAACCAGCTGATGGAAGACATCTCTCTCTCTCTCTCTCTCTCTCTCTCTGTAGCTCTTTCAAATAAATAAATAAATCTTAATAAAAAAAATGAAGACTATGGGGCCAGCATGGCAATGTAGTGGGTAAAGCCTGCTATCTTTGATACTGGCATCCCATATGAACAACTGTTCATGTCCTTGCTGCTCCAACTCTGATCCAGCTTCCTGTTAATGTGCCTGGGAGAGCAGCAGAAGATGGCCCAAGTGCTTGGGCCCCTGCACCCACGAGGGAAACTGAGAAGAAGCTCCTGACTTCAGTCTGGCCCAGCCCTGGCCATTGTGGCCACGCGGGGAGTGAACCAGTGGATAGAAGATCTCTGTGTCTCTGTCCCTCTCTCTCTGTAACTCTGACTTTCAAATAAATAAAACAAACCTTTCAAAAATGAAGACTGTGATTCAGGAAGTCTGGAATGGAGCCTGAAGCAATGCATGTTTAACGTCACTGAGGCAATGTCTGTGTTCTTGGGTGCTGGACCATTCCGTGCTGCTGCAACATCACAAGTGGCGCTCGGTAACAGGGAGAGGTTGACTAGACTCACGAATGGTGGCTGGGAATTCCCCCAGCTGTGGCACACAGGTCAAATGTCATTATGGTGGGGGCTTGTGTGAGAGGTGGGGTACAGGTCAACAGACCTGGGGCCGGCCAAGCTGTCTTCCACAGCAACCCCCGCTCAGGGGACCCCAGTCCTGCCACAGCGGCTTTCCCCGCCCCCGAGCCCGGGGCCCCCACAGGTTCGTCTCCCTCCACTTCCACCTCCTGCGGGTCCGCCTCTGCCCAGGACGGCTAACACCGGGAACCAAGCTTCCAGAACACGACCCTCCCGGAACGCAAGGAGGCCTCCCTGCCCGCAGAGCCCGCCGCACCGCCGCAGCCGGCTCCCCGGCCAACCTCACCCCTGTAACGGACACCCAGACTGAAGTCAGACCCTCAGCGGCTTCGGCCTCCACCTGCGAAGCCGGAGATAGGAAGCAGGCGGAGCGACACCTGAAGAACTCACGGCAGTTGAGTAGTCGTGGCTCCTGGGCTCCGCCAGGCGCCCAGGTTTGGTGGGTGCCAACGCCAGGGTGCCCATTCCCGCTTTTTGGCGATGACGACTCCACCACCGCCACCACAGAGCCGCCCGCTGCAGCGCAGACCCGGACGCCACACGCGTTTTCCCAGCCGGCAGCTCTTCTGTGAGGGACGGCGCCCACCGCCTCACGGAGACTGGCCGAGCTCAGGCACCGCCCCTCCTACTCATTGGATGGGAGAACACCAGCCGGGAAAAAGAACCGGCTATTATTGGCTAAAGCAGGGAGGCGGGCCGAGACAGCGCGGCGATGCAGCCTCTGATTGGTCGCTTTCCGGGAGCGCGCGGTGCTCGCTGTGGTCGCCCTTCCGAGACGTGCACGTGCGCGTGGTGCGTCCGCTGGGAACTCGCCGTGTGCGAAGTCTCCCAGCCGCTGAGGAAAGCAAGGGGTCGCGAGAAACCTGGGAGTCCAAATAAATAATAAGGGATATTTTACAAATAAAATTAATTTTTAAAAACAAGATACAAATTAATTATTATTTCAGACCTTCACCTGGTGTCAAATAGGGCAGTTCTCTCAGTGGAAACCCAGATAGGCAAAGAAGTGGATTTGAAGTACTATTTGAAAATAGTACTGAATTTTGCCTTAGCTAAAGCTGAGAAAGTAATATTTTAAAATTCTCATGTGGTTGTAAATAAAATATTGAAGCTTAAAATAATGTGAATTTTAATATACCTTCTTTTAGTTTTTCTTGTATTTTTTCAACTTTTAACTTTTTAAAAAATTTTATTTGATGGCCGGTGCCGTGGCTCAATAGGCTAATCCTCCACCTTGCGGCGCCGGCACACCGGGTTCTAGTCCCGGTCGGGGCGCCGGATTCTGTCCCGGTTGCCCCTCTTCCAGGCCAGCTCTCAGCTATGGCCAGGGAGTGCAGTGGAGGATGGCCCAGGTGCTTGGGCCCTGCACCCCATGGGAGACCAGGAAAAGCACCCGGCTCCTGGCTCCTGCCATCGGATCAGCGCGGTGCGCCGGCTGCAGCGGCGGCCATTGGAGGGTGAACCAACGGCAAAAGGAAGACCTTTCTCTCTCTGTCTCTCTCTCTCACTGTCCACTCTGCCTGTCAAAAATTAAAAAAAAAAAATTTTATTTGAAATTCAGAGCTACAGAGGTAGAGAGGAGGAAGAAGGAAAGGGAGAGGGAGGAGAGAGAGAGAGAGAGAGAGAGAGAGAGAGAGAGATCTTCCATCCATTGGTTCACTCCCCAGATGGCCACAATGGGCCAGAGATGAGAAAGGCCAAAGCCAGGAACCGGGAACTTCTTCCAGGTCTCTCACGTGAGTGCAGGGGTCCTAACACTTGGGCCACACTCCGGTGCTTTCCAAGACCGTTAGCAGGGAGCTGGATTGTAAGTGGAGCAGCCAAGACTCAAACTGGCACCCATATGGGATGCCAGCATTGCAGGTGGCAGCTTTACCCACTACACCACCAGCACCTTCGACGTTCACAAATGTTCTGGAAAATTTACAATTTAAAATATGCATAGGGGTACAAGTTTTCCTTTTGCCTCAGGCTTCAGTGTAGCAGCTTTGGTTCTCTGTGGCTTCCCTTCAGGAAGCTGTTCCATCTTCCCTGTGTGCTGATTGATTCACAATCAGTTATTCACCCAAACAATGACTGTTTGTAGAAATTACTACATCCTGGATACCACTAATTAAACTGTCCATGCACTCATAGAGCTACAGCCTAGCTGGCGGTTGAGGGGAAGACAAGGAGAAAAACACAAAGTAACACCCTCCAGATAGACTGCCACTTTATCATTCAGGAAACACCACCCACTTTACATCATCCAGACCCAGCGCTTACGATTACGTGTCCCAGTGTGAATGATGGCACATTCCTCCTTCTGGGGGTCTTGTGAAGACGGGGCAAAACTGCAGTACAAGACTGTCCAGGGCACATGAGAAGCACAAGTTCTGTTGGGATAATTAGTTAACTCTGGCTACCCTGACATAGTGCCACAAAGTGGGTAACTTGAAAAAACAGCAACTCATTTGCCTGGAGGCCTGGAGGCTCTGGGGGAGAACCTGACGAGTGTGCGCCAGCTTCTCCTCGCTGTCGCAGCTCTTGGTGTTCCTGGGCTGGCCAATGCATCATCTGTACCTTGGCCGCCATCTGCACAGGCTTGCTCCCTGAGTGTCTGCTGCATCCCTAAGTCTCTGCATAGCATTCTCCTCTCTGTGTGTCCATGTGTCCAAATCTCTTTTAAACGGGAAAACAGCCATTGGAATAAGCCCAGCCTCTTCCTATACTCATCTTGATAACATCAGCAAAGACCTATTTCTTTTTTTATTAAAGATTTATTTTGGGGGGCCGGCACTATGGTGCAGTGGGTTAAAGCCCTGGCCTGAAGCGCCAGCATCCCATATGGCCGCTGGTTCTAGTCCCAGAGGCTCTACTTCCAATCCAGCTCTCTACTATGGCCTGGGAAAGCAGTGGAAGATGGCCCAAGTGCTTGGGCCCCTGCACTCATGTGGGAGACCCGGAAGAAGCTCCTGGCTCCTGACTTTGGATCGGTGCAGTTCCGGCTGTTGCAGCCAGTTGGGGAGTAAACCAGCAGATGGAAGATCTCTCTGTCTCTACCTCTCTCTGTAACTCTGTCTTTCAGAAAAGCAAAATTTTTTTTAAAAATATTTATTTTTTTATTTGAAAGGCAGAGAGAGAGTGAGAAAGAGGTCTTCCATCTGATGGTTCACTACCCAAATGGCTGCAATGGCCAGAGCTGCACGTATCTGAAGCCAAGAGCCAAGAGCCTCCTCCAGGTCTCCCACGCGGGTGCAGGGGCCCAAGGACTTGGGTCACCTGCTGCTGCTTTCCAGGCCATAGGAGAGAACTGATAGCAGAGAGCTGGATTGAAAGTGGAGCAGCTGGGACTGGAACCAGCACCCATATGGGATGCCAGCACTGCAGGTGTCAGCTTCACTTGCTATGCCACAGTGCAGGCCCCAAAAGACCTATTTCTTTTTTTTTTTTTTTTTTTTTTTTTTTTTTTTTTGACAGAGTGGACAGTGAGAGAGAAAGACAGAGAGAAAGGTCTTCCTTTGCCGTTGGTTCACCCTCCAATGGCCGCCGCGGCCGGCGCGCTGCGGCTGGCGCACCGCGCTGATCCGATGGCAGGAGCCAGGAGCCAGGTGCTTCTCCTGGTCTCCCATGGGGTGCAGGGCCCAAGCACCTGGGCCATCCTCCACTGCACTCCCTGGCCACAGCAGAGGGCTGGCCTGGAAGAGGGGCCACCGGGACAGAATCCGGCGCCCCAACCGGGACTAGAACCCGGTGTGCCGGCGCCGCTAGGTGGAGGATTAGCCTAGTGAACCGCGGCGCCGGCCCAAAAGACCTATTTCTAATTAAGGTCACAGTCATGGGTCCTAAGGGGGTTAGGACTTGAACAAATATTTGTTTGGGAGTAGGGAGGACACAATTCTAGCCACTACAATAGGGAATTATTTGAGGGAAACCAAGGTAGCATCTAGAGCACTGTATGACTGACTGGGTATATGTAGGGGGATTGCAACATGGGGGTTCCACTAACTGAGAAAGCACAGGAGGAGGGAAGTGCATGTGTGTTTGTGTGTGGGGGGCAGTGTCATGGTGCTGGTGGTGGCAGGGGGAGATGATGGCATCCACTTAGGAAATGTTGGGTGTGAAGCCCTAAAAGACATCCAGGTAGAGCGGTCCAGAAGTTGGACACTGTGAGTCCTCAGGTCATGAGCGTGTGGATTTAGTTTAAGACACAACAGTGGACGTAACTGGCCAGGAAGAGAGTATAGGGTGAGAAGGAAGAAGTCCGAGAAGCAGCCCAGAAGGACAAGAATCACAGAGGGGCTGTCAGACGAGGGCGGGACGACGAAAGCTGGGCGTGGAGACGGGAAACAAGCAGAGGTGTCTCAGAAGCAATGGAGTCGGCGACCTTCAGAAGAAAAGCGATGTCAGCAGTGCCAAGCGCACAAGGAAATCAAGCAACAGCACGGGTTAGCAGAATCAAATGTTACCAAGTCTTATTGACAAATAAGAGACACAGTGATATTTTCAACAAGTAATTTCTAATATGGCAAATGGACTACACCCCACTATTTAACCTTTGGTGAGGGAACACGGGCAGCTGTTCCTGCTGGTTGTCATGCTGGTGGCAGGAAGCGCGTGCTGAGGCCGAGTCTGGAGTACCGGGTGGGAGGGAGCGGAAGCAGGACCGGGCGGAGGGAGAGGGAGAGGGAGGCTGAAAGGCAATAGTGTCCAGCTGTGGAGGCGCTGTGGTGCATCAGGATTGGCCCAGGCCCGCTGAAGTGTCGGGGCGTTACACCTCCCCCGACCAGGCACTGAATGTATCCGCCAGAGAATGGGGTGGTCCTGAGCGAGTCCCTCTCTGTGGCTGAGGCTGTCTGCTGGCACCAAGGGGGTCTGGGTGGCGCACCTGCGTCCGTCTCAAATGCTCGACAGCCGACGTAGGTTACAGACAACACTCGAGGACAGATTGAATCCTCTCAGTTTCTCATTTCAGACACACCGTGATGGGAAAACAGGCTGGCGGACGGGGCCCTCGGGTACCGCTTCACTCTCTACATGCCTGCAGTGGCTGGGGCCAGGCCAGGCTGAAGCTAGGCACTGAGAACTCCATCCAGGCACCCAACTACTCGAGCCAGGCCTGTTTCCAGGAAGCTGGGGTCGGGAGCCAGACTCGACCGTGGAACAGGGACTCTGACGTGGGATGTGGCCATTTTAACCAGCATCTGAGCCCGGGGCCGTGTGCCCAGCCCTGACTTCAATACTTTTTCTTTAAAAAGGCAGAAGGCCATGAGGAATGTGATATCCAGATCGTGTGCCTACACGTCACTGTCAGTTCTGCTTCCTTCCCCTTCACAGTTTCTACGATGATCATGTGTTACTGTCCCAGTCTTTAAGTGCCCCATCACGGTATTTTAAAAGTTTTTGAAGGGCTTTTAGTAATAGAGGTAAAGTCTTACCTGATGCAGGTCAGACCCCCAAAAGCAGAATGCAGCATTTTGTACAGAACAGGGGAGTAAGTAGAAGCCCACGACTACATGTACAAAGGAAAGAGCCTGGAGGAAATACACAAGCTATGCACATGCGTTCCCCCTCTCTCCACCACAGGGGCGTGCGGCAGCTGGGCTCACACACACACTGGGCTGCACTCACTGCTCGGCGGAGGCCCTCATGGCATCTCTGTCCTTTCCCCTGTCTGAAGCTGAGGGGTGGGGGCAAGACAGGAGGGAGGGCTGCCCACCATGGTCTGGGGCTTGAGGGGTATGAGTTTGCTGATTTAAATAAAGAACAGCCCCCCAAAAGGAGATACAATACAAAGATTCATTGAATGATGGGATTATTAGAAGTATAAGATTCCTATTTCATAATTTCCTGTATTTTCTAAAACATTCTATAACAATGATATGCTAAATTGTAGAGTCACAAACATGTTTTAAGAATGAATGTCAGGGCCAGTGCTGTGGCGTAGCGGGTAAAGCTGCCGCCTGCAGTGCCAGCATCCCATATGAGCGCCAGTTCGAGTCCCAGCTGTTCTACTTCTGATGCAGCTCTCTGCTATGACCTGGGAGAGCAGTGCAATATGGCCCAAGTCCTTGGGCCCCTGCACCCACATGGGAGACCTGGAGGAAGCTCCTAGCTCCTGGCTTCAGATTGGCACAGCTCCGGCCATTGTGGCCAATTGGGGAGTGAACCAGTGGATGGAAGACCTCTCTCTCTCTCTCTCTCTCTCTCTCTCTCTCTCTCTCTCTCTCTGCCTCTCCTCTCTCTGTGTAACTCTTTCAAATAAATAAATAAATCTTTGAAAAAAAAAAAAAAAGAGTGAATGTCAGTGGAGGCAGGCTCTTCCTTCCAGGAGAGCGTCTGAGCTCTGTTTTCTAAGAGAAGCAGACACTTCTGGAGAGTGCAACAACAGAAATGAAATCGAGTTCTGTCATTCCCGAAAGTTGCAGATCCATGTGAACTAGCAGAATCATTAGTAAAAATAAATAAATTACCCATAAACACACATTTTATGTATTATATACAATGCTATAGAGATATGTATTTAATAAACTATAATAGGTAATTTTAGGACTTCTCCTTATCCTGAAACAAATAAAAGAGAAGAAGTAGACCCAATGAGAAAGATGTTATGAAAAGAAATCATCTAACACCGAAGACAAAAACCCTTTCCTCAAGGCACAGAATTCATGGCAGAGGACGCTGTTATATATCCGGCAAGCCCACACCCATCAGTCCAGGCAGTGACTTTAATTATTGAACAGTAGAATTTACGCCAAGAAGAACCTGAAAGGGCAAAGGGACCACCTGCCCCATCCCTGAGGGATCACAGGGCCTTCTTACACCTGGGGAGGGGCTGACTCGTCCGAGGAGTGAGCTTTGCGATCCTTTGTCATCAAGCAGGAGATGCAGGACCCATGACAGAAAAAGCCCGTGTCAGTGGGCAGAGACCGGGTGAAGGAAGGTGACCCGATTCCTGTCCCAGCCGCTGCAGCGGCTCACCCAGTCGCCTGTGGAAACGTTGATGGTGGCAGACAGCATGTTATGGGCCTGCTGTCTGCCACAGCACAACTGCTCAAGTTGGGGATTACCCAAATAAATCATAATACACCCATGGCATGAAACACCATGCAGCTGTGAACACACGACATGGGAAATGGTACATGGAAAACCAGTGTGAAGGTTGTATGGATGTCTGGAGGCCAGCTTCAGTAAAAATTATTTTCATACATTTTTTAAATTTTATTTATTTTATGGGAGAGGCAGAGAAACCAATACAGACAGATCTTTCATCTGTTAGTTCTCTCGCCAAAAGCTTGCAACAGCCACACCCAGGCCCGTCTAGAGCCAGGAGTCAGGAACTCAGTGCAGGTAGCAGGGACCCAATGCTTGAGTTATCACCTGCTGCCTCCCAGGGTGCACATTAGCAGGGAATTGAGAGACTTGAACCCAGGCACTCCGGTGTGGACATTCAAGTGGCCACTTAACCACTGCACCAAATGCCCACCCCTATCTCCATATATTTTAACTGTTTTTACAGGTTATTTTAATTTCCTTACATGAAATCTTTGACAGTGTGGAAGCATCATACTGTGATTCTTAAAGCAACACACAGTGATGCCTCTCACCCAGTTAAATGTGTCTAACTGAAAATTCAGACAACTTCCGTTTGTTCACTTACTCAGTAAACGGGGGTTCGCACACAACCTGTGTGGGGAGCCCTGTGGTGCCCAGTGTGCATCTGAGTCCGAAGTATCTCACCTCTGTCTCGGGCCTTGGGGGCGAAGTAGCAGTGGGCTCATGGAGGGGAACGAAGAGCTGCCAGTCGGCTTCACGTGGACAGCAAGTCCAAGAGGGGATTTCGGAGGGAACCCGGGGGACGGAGCGTCAGTCTCTGCTGAGGGGTGGCCTCCAGGTCCCCACAGAGCAGGGGACCTGGACTCAGCACCTGAAGGCTTGGGGCGGCCTTGCCACCCAGGGAGAGGGCAGCGAGGCGTCCTGGAGAGACAGACGGGCAAAGGTGATCTCTGTCCCCAAAACCAAAGGTGCGGCTCGCACTCCACCGATCCCAGCAGGGAAGGCGGTCCGTCGGATGCAGAGGCTGTGCACACCTGGAAGGGCTCGGAGGGTCTGTGTGGGGCCCGGGCACATGGAGCAGGAACAGCCCCAGGAGCAGCCTTTCCCGGCACAACACGGGGCCCAGGGACAACTTCACGGATCGCGTTTCTCATCTCTGTTGGTTTTACCCACGAAAGACCTCAGATGGCCGCTGAGGCCCACTGTTCATGACGAGCACTGCCCCAGGCAGTGGGCTGTCCACTGAGAAAGCACATGAGAGCCCGGCAGGGACTACAAGGGGAAAGGTCCCAGTGCCCAGGTCCCATCCACACGCTGATTTAACTGGCTGAGCTCTGCTTGGGAGCCGGGGCTGAAAACCACTGCTGTGGGCTCCAAGAGAATCTTCAGAAGAATCACAGAATGGGTAAACTGTAGGCTTTCAAGAGGGTTGCTAGCAAAGTAAAGGCCTACCAGCTATGTAGAAGAATGTAAAATGTAGTGATCAAAAAAATTTAAAAAATGTAGTGATCAGCAAGACACCACTGCCGTTCAAGGGAGCGGGGTTGGAGCTCAGAGTTCACTGATCACGATCTACCAGCATATTTGTTCTAAGTTCCTCAAAGACGCTTTGACAGAGCAGTGGCTGCATTTCACACGTAGGCAAAAAGTGTCCATGTCTGGCATGATAAGCCCGTGGCGTTCTCATCGCTATGAACCTGTCTTGCTGACGACTGCTCTTCTGAGCGCCGCCTTCAAGTCCCGGTTCCTCAGGCTGTAGATGAAGGGGTTCAGCATGGGGGTCACCACCGTGTACAGCACGGTGGCCGCGGTGTCCTTCTCAGCCGAGTGCGAGGACGAAGGGCTGAAATACACAGCGATGATGGTGCCATAGAAGAGGGAAACCACAGCCAGGTGCGAGCCGCAGGTGGAGAAGGCTTTCCACCTGCCCCGCGTGGATGGCACCCTCAGCACAGCACAGGTGATGTGGGCGTAGGAAGCCAGGATGCAGACAAACGGGGCGATCATGACCAGGGCCCCCTCAGTCAGAATCATCGCCTCATTGAGCCGTGTGTCCGAGCAGGAGAGCTTCAGGAGAGGAGTCACATCACAGAAGAAGTGGGGGATGGCGTTGTCCCCACAGAATGACAGTCGCGCCATCAGCAGGGTGTGCAACAGGACATTCAGGTTGGCAACGACCCAGGACCCAGTGACCATCAGGACACAGAGCTGACGAGTCATCTTTGTTGTGTAATGTAAGGGGTGGCACACGGCGACAAAGCGGTCATAGGCCATCACGGCCAGGAGGAAATTGTCCATGTCCACGAACATGAAGAGAAAGTACATCTGCGTGAGACAGCCAGAGTAGGAGATGGCCTGACTCCCGAGGGCGTGATTGGCCAGCATCTTGGGGACGGTGGTGGAGGAGAAGCAGACGTCCACGAAGGACAGGTTGCTGAGGAAGAAGTACATGGGGGTGTGCAGGCGGGAGTCTGTGCCGATGGCCAGGACGATGAGCAGGTTCCCCAGGACCGTGGCCAGGTACATGCTCAGGAAGAGCGCAAACAGCAGCCGCTGCTGCTGGGGCTGCCGCGAGAGTCCCAGGAGGAGGAACTCGGAGACGCTCGACTCGTTGGCCCCTCCCATGGGTCTGAGCCCAGGTGAACAGAGAACGGCGAATTCAGAACCTCGGACGAGGATGGTTAAGGTGTGTTCAGGCTGCAGGCAGGAACAGGTCTGCAGAACAGTCCAGGGAGCTGCTGCACTGGGGTTTGCTACACTCCGTTCCGTGTTTCCTGCCAGGCTCCCTAATTCTCCTCCCGTGTTCAACACGGGACACCACACAGCCCCTGGCTGAGTATCTCTGCTTACATCGCTGTTCTCCCCCCCCCCCCCAATGCCTTAGTGGCTCCTATAGAGGCAAGAGAAACGGCTGACGGTTATTACCGGGTTCCAGTGACAAGCAGGGAGCTCGAGACTCCTACTGCTGTCCCTGCATCAGCAAGGTGCACACGGAAGTTTCTCAGAAGACCTCGATGTCTAAGCAGAGATCGGCGTCTCCACTGTGGCGCCTGCCTGGAGGAAGCTGGCACTGGTGCGCTCCTGTCGTTCACCTGCGCGCACCCGGCCCACGCCGCTCTTTGTTGTAAAGATTGGGAAGTCCCGGAAACCCAGGCAGGTCCTGACCCGTGAGGAGCAGGACTTCCTCGCTCAGCCCTGCGTGCCACAAAGTGCTTGGGGAATCACAGAGGGGCCTTTACAGCAGCCCCTCAGCCCCTGGGACACATTCCCCGAGAGCCTCATTAGAGACAAGAAGAGAGTAGCTGCCTCTTCTACTTTGTCCCCTTTGGACCAACGGTGATGACATAGACCATTACCCAAAGTTCCCATGTGGCTCTTGGGGCAAAACTGAAAGAGACCAGACTTGAAGGCACCTTGGCAGAGACAAATCCCCGACTGACTGTCGCACAACCTCAAGCCTCAGCGCCTTGGTCATGTGGGGCTGTGCCCGCAGGTGTTCCTATGCTTTCTGGGACACCCTCGCTTCCTCCTTTCTGCTCACCTGGAGAGAAAATCAGTGATGGTGAAGTTCTCCACTTTACACATGGGAATGTCAAGAACACATTACTGGGGCTGGCGCTGTGATGTAGCGGGTAAGCCACCACTGCAGTGCCGGCATTCCCTATGGGTGCTGGTTCCAGTCCCGGCTGCTCCACTTCTGATCCAGCTCTCTGCTATGGCCTGGGAAAACAGCGGAAGATGGCCCAAGTCCTTGGGTACCTGCACCCGCATGGGAGACCTGGAAGAAATTCCTGGCTCCTGGCTTTGGATCGGCGCAGCTCCGGCCATTGTGGTCATTTGGGGAGTGAACCAGCAGATGGAAGTCTCTCTCTCTCTCTCTCTCTCTCTCTCTCTGCCCCTGCCTCTGCCTTTCTAATAAATAAATAAGTCTTTAAAAAACTACAACTGCTTCTTCCCTACAAAGGAGAAGCAATACCTGTAGGGCTAATTTCAGCAGAAAAGGATTTCTTTAAAATAAAACACTGACTCTACCAACACGGTGTTTTATTTGGCCATAAAAATGAATCGACTTGTGATTCGTGCCACAACATGGATAAATTTCTAAAGCATCAAGCAACAGGTGACACAAAGATCATGTATTGTATGAATCCTTTTATATGAAACAGGAAGGACAGGAAACTCCATAGACAGAGAACGCAGACTGGCGGCTGCCGTGGGCTGGGGGCAGGAGATGGGCAGTGACCGCCATCAGGTGGCCGATGAAAGTGACTCAGAACCGGACAGAGCTGGTGCTTGTGCAGCACCACAAATGTGCCCAATGCCACTGAGCCATTCCCTTCAAAATGACTCATTTTATGGGATGAGACCTTCAACAAAATTAAAAAACAAACAATATTGAGCGCCTGTCAAAAATCAGCAGGAGGCAGGTCAGCCGGGTGTGGGTGGTTAATTTGACGTGACAACTTGGCTGGGCCAGGGTACCAAGTTCTAGATGTGCATGTGCTTTCTACACGAGATGCACACTTGAGTCAGCACACTGCCCCCCATCGTGGGATGGGCCCTGTGCACTCGGTCAAAGGCCTTGGTAGAAAAAGCCTGCCCCCAGGGTCTCCTGACCTGCCAGGCCTCCACACTCACACGAGCCGATTCCCCAGAGTTTACAAATCTCGGGGTGGAGAGAGGGGAAGAGGGAGAGAGAAACTGATTCTGTCTCCCTGGATTACAAGAATCCACTCTCACAAGATCGCTGGCTGGTAACACTGCTCCCGCCCATGGCTCAGGACCAGCCAGCGAGGACACCACCCATGCAGCAGTCATGGAGTCACTGCCACCACTACCTCAAAAAGATCACAGGAAAAGTGGATTAAAATACGGGGGAGGGGCAGCGCTGTGGCTCAGGTTAAGCCTCTACCTGCAGTACCAGCATCCCAAATGGGGGCTGCTCCACTTCTAATCCAGCTCCCTGCTGATGCACCTGGGAAAGCAGCAGAAGATGGCCCAAATACTTGGGCCCCTGCACCCACACGAGAGACCCAGAAGATGCTCCTGGCTCCTGGCTTTGGCCTCACCCAGCCCCAGCCATTGCAACTATCTGGGACGTGTACATGCAGATGGAAGATCTCTCTCTCTGTCTCTAACTCTGCCTTTAAACAAACAAACCCTGGGCAGGGGGCGGGGGGTAGGGGGGAGTGCGGGGATAGGCCTTTAGCCAAGCAGTTAAGATGCCAATCAGGATGCCAGCATCTCACATCAGAGCACCTCGGTTCAATCCCCGGCTCTGCTTCCTGTCTCTGGTCTCCTGCTAATGCAGACCCTGGGAGGCAGCAGTGAGAGCTCAGGTAGTTCGTCACCCATGTGGGAGGCCCTGAATGAGCTCCCGCCTCCCAGCTTTGGCTCATGGGGAGTGAACCAAAAGGCGGGAGTGCTCTCTCCCCTCTCACATCCATCCCTCCCCCCTTAAATAAGAAGAAAAATAATTCTCAAAGTAAACAAGAATCTTTATTTTCCAGAACATTTCTTCAATAAGCATTGCCAAGAACTGCGACAGGCCTGAGACTTTATCCTATTTACAAGCCAGTAAGTGCGCCCACCAGTTACACCGGCAGTGTGACCAGACTCCTGGGCCAGAGAAATGAAGAGTGTATTGCTCACAGGGCCGGCGCCGTGGCTCACTTGGTTAATCCTCCGCCTGTGGTGCTGGCATCCCATATGGGCGCCGGGTTCTAGTCCCAGTTGCGGTGCCGGGTTCTAGTCCCAGTTGCTCCTCTTCCAGTCCAGCTCTCTGCTGTGGCCCGGGAGTGCAGTGGAGGATGGCCCAAGTGCTTGGGCCCTGCACCTGCATGGGAGACCAAGAGGAAGCACCTGGCTCCTGGCTTTGGATCAGCACAGTGCGCCGGCCATAGCAGCCATTTGGGGGGTGAACCAATGGAAGGAAGACCTTTCTCTCTGTCTCTTTCTCTCTCTCTCTCTCTCTCTCTCTCTCTCTGTCTATAACTCTACCTGTCACACACACACACACACACAAAAAGTGCATTACTCACAGCACTAGCGGTAGCCAGAGTATCCGCATCTACACCTGAGCCTCACAGAACGTAAGAGCAGGTGGCAGCTGCACACACGCAGCGGCTTGCGGTGCATGGGCAGATTTCAAGCTCAGGAAATGGAATCGTCCATAACTGCAAAGATGTCTTTCTGACCTTTGACCCAGAGGGAGTCAAATCTTGGTTACAATCCTGCTCTTTGCTCAGGAAAGACACCCTTTATATCTTCCAGGCTGGTGGCTACACCAAGTCCTTCAAGAGATAATCTAGAACAAAACCAATCAGTGTGTCACAAAACACCAAGAAGCAGGAGACCCAGGGTGGATTATCTCCCAACAAGCACAGCTTAATTTTATGATCACTTGTCTTTAATAGTGAATGGGAGATAGAGAAATCCATCATAGACTATTCTTTAAAAAAAAAAAGTTATTTATTTATTTGAAAGAGTTACAGAAAGAAGGAGAGGCAGAGAGAAAGAGAGAGAGAGAGAGAGAGAGAGAGAGAGAGAGAGAGAGAGGTCTTCCATCCGCTGGTTCACTCCCAATTGGCTGCAATGGCCAGAGCTGCACCAATCTGAAGCCAGGAGCCAGGAGCCAGGAGCCAGGAGCCAGGCGCCTCTTCCGGGTCTCCCATGTGAGTGCAGGGGCCTAAGGACTTGGACTATCTTCTACTGCTTTCCCAGGCCATAGCAGAGAGCTGGATGGGAAGTGGAGCAGCCGGGACGCAAACTGGCACCCATACGGAATGCCGGCACCACAGGCGGCGGCTTTACTGGGTACACCACAGCGCTGGCCCCTTCATAGGTTATTCTTTTGCAATACAAGGTTGTCTAATTTTCTTCCATGTTCTAACAGTTTTTTAAGTAAGACCCTGAGGCAGCCTTTATCATAGCAGTTAAGATGCCTACATATGGCTGCTGCACTTCCAAACCAGGTCCCTGCTAATGCACCCGGGAAAGCAGTGGAAGATGGCACAAGTGCTTGGGCCCCTGTCCTCCATGGGAGACCTGGATGGCTACTGGCTTTGGACTGGCTGAACTCTGTGTGTGTGTGTGTATGTGTGTGTGTGTGTCTTCCTCTCCCTATCACTCTGCCTTTCAAATAAAAAAAGAAAAATTCTGCATCCCACATTGGAGTGCCTGGGTTTGAGTCCTGGCTCTGCTTCTGATTTCGGCTTCCTGCTTATACGTACCTTGGGAAGCAGCAGGCGATGGCTCAAGTGGTTGTGTCCCTGCTACACACTTGGAGACCTGGATGGAGTTTCCAGCCTTTTGCAAGCATTTGGGGAGTGGGCCAGCAGATGGAAGTGCTGTGATGTCTCCCTCCCTCCCTCCCTCCTTCTCAAATAAGTAAGATCCTGTTACAGAGGGAAGGAGACTTCATCCAAGTGAACTGTTGTGGAAAGTCTGAGAATGAGCAAGCTCAGGTCACAAGAATGTAGAGCTAGTAAAATGCTCAATACTGGGACTGGTGCTGTGGCATAGCAGGTAAAGCTGCCACCTGGGGTGCCGGTTCGAGTCCCAGCTACTTCACTTCCAATCCAGCTCATGGGAGACCCAGAGGAAGCTCCTGGCTTCAGATTGGCATAGCTCTGTCCATTGCGGCCATCTGGGGAGTGAACCAGTGGATGGAAGACCTCTATCTCTCTCTCAGCTCTGCTTTTAAAATAAATCAATCAATCTTTTTAAAAAATCAGAGTAATAAAAATATTCTTAAGAGGAAAAAAGATGTAAAGAGGACCAAGATCACTGTGTTCCCAGAAAGCAGGATCTTGGGAAGTGTGCACCGTCCATGAATCTCTACACCCTCCACCACCCAACGTCCAGTCAAAAACCAAGAGCTAATACCGCACACAAAGAGAGAGTGCCAGCACTGTGGCACAGAAGGCTAAGCCACCCCCTGTGGCCCCATGTCCCATACTGAAACACTGATGCTTCACGCTTCCCGTCTAGCCCCCTGCTGATGCCCCGGGGAAGCAGCGATGGCTCCAGTCCTTGACCCCTGCATCCACGCGGGAGACCCGGATGGAGTTCCTGGCTCCTGATTTTGCCTGGACTAGCCCCAGCCATTGCTTTTCAAATAAATACATGACATTTTTAAAGAGAAGTAAGATGTTAATTATTATAGTTTATACATTGACTAAATAAATCAGGAAAAACAGTAGAAGACACTCTTGGCTTCAGTATGACCATTGCAGCCATCTGAGGAGTGAACCAGTGATGCAAGACCTCTCTCTCTCTCTCTCTCTAACTCTTTCAAATAAATAAATCTTTAAAAATAAAAATACAACTATACAGTAGAGAAAATTTGATTCAAGTCCATTCCACACGAAAGGACCCAGAGGGGACTGCAAGGGAGAAGGGTGACCTGAGCTGGGTGTTCATGGGAGAGCCGGCTTGACGCCACGGGGTGGGAGGCCACAGTGGGCATATCCACCAGGGCCCACAGTCACCCTTCACTGGAGGGCTGACCTTATTCGAATGCAGGTAGCCTGTCACCCAAACCTCAGAGGAGGTCTCCGCGTGGTCCCCAAACGATGTGGGCCACAGGGCAAACAGCAGACCACCGGCATGAGGGTTTGGAAGCCACGCTACACGCTGAAGTGCGAGAGCTCACGCCTGCGGGCACGTCCGACTCCCAGTTCCCTCTCCCCGGCAGGATACGCAGCAAGGGCTGGCCGACTCCTCTGAGCAAGTCTGGTGTCCGCTAGCAAAGGCAGCTGGTGTCAGGCAGAAATAATGAAGAAATGAAAGAAAGGTGATGTTCATTTTTTTCTCCAAGCTGGAGAAATGTGTCACTCGGAGAAAGCAAGCAAGCATGCTGTGGGGTCACTCACGCTGCTGGGACGGACACACCAGGAAAGGTGGCTTACAGCACAGAGACACTTCAAACAGCTCAGGGTTGGGGTGTGGATGACAGACACTGCACGCGTGTGATGAAATCCCTGCAGGTTTTAAACGCGCACCCCAAGGTCTTTGCTGACACGGGACAAAGGAAGAGGACATCACAGAAGTCGTGGGCAGATGGCAACCAGCTTTTTTTTTTTTAATAAGATTTATTTATTTTATTTGAAAGGCAAAGTTACAGACAGGCAGATAGAGAGAGAGAGAGAGGTCCTCCATCTGCTGGTTCACTCCCCAGGCGGCTGCAACGGCTGGAACTGTGCCGACCCGAAGCCAGGAGCTTCTTCTGGGTCTCCCATGCGGGTGCAGGGGCCCAAGGACTTGGGCCATCTTCCACTGCTTTCCCAGGCCATAGCAGAGAGCTGGATCGGAAGTGGAGCAGCTGGGACATGTAGGATGCCGGCACTGCAGGCGGTGGCTTTACCCGCTATGCCACAGCCACAGTGCCAGCCCCGGTAACCAGCTCTGAGCAGCTACAGTCACAGCGCCTGGCTCCAGCAAGGACATGGGCCACTCTGCTTCTCCAGGGGGATGTGTAAGCCCCTCCTTTCAATACGGAAACGGTTTGTTAACTTTCTAAAGCAAGAAAGTGCAAGTTACAAGTTAAGGCAAGTATTCGGTCCTCCATTCATTTTCTTTCAGCTAAAGTTGATTTTTCCCATGGTCTAGGATGGGTGCCAGACACTGGGGCATGTGCCCAACTGGGTCTGGGGGTGTCTCAGCATCTGTGGGAGGCCCTCATTGCAAGGGGAGAAAAAAGGCAAAACAGAGCCATGAGAACCACAACAAGGAGTCAGGGGGCCACAGAGGGGGAGGAGGCATTTGACTCGGTTCTTTCTCATTTATGAAAGGCAGAGACAGACCTACAGAGACAGAGAGAGGGATCTCCCTTCATGCCCCAAATGCCCACAACAGCCAAGACTGAGTCAGGCCAGAGCCAGGTACCTAAAATCCAATGGAAGTCTCCTGTGTGGATGGCAGGGACCCAAGTACTTGAACCATCACCAGCTCTCTCCTGGGGTCTGCATTAGCAGCAGGAAGCAGAGCCAGGGCTCAACCAGGTACTCCCAAGCGGAGGCTTAACCACTGCGACAAATGCCCAGCCAGGACTCCGGACGGAGGGAGGAGGGGTGGGGGAAGGAATAGGGTGGGGGAGGGGTGGGGCCAGTCAGAGAACGGAGCAGGTGGTCTGGGCAGTGGGAACAGCCAATGTTAGTTTGTTGCAAAGACATCCATGACCCCAGCTGAACCACTCCTTCCCCAGCAAATGTCAGGTACTGAAGCCTCGCCTCCCGACGGCCCTGGGGCCTCCCTACGCCCGGCTTCGAGCACACAGGGTCCTCGCCTCCCTACAGCCTGGCTGCGTGCACACAGGGTCCTCGCCTTCGGATAGCCCGGCTCTGTGCGCACCGGGAGAGCTTCGCCTCCCAACACCAGGGCCACGTGCACACAGGGAGCCGCCTCTGGACGGTGACTGCCCACTCCACCGTCCTTTGGTTTGACTCCCAAAACCAGTTTGTGGGGTTGTGTGGCCCCACCGCTGTGGAGGGAGGTGCCCCCCTGACAGCGGTGCCACTCACCGAGGTGGCGTCTCAGCTCTCGGGCGAGGACCCGGCCTCCAGAGAGCCTGGGCTCAGTGTTGGGGACCGGGCGCAGGTGAACTGTGAAGGCTTCCCAGGCGAGTGCGCCTCCTCCACACACATCCCTTAAAAAGGAAGCAGCTGACCTGTTGTAAAATAACTCAATAGCCGGCGTTTTCTCAGAAGCAACAGGGCTCCAGGCGAGGCATCACCTCCCGCCCGCTCCCGTCTGCCTCGGATCAAACAGCCGCCACACTGAGCCCAAGTGGCAAAAAACACGTTTCCTTGGCAGTGAGATTCTGCCTTGTGATTCTCTCATCAGGCAGAGAACGTCTTGCTGCCGACCGCTCTTCTGAGCGCCGCCTTCAAGTCCCGGTTCCTCAGGCTGTAGATGAAGGGGTTCAGCATGGGGGTCACCACCGTGTACAGCACGGTGGCCGCGGTGTCCTTCTCAGCCGAGTGCGAGGACGAAGGGCTGAAATACACAGCGATGATGGTGCCATAGAAGAGGGAAACCACAGCCAGGTGCGAGCCGCAGGTGGAGAAGGCTTTCCACCTGCCCCGCGTGGATGGCACCCTCAGCACAGCACAGGTGATGTGGGCGTAGGAAGCCAGGATGCAGACAAACGGGGCGATCATGACCAGGGCCCCCTCAGTCAGAATCATCGCCTCATTGAGCTGTGTGTCCGAGCAGGAGAGCTTCAGGAGAGGAGTCACATCACAGAAGAAGTGGGGGATGGCGTTGTCCCCACAGAAGGACAGTCGCGCCATCAGCAGGGTGTGCAACAGGGAATTCAGGTTGGCAATGACCCAGGACCCGACGACCAGCAGGACACAGAGCTGACGAGTCATCCTCGTCGTGTAATGTAAGGGGTGGCACACGGCGACAAAGCGGTCATAGGCCATCACGGCCAGGAGGAAATTGTCCATGTCCACGAACATGAAGAGAAAGTACATCTGCGTGAGACAGCCAGAGTAGGAGATGGCCTGACTCCCGAGGGCGTGATTGGCCAGCATCTTGGGGACGGTGGTGGAGGAGAAGCAGACGTCCACGAAGGACAGGTTGCTGAGGAAGAAGTACATGGGGGTGTGCAGGCGGGAGTCTGTGCCGATGGCCAGGACGATGAGCAGGTTCCCCAGGACCGTGGCCAGGTACATGCTCAGGAAGAGCGCAAACAGCAGCCGCTGCTGCTGGGGCTGCCGCGAGAGTCCCAGGAGGAGGAACTCGGAGACGCTCGACTCGTTGGCCCCTCCCATGGGTCTGAGCCCAGGTGAACAGAGAACGGCGAATTCAGAACCTCGGACGAGGATGATTAAGGTGTGTTCAGGCTGCAGGCGGGAACAGGTCTGCAGAACAGTCCAGGGAGCTGCTGCACTGGGGTTTGCTACACTCCGTTCCGTGTTTCCTGCCAGGCTCCCTAATTCTCCTCCCGTGTTCAACACGGGACACCACACAGCCCCTGGCTGAGTATCTCTGCTTACATCGCTGTTCTCCCCCCCCCCCCAATGCCTTAGTGGCTCCTATAGAGGCAAGAGAAACGGCTGACGGTTATTACCGGGTTCCAGTGACAAGCAGGGAGCTCGAGACTCCTACTGCTGTCCCTGCATCAGCAAGGTGCACACGGAAGTTTCTCAGAAGACCTCGATGTCTAAGCAGAGATCGGCGTCTCCACTCTGGCGCCTGCCTGGAGGAAGCTGGCACTGGTGCGCTCCTGTCGTTCACCTGCGCGCACCCGGCCCACGCCGCTCTTTGTTGTAAAGATTGGGAAGTCCCAGAAACCCAGGCAGGTCCTGACCCGTGAGGAGCAGGACTTCCTCGCTCAGCTCTGCGTGCCACAAAGTGCTCGGGGCAATCACAGAGGGGCCTTTACAGCAGCCCCTCAGCCCCTGGGACACATTCCCCGAGAGCCTCATTAGAGACAAGAAGAGAGTAGCTGCCTCTTCTACTTTGTCCCCTTTGGACCAACGGTGATGACATAGACCATTACCCAAAGTTCCCATGTGGCTCTTGGGGCAAAACTGAAAGAGACCAGACTTGAAGGCACCTTGGCAGAGACAAATCCCCGACTGACTGTCGCACAACCTCAAGCCTCAGCGCCTTGGTCATGTGGGGCTGTGCCCGCAGGTGTTCCTATGCTTTCTGGGACACCCTCGCTTCCTCCTTTCTGCTCACCTGGAGAGAAGATCAGTGATGGTGCAGTTCTCCACTTTACACATGGGAATGTCAAGAACACATTACTGGGGCTGGCGCTGTGATGTAGCGGGTAAGCCACCACTGCAGTGCCGGCATTCCCTATGGGTGCTGGTTCCAGTCCCGGCTGCTCCACTTCTGATCCAGCTCTCTGCTATGGCCTGGGAAAGCAGCAGAAGATGGCCCAAGTCCTTGGGTACCTGCACCCGCATGGGAGACCTGGAAGAAATTCCTGGCTCCTGGCTTTGGATCGGCGCAGCTCCGGCCATTGTGGTCATTTGGGGAGTGAACCAGCAGATGGAAGTCTCTCTCTCTCTCTCTCTCTCTCTGCCCCTGCCTCTGCCTTTCTAATAAATAAATAAGTCTTTAAAAAACTACAACTGCTTCTTCCCTACAAAGGAGAAGCAATACCTGTAGGGCTAATTTCAGCAGAAAAGGATTTCTTTAAAATAAAACACTGACTCTACCAACACGGTGTTTTATTTGGCCATAAAAATGAATCGACTTGTGATTCGTGCCACAACATGGATAAATTTCTAAAGCATCAAGCAACAGGTGACACAAAGATCATGTATTGTATGAATCCTTTTATATGAAACAGGAAGGACAGGAAACTCCATAGACAGAGAACGCAGACTGGCGGCTGCCGTGGGCTGGGGGCAGGAGATGGGCAGTGACCGCCATCAGGTGGCCGATGAAAGTGACTCAGAACCGGACAGAGCTGGTGCTTGTGCAGCACCACAAATGTGCCCAATGCCACTGAGCCATTCACTTCAAAATGACTCATTTTATGGGATGAGACCTTCAACAAAATTAAAAAACAAACAATATTGAGCGCCTGTCAAAAATCAGCAGGAGGCAGGTCAGCCGGGTGTGGGTGGTTAATTTGACGTGACAACTTGGCTGGGCCAGGGTACCAAGTTCTAGATGTGCATGTGCTTTCTACACGAGATGCACACTTGAGTCAGCACACTGCCCCCCATCGTGGGATGGGCCCCGGGCACTCGGTCAAAGGCCTTGGTAGAAAAAGCCTGCCCCCAGGGTCTCCTGACCTGCCAGGCCTCCACAATCACACAAGCCGATTCCCCAGAGTTTACAAATCTCGGGGTGGAGAGAGGGGAAGAGGGAGAGAGAAACTGATTCTGTCTCCCTGGATTACAAGGAGCCACCCTCACAAGATCGCTGTCTGGTAACACTGCTCCCGCCCATGGCTCAGGACCAGCCAGCGAGGACACCCATGCAGCAGTCATGGAGTCACTGCCACCACTACCTCAAAAAGATCATAGGAAAAGTGGATTAAAATACGGGGGAGGGGCAGCGCTGTGGCTCAGGTTAAGCCTCTACCTGCAGTACCAGCATCCCAAATGGGGGCTGCTCCACTTCTAATCCAGCTCCCTGCTGATGCACCTGGGAAAGCACTGGAAGATGGCCCAAGTGCTTGGGCCCCTGCACCCACATGAGAGACCCAGAAGATGCTCCTGGCTCCTGGCTTTGGCCTCACCCAGCCCCAGCCATTGCAGCTATCTGGGAAGTATACATGCAGATGGAAGATCTCTCTCTCTGTCTCTAACTCTGCCTTTAAACAAACAAACCCTGGGCGGGGGGCAGGGGGTGGGGGAAGTGCGGGGATAGGCATTTAGCCAAGCAGTTACGATGCCAATCAGGATGCCAGCATCTCACATCAGAGCACCTCGGTTCAATCCCCAGCTCTGCTTCCTGTCTCTGGTCTCCTGCTAATGCAGACCCTGGGAGGCAGCAGTGAGAGCTCAGGTAGTTCGCCACCCATGTGGGAGGCCCTGAATGAGCTCCCGCCTCCCAGCTTTGGCTCATGGGGAGTGAACCAAAAGGCGGGAGTGCTCTCTCCCCTCTCGCATCTATCCCTCCCCCCTTAAATAAGTAGAAAAATAATTCTCAAAGTAAACAAGAATCTTTATTTTCCAGAACATTTCTTCAATAAGCATTGCCAAGAACTGCGACAGGCCTGAGACTTTATCCTATTTACAAGCCAGTAAGTGTGCCCACCAGTTACACCGGCAGTGTGACCAGACTCCTGGGCCAGAGAAATGAAGAGTGTATTGCTCACAGGGCCAGCGCCGTGGCTCACTTGGTTAATCCTCCGCCTGCAGCGCCAGCATCCCATATGGGCGCCGGGTTCTAGTCCTGGTTGCTCCTCTTCCAGTCCAGCTCTCTGCTGTGGCCCAGGAGTGCAGTGGAGGGTGGCCCAAGTGCTTGGCCCCTGCACCCCATGGGAGACCAGGAGAAGTACCTGGCTCCTGGCTTCGGATCAGTGCGGTGCGCCGGCCATTTGGGGGGTGAACCAATGGAAGGAAGACCTTTCTGTCTCTTTCTCTCTCTCTCTCTCTCTCTCTCTCTCTCTAACTCTACCTGTCACACACACACACACACAAAAAGTGCATTACTCACAGCACTAGCGGTAGCCAGAGTATCCGCATCTACACCTGAGCCTCACAGAACGTAAGAGCAGGTGGCAGCTGCACACACGCAGCGGCTTGCGGTGCGTGGGCAGATTTCAAGCTCAGGAAATGAAATCGTCCATAACTGCAAAGATGTCTTTCTGACCTTTGACCCAGAGGGAGTCAAATCTTGGTTACAATCCTGCTCTTTGCTCAGGAAAGACACCCTTTATATCTTCCAGGCTGGTGGCTACACCAAGTCCTTCAAGAGATAATCTAGAACAAAAGCAACCAGTGCGTCACAAAACACCAAGAAGCAGGAGACCCAGGGTGGATTATCTCCCAACAAGCACAGCTTAATTTTATACTCACTTTTCTTTAATAGTGAATGGGAGATAGAGAAATCCATCACAGACTATTCTTTTAAAAAAAAGTTATTTATTTATTTGAAAGAGTTACAGAAAGAAGGAGAGGCAGAGAGAAAGAGAGAGAGAGAGAGAAAGAGAGAGGTCTTCCATCCGCTGGTTCACTCCCCAATTGGCTGCAATGGCCAGAGCTGCACTGATCTGAAGCCAGGAGCCAGGAGCCAGGAGCCAGGCACCTCTTCCGGGTCTCCCATGTGAGTGCAGGGGCCTAAGGACTTGGGCCATCTTCCACTGCTTTCCCAGGCCATAGCAGAGAGCTGGATAGGAAGTGGAGCAGCTAGGATGCAAACTGGCACCTATATGGGATGCTGGCACCACACACGGCGGCTTTACCGGGTACACCACAGCGCTGGCCCCTTCATAGGTTATTCTTTTGCAATACAAGGTTGTCTAATTTTCTTCCATGTTCTAACAGTTTTTAAGTAAGACACTGAGGTAGCCTTTATCATAGCAGTTAAGATGCCTACATATGGCTGCTGCACTTTCAAACCAGGTCCCTGCTAATGCACCCGGGAAAGCGGTGGAAGATGGCACAAGTGCTTGGGCCCCTGTACCTCCATGGGAGACCTGGATGGCTTTGGACTGGCTGAACTCTCTCTCTCTCTCTCTCTCTCTCTGTGTGTGTATGTGTGTGTGTGTGTCTTCCTCTCCCTATCACTCTGCCTTTCAAATAAAAAAAGAAAAATTCTGCATCCCACATTGGAGTGCCTGGGTTTGAGTCCTGGCTCTGCTTCTGATTTCGGCTTCCTGCTTATACGTACCTTGGGAAGCAGCAGGCAATGGCTCAAGTGGTTGTGTCCCTGCTACACACTTGGAGACCTGGATGGAGTTTCCAGCCTTTTGCAAGCATTTGGGGAGTGGGCCAGCAGATGGAAGTGCTGTGATGTCTCCCTCCCTCCTTCTCAAATAAGTAAGATCCTGTCACAGAGGGAAGGAGACTTCATCCAAGTGAACTGTTGTGGAAAGTCTGAGAATGAGCAAGCTCAGGTCACAAGAATGTAGAGCTAGTAAAATGCTCAATACTGGGACTGGTGCTGTGGCATAGCAGGTAAAGCTGCCACCTGGGGTGTCGGTTCAAGTCCCAGCTACTTCACTTCCAATCCAGCTCATGGGAGACCCGGAGGAAGCTCCTGGCTTCAGATTGGCATAGCTCTGTCCATTGCGGCCATCTGGGGAGTGAACCAGTGGATGGAAGACCTCTATCTCTCTCTCAGCTCTGCTTTTCAAATAAATCAACAATCTTTTTAAAAAATCAGAGTAATCAAAATATTCTTAAGAGGAAAAAAGATGTAAAGAGGACCAAGATCACTGTGTTCCCAGAAAGCAGGATCTTGGGAAGTGTGCACCGTCCATGAATCTCTACACCCTCCACCACCCAACGTCCAGTCAAAAACCAAGAGCTAATACCGCACACAAAGAGAGAGTGCCAGCACTGTGGCACAGAGGGCTAAGCCACCCCCTGTGGCCCATGTCCCATACTGAAACACCGATGCTTCGCGCTTCCCGTCTAGCCCCCAGCTGATGCCCCTGGGGAAGCAGCGATGGCTCCAGTCCTTGACCCCTGCATCCACGTGGGAGACCCGGATGGAGTTCCTGGCTCCTGATTTTGCCTGGACTAGCCCCAGCCATTGCTTTTCAAATAAATAAATGACATTTTTAAAGAGAAGTAAGATGTTAATTATTATAGTTTATACATTGACTAAATAAATCAGGAAAAACAGTAGAAGACACTCTTGGCTTCAGTATGACCATTGCAGCCATCTGAGGAGTGAACCAGTGATGCAAGACCTCTCTCTCTCTCTCTCTCTCTCTAACTCTTTCAAATAAATAAATCTTTAAAAATAAAAATACAACTATACAGTAGAGAAAATTTGATTCAAGTCCATTCCACACGAAAGGACCCAGAGGGGACTGCAAGGGAGAAGGGTGATCTGAGCTGGATGTTCATGGGAGAGCCGGCTTGACGCCGTGGGGTGGGAGGCCACAGCGGGTGTATCCACCAGGGCCCACAGTCACCCTTCACTGGAGGGCTGACCTTATTCGAATGCAGGTAGCCTGTCACCCAAACCTCAGAGGAGGTCTCTGCGTGGTCCCCAAACGATGTGGGCCACAGGGCAAACAGCAGACCACCGGCATGAGGGTTTGGAAGCCACGCTACACACTGAAGCGCGAGAGCTCACGCCTGCGGGCACGTCCGACTCCCAGTTCCCTCTCCCCAGCAGGATACGCAGCAGACCACCGGCATGAGGGTTTGGAAGCCACGCTACACGCTGAAGCGCGAGAGCTCACGCCTGCGGGCACGTCCGACTCCCAGTTCCCTCTCCCTGGTAGGATACGCAGCAGACCACCGGCACGAGGGTTTGGAAGCCACGCTACACGCTGAAGCGCGAGAGCTCACGCCTGCGGGCACGTCCGACTCCCAGTTCCCTCTCCCCGGCAGGATACGCAGCAGACCACCGGCATGAGGGTTTGGAAGCCACGCTACACGCTGAAGCGCGAGAGCTCACGCCTGCGGGCACGTCCGACTCCCAGTTCCCTCTCCCTGGCAGGATACGCAGCAAGGGCTGGCCAACTCCTCTGAGCAAGTCTGGTGTCCGCTAGCAAAGGCAGCTGGTGTCAGGCAGAAATACTGAAGAAATGAAAGAAAGGTGATGTTCATTTTTTTCTCCAAGCTGGAGAAATGTGTCACTCGGAGAAAGCAAGCAAGCATGCTGTGGGGTCACTCACGCTGCTGGGACGGACACACCGGGAAAGGTGGCTTACAGCACAGAGACACTTCAAACAGCTCAGGGTTGGGGTGTGGATGACAGACACTGCACGCGTGTGATGAAATCCCTGCAGGTTTTAAACGCGCACCCAAGGTCTTTGCTGACACGGGACAAAGGAAGAGGACATCACAGAAGTCGTGGGCAGATGGCAACCAGCTTTTTTTTTTTTAATAAGATTTATTTATTTTATTTGAAAGGCAAAGTTACAGACAGGCAGATAGAGAGAGAGAGAGAGAGAGGTCCTCCATCTGCTGGTTCACTCCCCAGGTGGCTGCAATGGCTGGAACTGTGCCGACCCGAAGCCAGGAGCTTCTTCTGGGTCTCCCATGCGGGTGCAGGGGCCCAAGGACTTGGGCCATCTTCCACTGCTTTCCCAGGCCATAGCAGAGAGCTGGATCAGAAGAGGAGCAGCTGGGACATGTAGGATGCCGGCACTGCAGGCGGTGGCTTTACCCGCTATGCCACAGCCACAGTGCCAGCCCCGGTAACCAGCTCTGAGCAGCTACAGTCACAGCGCCTGGCTCCAGCAAGGACATGGGCCACTCTGCTTCTCCAGGGGGATGTGTAAGCCCCTCCTTTCAATACGGAAACGGTTTATTAACTTTCTAAAGCAAGAATGTCCAAGTTACAAGTCGAGGCAAGTGTTCGGTCCTCCATTCATTTTCTTTCAGCTAAAGTTGATTTTTCCCGTGGTCTAGGACGGGTGCCAGACACTGGGGCGTGTGCCCAACTGGGTCTGGGGGTGTCTCAGCATCTGTGGGAGGCCCTCATTGCAAGGGGAGAAAAAAGGCAAAACAGAGCCATGAGAACCACAACAAGGAGTCAGGGGGCCACGGAGGGGGAGGAGGCATTTGACTCGGTTCTTTCTCATTTATGAAAGGCAGAGAGACAGACCTACAGAGACAGAGAGAGGGATCTCCCTTCATGCCCCAAATGCCCACAACAGCCAAGACTGAGTCAGGCCAGAGCCAGGTACCTAAAATCCAATGGAAGTCTCCTGTGTGGATGGCAGGGACCCAAGTACTTGAACCATCACCAGCTCTCTCCTGGGGTCTGCATTAGCAGCAGGAAGCAGAGCCAGGGCTCAACCAGGTACTTTTGATGTTTGTGATGCTGTCGTCCCAAGTGGAGGCTTAACCTATGTGACAAATGCCCAGCCAGGACTCCGGACGGAGGGAGGAGGGGTGGGGGAAGGAATAGGGTGGGGGAGGGGTGGGGCCAGTCAGAGAACGGAGCAGGTGGTCTGGGCAGTGGGAACAGCCAATGTTAGTTTGTTTCAAAGACATCTATGACCCCAGCTGAACCACTCCCTCCCCAGCAAATGTCAGGTACTGAAGCCTCACCTCCCGACGGCCCTGGGGCCTCCCTACGCCCCGCTGCGTGCACACAGGGTCCTCGCCTCCCTACAGCCTGGCTGCGTGCACACAGGGTCCTCGCCTTCGGACAGCCCGGCTCTGTGCACACCGGGAGAGCTTCGCCTCCCGACGCCGGGGCCACATGCACACAGGGAGCCGCCTCTGGACGGTGACTGCCCACTCTACCGTCCTTTGGTTTGACTCCCAAAACCAGTTTGTGGGGTTGTGTGGCCCCACCGCTGTGGAGGGAGGTGCTCCCCCTGACAGCGGGTGCCACTCACCGAGGTGGCGTCTCAGCTCTCGGGCGAGGACCCGGCCTCCAGAGAGCCTGGGCTCAGTGTTGGGGACCGGACGCAGGTGAACTGTGAAGGCTTCCCAGGCGAGTGTGCCTGCTCCACACACATCCCTTAAAAAGGAAGCAGCTGACCTGTTGTAAAATAGCTCAAAAGCCGGCGTTTTCTCAGAAGCAACAGGGCTCCAGGCGAGGCAGATCACCTCCCGCCCGCTCCCGTCTGCCTCGGATCAAACAGCCGCCACACTGAGCCCAAGTGGCAAAAAACACGTTTCCTTGGCAGTGAGATTCCGCCTTGGGATTCTCTCATCAGGCAGAAAACGTCTTGCTGCCGACCACTCTTCTGAGCGCCGCCTTCAAGTCCCGGTTCCTCAGGCTGTAGATGAAGGGGTTCAGCATGGGGGTCACCACCGTGTACAGCACGGTGGCCGCGGTGTCCTTCTCAGCCGAGTGCGAGGACGAAGGGCTGAAATACACAGCGATGATGGTGCCATAGAAGAGGGAAACCACAGCCAGGTGCGAGCCGCAGGTGGAGAAGGCTTTCCACCTGCCCCGCGTGGATGGCACCCTCAGCACAGCACAGGTGATGTGGGCGTAGGAAGCCAGGATGCAGACAAACGGGGCGATCATGACCAGGGCCCCCTCAGTCAGAATCATCGCCTCATTGAGCCGTGTGTCTGAGCAGGAGAGCTTCAGGAGAGGAGTCACATCACAGAAGAAGTGGGGGATGGCGTTGTCCCCACAGAAGGACAGTCGCGCCATCAGCAGGGTGTGCAACAGGACATTCAGGTTGGCAATGACCCAGGACCCGGCGACCAGCAGGACACAGAGCTGACGGGTCATCCTCGTCGTGTAATGTAAGGGGTGGCACACGGCGACAAAGCGGTCATAGGCCATCACGGCCAGGAGGAAATTGTCCATGTCCACGAACATGAAGAGAAAGTACATCTGCGTGAGACAGCCAGAGTAGGAGATGGCCTGACTCCCGAGGGCATGATTGGCCAGCATCTTGGGGACGGTGGTGGAGGAGAAGCAGACGTCCACGAAGGACAGGTTGCTGAGGAAGAAGTACATGGGGGTGTGCAGGCGGGAGTCTGTGCCGATGGCCAGGACGATGAGCAGGTTCCCCAGGACCGTGGCCAGGTACATGCTCAGGAAGAGCACAAACAGCAGCTGCCGCTGCTGGGGCTGCCGCGAGAGTCCCAGGAGGAGGAACTCGGAGACGCTCGACTCGTTGGTCCCTCCCATGGGCCTGGGTGCCTGGACCAGGAGCCAAAACAGGATCCGTTCAAAAGCTCGGGTCGGGTGAGGCAGGGGCCCTGGGCCTCCCTGCTCTCACTAGCAAAATGAGAGCATTTGCTCACGGGAATTCAGGCAGACACAACGGCGGTTCTCTCGGCACTTGGTTTTTACAACAAAGTTCTATACAACGTTACATGTTTAAGATATCCAGAGACTTCTCTATTTGTGCCGAGGTCAAGAGAACCCACATCGAGCCATCGCCATAGAGACAGGTGCACAGCGAGAAGCCAACACGGCACTGTCCGGTTCCCAGATGCAGTGGTGCTTCCTGGAGTGAAGGTCCCCCCGCCCCGCCCCTCACCTCTTGGCTGGCCACGTCCCGTGCCCCCAGCACATCTGCTCTGGGACCTGTATCTGTGAGCCGCCGACAGCTGCTCCCTGTGTGGGTTGGGGTGGGGTGGGCGACACTGCTGCCCTCCCCCCAACTCCTGTTTCCCGGGCACCTGTCCGGGGTCCGAGCCGGGCCGCCTTGTGTATTCTGCTGAGCGTCTTGAGTCACACTCGTAAAATTAAAATGAAGTATCCTGGGGCGTGGGCACAAACCGTCCGTCACTTTGCGTTTCCCACAGTTAGGGTTCTCAGGCCAGGCAGACACCAGCCGAGACAGAGATGGCGGGGAGCCGCTGATCACCGCCGGGCTGTCTCAGGAGGTGAGGGGAGTCCCCACCAGCCTGGCAGGCGGGGGATCAAGTCCCACTGTCTGCTCTTACCCGGAGAGAATGTCCTCACTGTCACAAGTCCTGGACTCGCTACACTTGTTCAGAGCTTGCCAGAGGTTCCCGGACCAAAGCAGAGGGGCCGCCGCTGGGATCTGCGGGCTGTCTGCCTCCAGGAGGAGCTGGGGACACAGCCTGGGCTCTCGGGGCAGGAGAAGGCTGGGGAGAACACAGGACGAGGCCTTTACGGCTGTCTCCGTGGCCGCCAGGGCCCCAGTCCCTGAGGGCCTCGTTAGAGGCACAGTAATCATCCCTCCTCCCTGGCTTCACCGGAGTCCGAGAACAGTAACTCAGGCCTGGCCTCGAGGACTCTGCTCCCTGCTCAGGGACTCGGCAGCCGCGACAATGATGCAATCTCGGCGGTAACCGTGGACCAGACACAAGACACGGGAAGAACAGAGAAAACTCACAGACCCGAGCTTTCTCCTCTGCCCACGCCAAGCGGTGGTGTCCCTGTTGGGAAGCTGTCTGAGGCTTAGAATAACCTATGGCCTTTCACAGATTTGTACCCACTTCCTGCTCTGCCGCTGCCAGTTGTGTGATCTTGGGGGAAGCTACCGGCCCCTGCTGAGTCATGAAGTTCCCTCATCCGTTCGTGGCGGGGAGAAGTGTGCACACTTCACACAGCAGAGCTGTCATGACCCCTGACCTCGGCGTGCTCCGGGCTGGGACCTCCTCTGCTGCACGGAGGCTCCGGCTGTAACGCAGTGTTTGCCTCTTTCTCTCTCTGCTCCATCAGCTGTCTGCTCTGATAAACATCACTTGGAAACAGAACCACACGCGTATCTTCGTGGGTCTGTAGTCACTTTTTTAAGGGGCCAGATGACAAGTCTCTTCTGTATTTCATTTTGGGGAAATGAGATAGAAATAGGAGCCGGGGCTGACTCCGTTTATAAATGGGTAGAACGTGAACTCCAACGAGGGAAAGAGAATTCCTGGTCCAGTAGGTGTCACTCTTGAAGAATTTTCCTCAGCAGGCGTTCAGAAGGCAAGACCTGGTGCTAAGGTGCCCACAAAGAATTTGAGCTTTTGCACTGTAATGTTTACTTTCTTGGGTTGATAACATCAAAAATTACTCTTGAAAACTGTACAGTGGCAGTGGAGATCCTGAGAGAACATCGGGGGGCGGAGGAATCAGTGTTCAAGAAACCTTCCCTTTGAGTTGTATTCCAATGTGTTCTCTGCTCTGACTGTAAAGTTTTAATAAAGAGTATTTACCCAGTCCTGTGAGAGCACCCATGTCTCCATCAGACGCAGTGTTCAGCATCAAGTTCTGTCCATCCAGTGACCAAAAAAAAAAAAAAAAAAAAAAAAAAAAATCAAAACATGCAATCCTCGAAGTTCATTGTGAAAGATCTGAGGAGATAGACCAGGCACTGACATTACAAAGGCATCATTTGCAAGTGATGGGAAACCAATTCCTGGCAGCCTGGGGGGGAGGGGGTGCAGGGGACAGAACCTGGTGGTTGGTGTAACTACAAAGTCCAAAGCATCCTTTTGCAAAGCCTGTGTGTTTCAGGTGGGCTCAATTTGAGGACCCAGATAACAACACCAGGGCCCTGTATTTATCTCTCTCCTCTCTTCTTTCTTCCGACTGAATTCTGCAGACAGTCTCTCTCCACGTGGCAGCCAGAGGTCCATCTGTGGGGCCGGCATGGTAGCGCAGCTGGCTGAGGTGCCATCTGTGACACCGGCGTCCCATCTTAGAGTGCCTGTTGGAGTGCCAGCTGCTCTGCTTCCCATCCAGCTCCCTAATAATGCACCTGGGAAGGCAGTGGAAGATGGCCCATGTGCTTGGGTCCCAGACACTCACGTGAAGACTCAGGGGTAGTTCCAAGCTCCTGGCTTCAGCCTGGCCCAGCCATGTCTGCTGCAGCCATTTCAGGAGTGAACCAGTAGATGGAAGATAGCTCTCTCCCTTACTCTGTCACTCTACCTTTCACATAAATAAATATTTTCCCCAGAGAAACCTTTTATTTAATGAGTACAAATTTCATAAATACAACCTCTCTTCCTCCTTCCTCTCCCTTTCTTCATTAAGATTCATTTTCAATTAACTTTATACAAAGACCAACTCTATACTAAGTAAATATTCCAACAATTTGCATGCATACACAGACACAGAAATTGAGAACTAGTTTTATAGTTAATTCTCATAATACAACTCATTGAGGACAGAGGTCCTACATGGGAACTCCCATTGTTAATGTAATAATTAACACTCTAATGTATGACGTCAGTGGTCACCAGAGCATCTTGACATGAGCTGTCAGGGCTATGGAAGCCTTTTGAATCCACAATCTCCATCAGTATTTAGACAAGGCCCTCAGCAAAGTAGAAGTTCTCTTTTCAGAGAAAAGTACATCCTTCTTTGATGGCCACTTTTTTCTGCTGGGGTCTCACTCACAGAGATCCTTCATCTAGGACATTTTTTTGCCACAGTGTCTTGGCTTTCCATGCCTGAAATGCTCTTGGGGCTTTTCAGCTGGACCAGAATGCCTTAAGGGCTAATTCTAGGTCAGAGTGCTATTTAAAGTGATTGTCATTCTATGAGTCTGCTGTGTGGACTGCTTCCCATGTTAGAACACTTTCTCTTTTTAATTTTATCTATTATTATTACCAGACACTTGATCTTGTTTATATGATCTCTTTAACACTTAATATGATCACTTTAATACTTAAGATGGCATTTTTACCACCCAGCTTAATGGGATTTGGGATCCCATGGCAAGTTTTTAAACTGTACCCTTAGAAGTAAGTCCACAGGAATGTATGCAGAACTATACAGCTTTACAATTACAAACTTCCTCCTCCCTCTCTTATTCCCATTCTTATTTTTTACTGAGATCTATTTTCAATTAACCTTATATATACATATGATTAACTCTATGTTAAGTAAAGAGCTCAACAAATAGTATGAAGAAGAAAAAAAAACTGTTCCTCAACAGTCAAGATAGGGGCTGTTCAAGTCATTGCTTCTCAAAGTTTCACTTTGACTTCTACAGATTTTCTTTTATGTGCTCTATTAGTTATCACAGACCAGGGAGAACATATGGTATCATTCCCTTTGGGACTGGCTTATTTCACTAAGTATGATGCTTTCTAGATTCATCCATTTTGCTACAAATGACCGGATTTTTTTTTTTACCACTGTGTAGTATTCCATAGAGTACATATCCCATAATTTCTTTACCCAGTCTTCAGGACATTTAGGTTGATCCCATGTCTTAGCTATTATGAATTGAACTGTTAAGTAAATGTTTTTAAGACAAGAGTTATTACAAAAAACATCCAGCTATGGTTCCAGCACTTGGACATTTGCATCCCCTATCGGCCACTCCATTTCTGATCCAGTTTCCTACTACCGTGCACCCTGCGAGGCAGCAGATGACAGCGGAAGTAGCTGGGCCTCTTCCACCAACATGGGAGACCCAGATGGAGTTCTAGGCTCCTGCCTTCAGCCTGGCCCAGACTGGGCCCAGAGTGGCTGTTGTGGCCATTTTTCAATTCTCTCTCTCTCTCTCTCTCTCTCTCTCTCTCTCTCTTATTCTGCCTTTCAAATAAATAAATCTAAAAAAAAAAATGTCCATCAGTAGCTCACCTCCTCCAAGACCAGCTCACAGGACCTCTTTCCAACTCCAGGTAAGGCTGTGCTCATCCCCTGCTTCACGTGCCCAACCCTGAACCAACCGTTCTAGAGAGACTAGCAGGTCGCAGACTCAGTCCTTTCTGTGCAGGAATCCCGGGATGGACATTCTCACCAGGGCTCCACGCAGCAGAGAGGAGCGCCCTGAACAGGTCAGAAGAAAAGTGGGGAGGAACACCCAGGAGCAAACGTCTAGGCACTCTGACCTGCTGGCGTCGCTCCGCCGGCAGAGCCGAGCCAAGGGCTGGGGAATGAACCCCTCACTACACAGAGAAATGAACAAAAACTGCTTTAATTATGCATTCGGTGAACAGAGATAAAACCTGTGTCAGTGACAACCTTAGCGCCCAGATCTTGGGTTGTAAATACTGGGTCACATGCTGCAAGGGAGCCGGGAGAAAGCCGCTGTACATCTGGAGAAGCCTCTAGGAGAGGCCCAGGGAAGGAAGAAGGGGACACAGTGGGTGCTGAGCAGGCGAATGCAGTCTCACACGGCTCACCGAACTGCAGTACGGGGAAAAGGTTGTTGAGATAGCACAGCAAGTCTGTCAATCACAGGCGCAGGACAGTAAAAACTCAAGTCCTTCAGACCGAAAAGGAAAAATACTGCTCTCCAAAAGCAGCAGCCCAGGAGGGAAACAGCAGGGAAGGATGATGTTCGGACTGAGTGTGTGTGGCCACACAACGATCATAGCAAAAAAAAAAAAAAAAAAAAAATTGGCACTCCCCAAGTACATTCAGAACTTTATTTACAAGCAGGTGTGGACTCTCGTGAGAGCCAGGTCCCTCCTCACCAGTGACCAGCTCTGGACTCCCAGAACAAACACCTCTGTCCAGACACCCCTTCCCTGAGTTCATGGTTCTCCAAATCCCAGATCAAAGTCAGAAAACAACAGGAAAAGTGTTCTAATTCCTCCACGAGAATTGTAACGACAGACGTGTAACAGAGGCTTATCTGGTGACAACAGAGAGCTACTACTTGTACAAAGGGAGCCACAGAAGTCCCTGACGTCATAAGCAGGAAATGCTTTTGAGTGGAGGTTCCCACTCCTGGGACCTGTCAGTCTAAGAAGCTACTGTGTTTCATTTGAAAAGCTCCCTGGTGTTCCCTTCATTTAAAAAAAAAAAAAATATATATATATACACACACACACATATCTTATTCATTTACTTCAGAAAGAGAGAGAGAAACAAAGGGAGACAGAGAGAGAGAGGTCTTCCACCTACTGGTTCACTCCCCAAATGGCCACAATGGCCAGAGCTTGGCTGATCCAAAACTGGGAGCCAGAAGCTTCTTCCAGGTCCCCATGTGGGTGCCAGAGCCAAAGGGACTTAGGCCATCCTCTACTGCTTTCCCAGGCCATAGCAGAGAGGGGGATCGGAAGAGCATCAGCCGGGACTAGAACCAGCATCCATATGGGATTCTGCAGGCAGAGGCCCAGCCCACTATGCCACAGCGCCCACCTGATCCCTCATCACAGGGCCCCTGGAACATGTATAAAAGCGGGTCTGTCCGGCTGGCTCCGGCTTTGCACCCCCTTCTGTGTGGTTGGCCATATTCCCCTGACCAATGTGTTTGTTGCCTGTGCCTTGGGGGTCAGAGCTCAGCCTGTGCTGTCCAAAGCAATGACCGCCAGCCAGGGGTGGCTCTGAAGCCCAGGGGAACAGGGATGGGCCGAAAGTGAAAGCTGAGTATAAAAAACAGAGCAATGCATCTCGCTTACCCGTGAAACAAAACATAGTGGCTCAAAAAACTCATGGTTTCTACGGGGGCTACAGAAAAAGGCACTGACAGGCAGGTGACACCACGACCCCCACTTCCCTTGGGGGTCCCTCCTGCCAGCTGGCCTGGGACCGTGGGTCTCACCTTACTAAGGCTGGTTAAACACTCCACCTTCTTACTCCACTCTCCCTTCGCTTCTACAGGCGGCAAGAGAAGGGGGCCCGGAACAACCAGACTGGGAAGCCACGCCCAGGGCACGTGGTGGTGGAGGAATAGCGTTAACAAAACGCATTTGGAAAACAGAAGACCGAGGGAGAGGCGCCCTTACTCCCCAGCTGTCCTGGCCCGCGCTGGCGGGAGAGCCGAGCGCCCCGTGCCCCGCGCACAGGAACCCTGAGAGTGTGGCGGGTGCTGATTCTCCACCCAGTTCCTGGAGCTGCCCTGCCCTGTGTGGAGAGAAACGCCAGGCCTGGGAGCCCACCGCCTCCCCAGGACCTGAGCCCCGTGACATCGGGGAGCCCACGGAGTCGCACACCGGCCAGGGCGGCGCTGGCTGCGCCCCGACATCCCGCCCGCGGCTGGGACTCCGCCAACCCTGGCCCTGTTGGGTGCGCGAGGAAGACGAGGTGATCAACCCCAAACCAAGACTGCCCCGGTGCTGGGCGCGGGGAGGGGGCTCCGGTCGCGGGCAAATGGCAAGTGCGGGAAACAGACGTCTTCCCGAGCGAGCGCCTGGCCGTGGAGGCGGCGGTGGGCCCAGCTCACTTGGGAGGGGCCCGGGCAGCCGGCGAGGTAGTCTTGGTTTGGGGTTGATCACCTCCACGACGCTCGTCTTCCTCGCGCACCCAACAGGGCCAGGGTTGGCGGAGTCCCAGCCACGGGCGGGATGTCCAGCACCCAGGTGGGAGACCCGGAGCAAACTCCTGGCTTTGGGCCTGGCCCAGCCCCGGCTGTTGCAGCCATTTGGGGAGTGACCCAGCAGATGGGAAATTCTCTGTCTCTCCCTGTCAAATAAATAAATCCGTAAAAATACAAGTAAATAAAGCCAAACTGCTGCATAAAACACCGTGGTTTCCCCGGTATCGCGCTCCGGGAAGCCGGCCCGGGCTGCCTTTAGCTAAGAGCTGAGGATAGGACTCCTGCAGGGACCCCAGCACTCTTACTCATCCAGCGACTCACCCCTCCGAACTGGAGTCCTTTAGCCTATTATTCCCGCCTAACGTTAGCCTCGAACGATTTTCTGATTAAAAGCCCAGTGCTCTCCATATTCCAAAACATCTTGGACATTAAAGAGAAATGCCACCACCACTACCCCAGGTGGGACTCGAACCCACAATCCCTGGCTTAGGAGGCCAGTGCCTTATCCATTAGGCCACTGGGGCGGACGTATGCTGCCGTTTGAAGGCAGTAGGAATGAAGAACAGCTCCTCGCTGCGGCTGCGAAGGGAACCCGGACTCGCTGGGTTCCTCCGACACACCCGTCCAGTTCAAGCAGCCGGGAACCGGGAACAAACCCGGCGCGCTCCGCGTCCCCGCGTGCGTTTCCCGAGCTCGGCGGCGCCCGGCTTGTCCGCCCCCTCCAGGAAGGCTCGAGGGGGCACTGGATTCTCCTGCGCGGGAACAGAGGCGGAGAGCGACCGAGGGGCCCCGGCCGGTGCTGCGGCGGTGCACGGCGCTGGACACGGGGACCCGCGAGGCCCGGCACTGGCCGAAGCCGGAGCTCGGCCGACGTCGGGACCCCGGAAGCGACCGAAGGTTCCACCCTGGCGCTCGCGGTTCCAGAATCGCGCGGGCCCCGGACAGCCCGAAGCCGCCGCCGCGGCGCCCATCCCCGGGAACGTCCTCGCACTCCACTCACCCAGTCCCCCCAAGACCACCTCTGGGGCCTCGGGGACCCTTCGTGACCCCAGCTACCCTTTCTTATCCGTGCTCCGAGACCACCTCGCAGGCGTTCCACTTTCCAGTTTCCCCTGAGCAAGCGTTTTGCCGCTTAAAAAAAAGGCGGGGAGGGGGCGACCCAGGCCGGCCTCCTGGTCTTGGACGCGGCCTGCAGACGCGAGGCCCCTGCTCCGGGCTGGGCTTCGCCATTCGGGTGCGGGAGGTCCGCACTCCCTCCCCGCGTCTCCCCGGTCCGGACCCCGCCCCAGGGTCCTGGAAGATGCGAGACCCATGACGCTGCCACGGGTGACAAGCAGGCTGCAGGAGGGGACTGGGACCGACCACCTGCCCGGCACGGCTGACCGCTGCGTAAGGGGACCGGCCCAACTGCCTCCTGGACTGTCCCTCAATCTGGATTTTTCTAGTTTTTGTTAGGATTAGATCCAGGTTAAACATGTTTGTAAGGCAGGCAACACAGCTGAGGTGAGACCCCTCCCCCCACCCCACCCGCGGACCGGCGGGAGGCCCTGGCAGTTAAGCGGACGGCCCAGCGGGCAGCTCACGTTGGTCAAGCGAGCCGTGCACAGGTGCGTCTCGCTTCCTAACGTTGACTCCTGGCAACTTTATTTCTCCAACCCGGCCGCGAAGGGGTCTCTCCGTGAGGTCCGTGCGCGAGAATCCGAGATCACGGGCTTCCGCGGGGGCCGTGAGAAGACCCCTGAGGGTCCCCAGCCCGGCCCCCAGGAGAAGCGGCCACGGCCACACCGGAGGCCTCACGCCTCTTCCCCGGTGCACTCCCGTGTTGGGGGGCACGGATTCGAGGGGCTCCGGCTCCCTCCACGCCCGCAAACACCGTCCAAGACTGTTTAAATTTGGTCTCTTCACTATCTATCCTGAGAGTCCTTCGCCGCTTTTAAGGTTTTGATTTTTTAAAAATTACCCAGTATTTTTTTTGTAACGAGGCAGCTGGCGCCAACAACCCCACCGGTCTCCGCCAGCGGGTGTCATTTCCCAAACCGACAGTTTCTTGACCCAGAAAACAAGTTTTTAAAAACGACCTTTACGACGGAGTTGAGGACGGAGACGGGGACAGCTGGGTCTCGGCAGTCGGCGGGAGCCCCGCACCCACCCGTGCGGCCGCAGGAAACCGCCGAGGGAGGGGCTCGCGCTGCCCGGCGTGGACTCCCACCCGCGGCGCGTGCACCACCACCCCCCCCCTTCCCGGTCCTGACCGCGGGCGGCGCCGACTCTGGGCGCCTTGGCCCGACCTCCCCGCCGCGCTGACCGCCGCGCTCCAACCCTGGGAAGGGCGCGGCTCTCTCTGGCCTTGAACCAGACTGACCCGGGCCGGAAAGGCCCCCGCCCCCCAATCCCAGTTAAAAGGCTTCGGCTCCGCAGCCAGCCTGGAAATTTCATACGTTTCCCTCCATTCCCTTCCGCAAGTGGGGTTTCCACTGCCGGGACGCGCGAACGTCGTGGCTAAAAAGCCAAGGGCTCGTCCGGGATTTGAACCCGGGACCTCTCGCACCCTAAGCGAGAATCATACCCCTAGACCAACGAGCCACGCTGTCTAGGGCTTGGCCTTTCCCATCTGACCGTCGTGGCCTCCTTCGGGCGGACCCGGAAAAACCTGGCGAGGAAGCTCCGGTTTCTCCCGGGCGAGGAGAGACCCCCGCGCCGCCCCCACCCACGTGGAGCCGCAGTTGAACAGCCCTGGCGCGCCCAGTCCCCCGGCCCCCGCGGTCCCGGCCCGCGACCCGTGCGTCCCCCTGCCGCCCCCTGGACCCTTCGGGGTCACTCCTCGCGGCCGGAAGCAAAGGCCGGCCTGGCCTCACAAGAGCGGCGCAGCGGGCCCCGGGACGCCCCGCTTGGAAACGCTGCGTCCCCGAGGTGCGGCACCCAGTGGGTGCTCCGTCAGTGACCGCTGCGCTCGTCAGGACTCCAGGTCTGCAGTAAGCCGGGAGCGCCCGCCTGGCGTCCTGCGCGGGGGGCAGCGGCCATTTCCCGCCATCTGCACGGCCGGTTCCCACGCTCTCCACAGTGCCGCGTGGCCGCCGTCTAACCACGCAAGATAAGCGTCAGAGACTGACGACGCCTGCCCCGCTCACACCCAAACAGAGCCCAGGGCGGGAGACAAACCCGCACCCGGCCCGGACGCTGGGGGCACACAGTGGAACCCAGAACCCCGCTGATGGGGGTCTTGGCCACTGCCCGCAGTCCAGAGCCCCAGCACAAGACAGGCTCATGCACCCTCTTCCCGGCCGCAGGGTTCCCAGCCCGGGTTCCAGAAGAGGAAACCTCAGAACGAGGACCCTGGGGAAGGCTGGCCCCCCACCCAGCCCCTGGACTGCACCAGTATGGCTGCTATGCAGTCTGGAATTTGGTTGGTCCACATCACCCTGGGGGGAAGAGGTCAGTGAACCAGACCCCACAGGACTCCCGTATGCATCAGCGGAGCTCTTTCCCCCACCGTGCTGTCCCAGGTTCCAACATGGCCCCGGGGCAGGGTGCAGGGACTGCACCCCTAGGGCGCGTGGCCCACATCTATGCCCTGAGCCTCTTCTCCCAGGAGCCCCAACAGGTCCGCCCCATGCAGGCTCACCAGGCAGCAGGGCCACACCCAGGTAGACCTGAGAGGTCCAGGGTGTGGGGGAGCCACTGTGGGGTGTAGCAATTGGTGGGGCGTCCTGGGCTGGGGGGAAGGAGGAAGCACAGGGGTGTGGCACCTGCCAGTCCGTTGGAACCTGGGAGTGCCGCCCTCCCCTTGAGCCCCCAGCCCCAGAGAGCCACAGTGTGCTGGTTGTGCACCCCCTGCTGTTCCTTCTGCAAGCCAGGAGCTTGCTGCAGGGTTCCCGGATCTCACACCAGGCAAGACCCCAGGGGCCTGGAGAGGACAAGGGGGCCAGGTGGCCAGCCAGAGCCTCCTGGACGAGTATAAATCCTGTTCTCCACCCTCCGTGCAAAGGCAGAAAGAGAAAAAAGGTGTCCCGACTCCACACGCCTAAAACAGCATCGTAACCTCTCTCCGAGGCCAGTTGAGCTACAGGAACAGGAGAGGTAGCTGTGCCGGATATCGGCAAGACGGGCCCCTTCCTCTGGGCTGCACCGTGCCCACAGCCTCCTGGGAGCTCAGGGAAGGCGGGGAACCTGAGCTAGGAAAAGGTTAGTCTTTGTCGCAGGTGGAGTCGTGGTCCCCTGAAGATGTCAGCGCCCTCATCCTCAGAATCTGTGCATGGGTTAGGCTTGTGGCAGAGAACTGGGTTGCAGATGAGGTCAGGACTGTTTATCAAATGACTTTGAGTGACGGAGAGAGAGTGTCCTGGATTGTGGAGGTGGCACCAGTCTGATGACAAGTGGAAGACACAGACGGCAGCACAAGGCGGACCCGATGGTCCCGGCTAATTGTGGGGGTGGAGGAAGGGAGCCTGAGCCGAGGAGTGTGTGCAGCCTGGCCGGCGTGAGGAACCTCCTGAGGCAGGCAAACCCCACAGGGTCTCGGGCTCGGGGCTCCAGCCCCTGCTTAGAGCCTGAGAGCGGCTTGGCAAGAGCGAGAAGTGGAGCAAGAGGCACCATCTCGGATCCAGGTGGCATCTTGACCACTACCACCCCCTGCACCTGCAACTGAAGAATTCTGGTCGCCCTGTCTCAATATCTGTAAGTTTCAATATCTAAAAGAATTTGCTGGGTTTTTCGTTTGTTCGTTTAATTTAGAAGATTGAAAGAACATTGTTCATAGCTGCTGTTCTCAAAGACATTGTCGCGGCTGGTCTCCGTTTCTCTGGACACCCGTATACCGTCTAGGTCCCACCGTGCCTGGTGTTTGTAGGTCGCTGCCTAAAGCCTTGTTCCCTTGTTTGCCTTGATGGCAAACCGTCTGTTTTCATCAAGAATCTCTGTGTGAGGAATTCGGTGAGATTTAGAATAAAAGTGTGTTTTCTTCACAGAAAATTGTTGGCTTCCTTGTGCCAGGGGTTCAAGGTCACTGTGGATCTTCCCATGAGCTTTTTCCAGCTACCCTCAAAAGCACGAAATTGGGATGACTTGCGATCCTTGGTTTGTGGCACTTTCTCAAACCCATCCTCCGGACAAAAATGAAGACCTCGCCAAGAGCAGAGCCCGCGGAATAAACCAGAAGCAACCCCAGTCCCCGAGCCGGGCTCCTGGGAAGCGGGGCCAAAGGCGGTAAGGGAACTGGACCCGCCCAGGGCGGGACATTCACTTCCCGGCTGAGCTTGGATCCAGCGCCAGGGCCCGAAAAGGAGGGCTCGTCCGGGATTTGAACCCGGGACCTCTCGCACCCTAAGCGAGAATCATACCCCTAGACCAACGAGCCATGCCACAACCTGACACCGATTTCTTTTTTGGGTTTGGGAGGCGCCCTGGGGCTAGGGAGGAATCGGTTTCCGACCCGCGGGTAGGGGTGAGCTCCAGAGTGCGGGGGCGCCAAGGGACCCCACCCCTGCCCCGCCAGTGCCGCAGAGGCGGGGAGCAGCCCCCAGCCCCTCGCCGGTCTCCTGCGGACGCCACCGCGCACCGAGCTGGCAGCTCACGCGTCCAAAGTCACGCTCAGGTCACGTCCCGGGACTGCCAGTCCAGCAGAGGAGACGGACCTCCCCGAGCGGGGCCGTGACTGCCCTGAGGCACGGCAAGGGGGCTCCGCACCACCCCTCCTCCTCGTCCCCGCCCCGCGTCTCCCGTCGCGCCCCAGCGAGGCCAAAGCAAGAAAGGAGCCCTGGGCGTGGGACGTGGGGCCTGGGACGTGGGACCCACCGCCACCTGGCTCCAGGACTGCACCCGCCCAGCGGCGCTCTGGTCGAGGATGGCCGCGCTGGAAGGGGTGGTCCCCGGGGGGTTAGGCCCCATCCAGACTGGCGCCAGGCGGCCAGAGAAGCGCTGGCCTTCCCCACTCACGAGGGGGAGTTGGCTGGTCCCCCGGCCCCAGGATGTGGGGTCTGCAGGTCACTCAGGGCTTCCCACTGTCCAGGCTGGACCCAACCTCTAAGAGCCCAGCGGGGCTGCGGGGGCTTCTCCCGCCCCTCGGGAAACCTCTCCCAGGGGCAGAGACCGCGACACGGCCAGGAGGCCTGGCCCCCCTGACTGCGGCCGCCAACGCTGGAGAGGCTTGCCTGGGGTTTGAATCCGGGGCCTCCTGGAGCCATTCCCACCGCCCGGCGGCCGTTTTCGCGAACACACGTGGTTCCGAGGCTGGCGCGCGGCTGTGGGTCCGGGGTCAGCGCGCCCATTGGTGAGCCCAGCGGTGCGCACCTGCGGCCTCACAGCCGACACTGCAGAGCGATCTCGGCTGTGTGACCCATCAAGGTTAGCCGCGGGGCCCAAGAGCTGGTAATCCCCCCCAAAACAGCTTCCTAGTACAAACCACAGGTGGGTTTAGGTATTGTTAAGTGACTTCCCAGGCACGAGATCGCAAAGGAAACGTGTAGACCTTGCACACTGTTTAAAAAATGATAAATGACAATCCAATATGTGACAAACTCAAGGCTACACTGTTGGGGGGGGGGGGAGACCAGCGCTGTGGCACAGTAGATGAATCCTCAGGCTGTGGCGCCCACATCCCACATGGGCACCTGTTCTAGTCCCAGCTGCTCCAGTTCTGATCCAGCTCCTTGCTAATCGCCTGGGAAAGCAGCAGAGGATGGCCCTAGCTTCGGGCTGGCCCCAGTGCTGGCCGTTGCTGCCATCTGGGGAGTGAACCGTAGGATGGAAGACCTGTGTGTGTGTGCGAGCGCGCGCGTGTAACTCAAGTAAACCAGTTAAGACATCCAGCACGCACTAGCACAGAGGCTTCTTGGGATTCACGTATGCCATATTCCATATTGGAGTACCTAGGTGCCTGGCTCCACGTCCAATTCCAGCCTCCTGCTAATGTGTTTCCTGGGAGGCAGCAGGTGGTGGCTCAAGTACTTGGGCGCCTGCCAGCCAGGTGTGGGCCTGGATGCAGTTCCCAGTTCATGGCTTCCTTGCAGGCATCTGGACAGTGAGCCAGGCGTGTACATTTTTAAATATGTGGGCATATACATACATATATATTGGCCAGGCAGAGT